AAGTCGAGGACGTGACAACAACGACGATAACTATGGAGGTCATAACCTCGCGGTCACGAGGTTGACGTACCTCCTCCCATGGGTCATCTGGATCGGCATCCTTTACTGGTCCCATGGTGGCACGGTCGAATACCTTCTCACTCACGTTGATGCCACCCGGGACCACACGAACGAGCCTGACCTGCGGACAATCCGACGTCGACTTCATGGTTCTCTCCAGATCCATGAAATACGCGCAGCAGCCTTCATGGGACAAAGCGACCAGGTTGTCCGGGATGTCCTTCTGAGGTCTCGACCCGGCGAAGATCTGCACCGAGGTCGCAAGGCGGAGAGCGTCGGTCGCGTTCCACACGTTGCCGTACACGAGCTTGAAGTGCATCGTCCAGTGCAGGCCTCGCGCCTCCATCCTCCTCGCCACTTGGCTCTGGTAGAAGCTATAGATGCCCGCTCGTGTGGGGAAGAACCGCGCAGTAACGGCCATTCTCGCCAGAGCCAGGCCGAGCGATATGATCGTCTCCACCAAGACCGCCAGACAGTACCCGTGATCCGGCAGATGACCTTCTTTGTCCGGGCTGACCTCGTCCTTGGACGTGCAGATGCCACAATGGCAGGCCTTGCGGATCTTGCTCAGGCTTTCAACATACGACGCGGATGCCTCGTCGTGGGACAGCTTCAGAGAGCGTTCCATGCGGGCTTGAAAGCGCCTCAGCTCCGGCAGCCAGTCGGTGATGGTCTGGATCAGCCCGGCCCCATAAGACGCCGTATTGCTCTGATTCTGGATGGACACCAGTTGGCCGTGCTCCTCGTGGCCTTTGCCGTGCGCGAGGCCCTCGAACATCCTGGCCGCACTGCCAATCATCGTCCCGAAGGCTTTGGAATGGTCGTGGTCGAGGAAATGAAAACTCTTGCCGAACACTCGCGGCAGCAGTGATTGCCATGCCACCCGCCCGCCGATCCGCATGGTGTGAAGGACTGGAGAGTATGTTCGGTCAACGAGAGACATTTCCTCAAGACCGACGCCGTTCTGATGCCGCGGTTCGAATGTTGCCTTGAGGCCCGCCTCCGTCACGTATACCAGGTTGACTTGCGGCTCTTGATCTGGGTGAGTTATGCGTAATTCCTTGCCGGTCGTGTCATAGACTCCTATGCGAAGATCGCAGAGCCACTCGGCGATTGCCCCGAACCAGGAGATGATACCACTGCCGGTGAAAGTCACCTGTTTTCGGTCTCCGCGCGTGACGCTCATCAACGCTTGCAAAGCGCTGGCGACCGCGCTCACCGGGAATACAGTTTCGACGCTCACACCCACTGGGATCGTGACAGGGTACGGATCCAGTTGAAGATAATTTTCGACTAGGAGGCCAAAGTCCGAGGCGGCAAAGATGCCGTTGCAGCCATGCAGTGCAGCCTTCCATTGAGTGAAGTGAGGTGTCACGTCTTCAGGACCTGCTGCTGCACATGCCAATTCCATAAGCACTTTGGCTCCGTACTGCGTATCTCCATGAGCAATCACCCCAATTGACAGACCAGGAAATGCGACAACAATGGCATGTGGCTCCTTCGACCACGGGAGCGAGGACTCACAGGCTCGTGGAAGGTCTCGCCCAGCGCTATCAGCATGGCCAAGTGCTCATAGGAACCTTCATGAACAGCCTTATCGCGGATCACGTTCGACAGGCCCCAGCCGAAGGACAGCCTCTCGTCCGGCGCCACGGATAGATGTACAGGCAGGTTGGACAGAGCTGAATTTATATTCCGTCCCCCCTGGGATGGTATATTGAGGTCCTTGAAAAGCCTGTAGGCAACATAGCGAGTGTACGGATCTACGCGCGATCCGGATAGTTTCCTCAATGTGGCCGTCGGTATCGTCACGCTCTCCGGCGTATCTTTGCCGACGATGGGCATCTCGACCGGAATAGTTGGATCCCTTTTCAAGCAGCTGCTTCATACATGTCGTGTCGGTATGTCGGATGTCACTGTCCCGATGGCATTTCGTCTACAGGGAAAGACAATCAGATAGGAAGGGAGACTTTCGGCGCGGCGGCTGGAGCAGTCACCTCGTCTTCGCTCGCGTGATATTCCTCAATCCAGGTCTCGCCAGCATGCGCGATACTGACTCAGCATCGCAAGAGCTTTCGCCGTTTGCACTGCTATTGGCCGCGAGCAGTAAGAACCATGCGAGGTGCGGGGTAGATTCTGCTCCGATGGCTGCAAGTACAAGAACTGAGACAGGCTCCTTCACATCTAGACCACTCATGAGAGTACGTTCAAAACTCGATAGTCGCGGAGTGCTTTCAGCTTGAAGTTAGCGGCCGTGGCTTGGTTTGTTAAGCCAATACTCCGTGCAAGCCGTAAAAAGAATACAAGCAGCGCATGTTTGGTAGAGAAGGAGGGCCTCTCCAACACTAGACTGACTCCCCCGCGATGGCCTCATGGTCGCATACAGGCCGTCAGATGGCCATGCTGGGCTCCTCGCTTATTGGAACAGGGAACGCTGCGTCCATCTTGGCCTAAAAGCTCGTAAAGACTTCTTCACCCTTTACCTCGACTTTCAATCTTCTCCGAAAAGAAAGCTATAGAAGCAAAAAACAATCAACAGCCAGGATTCCCAAGTGGTCACCCACCTTAGTACTAACTGACCGGCATGTGGCTTAAGTATGGCTGAGCGAACGGGAAGCCCTGTTTTCCACATCCTATGGTCGATTGCGGTGGACAATATTGATGTGATGTTTATATGGGTTGATTTTTGAGCTCTGAATTATACTCTGCTTGTATGTTTTCTACCATGGGAATGGCCATACCGTTCATCCCTGCGCTCAGCCTGCTGCAGCATATTCGAGATTCCTTCGCAGTGAGAGTTCTGTAACAGTCTGTTTTGCCTTTTTTTGAGTTACTGGTTTTTCTGGGGCTGTGATGCTCGTTGGAATGGTTCGACCGAGGTTTCCTCGTTGCTTTGCAGGGTGATTGATGGTTTCTCCTTCTCTCCCCACGACAGCTCTTCGTACTTTTCGTTTGGAATGCATCTTTGTTTGCCTGGCGTACGACTTGCGTCTCCAGGTCTCGGTCACACGTTTGTCAGGACGGACGACGTGTCTGTGGCTGGAGACGTCGTTCCCGGATGGGTGATCTGTCTCTCTCCAGTCCCCAGAACCAAGTGACAGATCTAGCAGATCCCAGTCACGCCTTCCCTTATGCTACTTGGTGATCCAGGTACCAAGCCTCGACGGTTAATGTGTTGGCAGATACGACCTCGCCGGCCCACCACAGAGGCACATGTGGAAGCCCATGAGGCATATCGACAAGCCAAGCCGGTAGTATGAGTCTTAATGCTACAGTCGTCGGCTACATAACTCGGGGTATCAGCCAAGTCACGCTCAGAAATAAGGGGCGAATTCCTGTTAGCATCATACAGTAGGATGGTTGAGCGCTTGACCCTCTACTTACCCCTTTTGGTGATCATGGCATTAGGATGCTTGAGGCTTGACATTGCTTGCCCCTGTAGGTGACCATGAAATATACTGCGAAAGCTTACACGTCGAGTTGCATAGTAGGCATGAGAGCCCCCCGGCTATCCAGCAACGAATCGACGAATCTGGTCCACAACACTCGTGCGGTCCTTGTCTGACCAGACTATCCATCAAAAGCCATACGGAAACAGGGCCAGCGAAGCAGGTCCGTACGCTATTCGCCCAAGAACGTTCCGCTAGCAATAAACTCGTCCCCGAGGTATTGAGGCGTTAGCGTTGTTTTCCTGGTTGCCACTTCACTGTCCTGACATGCGTATCGTTGTCTATATCAAGGATACATATCGGGTGGGTTTCCATTCAGCTTGCCCCCGGCTCTTGTAACTGAATGAACGGAACACGCATATTGCTTGGCCAACGTAGATATCCTTCCGGCGTCTGAGGTCTCTCTGCATTTGCTCCCTAATTATCTAGGCAATATTGCCTCACGAAGAGCGTCCCGTAGTCGAAAAAATCGTGATTGTGATCATACACAAAGATGCCATTCACCAACACGTACCGAGTCGCCAGATCAGACCTCTGGGAACTCCGCTCCGCTGATATCGACTTGGGACCGGACGAATTTACGATTCCTCTCCGCCACGTTTGAACTGATATATATATTCCTAAATATCCGGAGGACCCTCGTTAAGACGGTTCTTCTCTCCCCTTGGATATCCACGTTGTTTTCACCCTTAGAGCTAATTAACAAGGGTTCGCGAGACAGTGCGTCTAGGTAGTAAGTCATGCGTAGTGAAGCACGCTCCTCCTCACGGGCGGGTCTTCTCTTCCCTTGAATGTCCGCATTGTGGCCATTCTTAGAGTCGGCAGAGAAGACGTTTCAACTGGGAGCATGGCCATTGCCTCTGGGTCAGGAGAAAGAGCCACTGTTTGGCGGAGGATGGAGCAAGCAAACAAGGAGTCTGATCTGTGTTGATGCGGATAATGAGACTGCTACATGCCAGGAATTGGCTCTGTCTGTACAGACAATGAGAAGACTACGGCTGTTGCGGGCCAAAAGCTACAGACCACGACCCGAAAAGTGGGAGGAGAGGCGTGGTTGCTAGGCCCAAGTCTACTGCTGCCTCAATTACATCGTCGATGCAGGACTAAGCGACTCCAGGGGGGGGCCGTTCGCGGTGTGGACAGCTCTTGAGTACCTCGTCGCAATAAGGAGAGGATTGCGTCAGACGAGGGCCGCAGAGAACATCACAGACACGGGGAATTCGAAGTGTAGATACAACAACAGGAGACACAGACTCTATACAGCAAGCTATAGGATCACACAAATCAGGCAGAGCATGAACAGTTAACAGAGCGGACTATCCATGCAAGATCGGGCTCCCAGGAACGCACGAGGCTGAGCCGAAAGGGACAACCCGTGGCAGGAGAAACAAGCATTAATGAAAGTATGACAGGACAGACAAGCATCAATGAAAAGCATGGCACATATTTTTATGGTCGTCAGCATCATCAAACTATACAGACATCCGTCTCTCATTGTCCAACAACAGACATATCGTACGACACGGCTTTGTGCGGCCCGTGTCTCAACCTGAAAACGTATCCTCCATGGTAGATGTTCTCCTCTACTCCGACTCTACTGGAAGGGGCACCTTCGTACTCTGCAAACATCTGCCGCTTTCTGTCCACGACCCTTTCAGCTCTGTCGCCTTCAAAGCAAAAAGCAACAAGGCCTGCCGTGCTCAGCTTCTCCCGCAACTCATTTGTCTCGGACGGATTGGAGCTCAGTGCGAGCCAGGCGAGGACAAACCCGAGAACGGCGTACACCGTATTCAAGGCGACAAGCGTGTAAAGGGGAGCTTTGGGCACTCTCGACACCAGTCTCGAACTGCGCAGTTGTTCCTCCAAATCGGCTCTTGCCGTCATGATGCCGGAGCCCAGTGCCATGGCGGTTCTGGAGTATGCCCTCGCCCAGGCATCGGCCATCTGCGCAGTGTTGTTGTACTGGCTTGCCGAGTACGCCGCGGTTTCCAAGGCCACCTTGCCGAACCCATAGTAATTGCCAGCGGCGAGGATTGTTCCCACAGAACCGTTTGCCACCTCGGCAGTTACGTGCTGAAGAGTGCCATTGATGAAACTATACGTGATCTCGTAGGCGGTTGCAGAGCAATTGAGGAGCCAGCTGGTGCCGCCGCGCGTCGGTTTGACCACATTCCCGTCGGCGGTTTGCAGAGTCGTTGCACCCAGTTCGACCTTTGCCCAGGCAGCGAGATGCTGTGGGTTGTTTGGACGTGTCAGGAAGCTCTCCGTCTCTGTAGACTTGTTCGCCAGCTGAGTGAGACTAGCGTCTCGATAGAAGACGATGCCTGCAGAGCGGAAAGCGAGGCCCGAAACAGCGTCTGTATCGTCCCCGTTGATGATCGGTTGTGCCAAATCACCGTAGAATGCATCCGTGCAGTGGAACGGCTCCGATGTGCCGGACTGGTTGAACCCAAGGTTGCATTGCTTGCCCATTTGCCGACACTGGGTGTGAATCGCCAGAGATTCTGCCCGGTAGTCGAGGTTTGAAGGGATGATGGCAGGTCCGAGGTAGGCGAAGTGTGTGTAGTCAATATACATGTCGTAAACGGCGTTGGTGCTCGACGTGTTGCTCAAAACTCTTGCCGCTTCGTTTGCGCCCGTGAGAAATACACTCGTTGCGCCGAGACTGATAATACAATCGCCGGCGTCAAACCCAGCAGCCGTCTGGCCGGAGCATGGGCCATCAGGAAGCCCACGGCCCAGGGCTTGCGACGGAACCTGTACGTCAACCAGCTCTATATTGACCGCTTCCATGACCAGGTGCAGCCAAGTATCTACGCCAGCGATCGTGTATCCCAGGGCCGTGAATGTCGCCAGAACCGTCAGAGCGTTGCGCACATTTGAAGCCATGGCTCCTTCCTTCTGAGGCCACTGCCAGTATGAAAGCGCGTTCCATAGCGGAGTAATGCCAGCGGAGAAACAGTCCAGAAGCAGCGAGAATTGGAAGGGAGTGGGTAGCTCAGACCCGGCCATTTGCGAGTTTGCCTTGAGTGATTGAGCGATGGGGAAAGACACGAGGATCATCGCGCACACGGCCAGCAGGGGCGCGACTGTAGACGACCAAGACGCGATGGTGACGAGCGTGGTGGGGTTGAAATTGACATAGTAGGCGCCGGAATCAAACTCAGATCTCCAGTCCAAGGTCAAGGAGCCCGAAGACCTATCCGCGGACTTGTCGACGTTGTTGACCAGCACCAACCCGAGCAGCAGGCCCGCGAGACCTATCATGGGCACCACAATCAGCGCGAGGGAAGCAAAGATGATCCTCTTGCCGCCGCTGTGCGGCTTCTTCTCTCTTGTCGCCGCCATCGGGGCGCCTGGTTTGCCTTCATTGTGTGCGTTGTCCTCCCCGGGCAGAGAATTGTACCGACGTCGTGGTTGTCTTCGGCCCTGGAGAGGGACCTGGTTTTGAAACTGAAATCCACATCGGCTCAAGGATTCGAACTGTGATTGATACTCCGATGGTGTTCCAGGCGGTGAACGATCCATGAATGAGCGTGGACAGAACCAGAATGGCTCAAAGATAGAATGCGATGGTGGCTACCACGTGCAAGCAGAGTATAGTTGCAAGAGGAATTCCGCGAGGCATGGCATTTGGATCTGATCTGCGTTAAGAATACTGTACGGAGTACCTCGCCCACGCGATTCTAATTTGTTACAGAAGCTTACTTTAGGTAGAGCGCCTTATGCTCCATTCCCAGCATATCGGTCGTCAAAGGCCAGGGACCGGTGGATAGGGGCTCAGCAAGCCAACGGGCCGCCATGCCGGAAGGAGAAAGACTTTCAAGGCCTCCCGTTGGGCCTGAGGCTCTAATTACCAGATCTGGGGATGGGTATATCCCAGAAGAGGCTACGCTCAATCCGTGCTCCCCTAGTGGCGTCCCTAGGCGCCGGAGGGAGACTGTTTTGCTGACATGTCGAAGTACTGGGTACATAGTACGGAGTGTGTCCTGTCAAACTCAGATCCCTAAACACGTTTTCGTTTTGTGTAAGGAGGACGTTTGCTGCAGGACGGCAGAAAGAAAGATGGGTTCGGGTCGCTATATATGGTCGTTGATACGGAGTAGTGCCTCCGGAGTTGAGATCCAGTTTCTTGTGCGTCTTAGGTCACAGGCTGTGGCTCGCATATATTGGCGATGGACCAACGAGTCTTGAGATCTCATCCTCTTCCAGAAGGTCCTCGGTCGCTGTTAGCAAGCGCGAAGGTCCTTTGCACTCGCTTTCTACACCGGCGAAGCAATCTCCCCACGAATGATCATACTGCATCTGGGCCACTCATCTGTACCGCCTAACGTTTCCCACCGCTCGTATCTGCCCATTCCATCCTCCTTCCGACCCAGCAGCACCACTTCCTCCGGTCCATAGCACATCGCACACTCCCCCTCGCTGTAGGCGGGCCATGGATCGCCGCCGTTGATGAAGGTGATCCAGTGGCGTCCCATTTGCTGTGCAGCCTTTGCCAGCTCGTCCGGCAAGAGCTGGTTGTATGTCTGGAAGAGAAAAAGCAAGTCCACGGCGTGGTGTGCCAGGTTCTGGAACGGGCCGGGGAATGGATTGCCATAGCGCATGTGATAGTAGAACGCCTTTCCACCGCTGAAAGACTTTGCAATCTCGTGGATGTCGCGCCCGAACTCTGCGTCGCTGCAGAACGGTTCCAGGATGGACACTGCTTGCTCGTTGGAGAAGTCCGAGAGATTGTAGGACGAGGTCATATGCTCGACCACTGGGGCAGGGAAGCAGGACGAGAGCAACTCTCGGGTCTTGCCTGGAGTCCAGCCGAGGCTGGCGATACGTGGACCCCAGATGATACCCTTGTCAAAGAAGTCAGACACGGCCAGCAAAGGTGATGAAAAGCAGACTTGGAGCGAGAGCTTACTTCTTTCTCACAGTCACCAATGATGATTCTGCGTACACACCTGTCGTACTGCTGCTTCCCTATCGTCGACGATCGGGGAAGTTCATCCAGTAGGAACCCGTCGACGGTGGCTTGCCAATTCGGTAGCGGAGACCCAGTGGCGGCGTATGCGTCCAACAGCTCATTCACCGGAACATCGCGCAAGCGCTGGACTTTGTGCAATGCATGGATATCGGAGGGAATCTGCAAGTGTGCAAGAATCTTCTGGTATATGCCTTCTTGGTGCTCGAGGCTACGAGTTGTGAGCACGGCATTGCCCGACATGATCACCGCCTGGCTGAACAGTTCCTCGCGTGCGGCCCAACGCGATAGCATCTGGATATGAATATCACCTGCTCTTCATGTCAGCACAAGCGCAAAGTCGAAAGAGGACCTCGAAAAGTAAGAGACCGAAGTACTCACTTCCACCGGCACTCTGACCCACCAACGTCACCTGCCCCGAGTCGCCACCAAATGCACCAATATACCTCTTCACCCACTGCAGCGCCACGATCTGATCGTGAATCCCATAGTTGCCGACGCCGCGATCCCCGGCTCTCCGGTTATCCAGCTCCAGATCTGCCGACGCCAAGAATCCGAAAGCCCCCAGTCTGAAGTTCATGGTGAGCACCACGATCGGCTGCCCCATGCCCAAAGACATGTGGACGAGAGCAGCGCCGTCACATTGGGCTGCAGACCCAGCGCCCATGCAATTTGCACCGCCATGGATGAAGACGAGGACGGGGAATTTCGTGGCGGCAGCATTGTGTGTCGGGGTCGTGATGTTAAGGTTGAGACACAGGAATTCGTCGACGAGTGGATCGGGGTCTTCGGCTGGTAGGACGGCGCCAACAAAACTCAGAGACGCTGCGAGAGCCGGTGTGGGAGAGACGGGGCTGTCGTGGCCATGTAAGCACTGGAGACATCTGCTCTTCTAGCACAAACAATGACTATATGCAACCAAGGAAAGGCTGGGAGAGTGCATCAGACGTAGCAGAACGGCATACGAACCCGAACCGGCTGGCGTCGAGAGCCTTCGTGGGCCACTCATCCACGATCTTTGGCCTTTGGAACCGCCGCGTGACAGCACCATAAGGTATACCCCGGAATTGTGCTACCGTGCCGTCGAAGTATGTCTTGTCCGTGCTGACGGTGCCGAGACCTGCGATGTCGCGACTGATGTGCATGGTTGCTCTCCCATGCCGGTCGAGATCGTCTCAGCTCTTGTCCATCGCCGACAAGGCCCCTTGACATGAAGCATGTCTTTTCGTGGCAAGTCGCGGTGTTCTCTGAACCGGTTCCATCACGACGAGATCTGGTCGTGAAAGTTACTCCGTGATATGCTCATTGTTCCGCCGAAATCTCCACAAGATGGCTGGAGACTTGAAGTCCAGGCCGCCCATGGCGAGCCGAATGGAAGACCAAACGGCATAGCATTTCCAGTATGTCGGACGTGGCGCCGCTTACCGTACAGTCAAGGGCTGGAAACTCGCATGCTCCTGCCAATGGTGTGATGGCTCGGCCAGGGATAGATGGTGGGGAGCCAAACCGGGGAATCCGGGGGATACATAGCGGATCTCTGTCAAAAGCCCAATGTTTTGCCGACTCGTCTGGGACATCTTTAGCGGGGACTCACCACCGGCGCAGTCTTGCCCCGTGCCAATCATGCAGAAAGCGACCACCGGGGTCCAGGCTGGGCTGGAGAGCGGACGGGCGTTTGTATGTATGCGACCCTCGGCCCCGGATGGGGTCTTGGAAACTGTCAAGCTGCCGCGTGAGAGTGAGAGTGAGAGTGAGAGAACGGCACGGCGCCTGTGAAGATTCTACACCGTCGACAGGATGCCAGGACCGGTCGAAGAGCCAGTTGTAACGTCCACAAAGACACAGGAACCCGTTGATATCCAGAAGGTCTTCCACTACACCGACCTCGACACCCCTAGGCCCACGCGCGTCGAAGACCCCTACGAGTACCAATGGGGCTTCGGCAATCGCTTCCAAAGCGAAATCATCCCAGGCACACTGCCCGTTGCGCAGAATCACCCCCAAGTACCGCGATTCAACTTGTACACTGAGGGCCTCACGTCGTCGGCCTTCGCATCAAGCAGAACCGCCAATGCCAGCACTTACATGTATCGCTGCCGGCCGTCGGTGGCAAACCATGGCTTCCAGAATGGCGTGCTCGAGTCCCGAGCGCACCTGGAAAGCTGTTTCTTGGCCGTCAACCCCAAGGTCAAGATGAACCCGGCACAGATCGAGTGGGCGCCCTTTGACCTTCCCCAGGAGGGCGAGGAAATCGATTTCGTGGACGGCCTGCACACCCTAGGCGGCTCCGGGGATGCCAATATGCGGGAAGGCCTCGCGCTGCATGTGTTTATGATCAACGCGCGGATGACGGGGCGGGCGTTTTTGAACGGAGATGGCGAGTTCCTGATCGTCGCCCAGCTGGGGAACCTGGATATCCAGACGGAGATGGGCAAACTCTACCTCCAGCCAGGCGAGATCTGCGTGATCCCGCGCGGCATCAAGTTCTGTCTGAACCCAGCGGCCGGCACGAGAGAAGCGCGAGGGTATGTCCTGGAGGTTTGGGGATCGCGATTCGAGCTGCCCGACCTTGGTCCGATCGGAGGGTATGGAAACGCCAATGCGCGGGACTTTGCGTACCCCGTTGCGTACATGGACGACGTGGATGAGCTGCATCAGCCGTGGCATATCGTCGAGAAGATCAACGGCGAGTACCATGCCTTGATGCAGGACCATAGCCCGTTCGACGTGGCGGCGTGGCACGGCAATTGCTTGCCTTACAAGGTATGACAGATTGCTTTTCATCCACCACCCAAGATATACATAATGATCGTTCATGCTTGCCTGCAGTACGACATGACCAAGTTCGTCGCCCAGGGGAGCACGTCGGTCGACCACACGGATCCTTCAATCTGGACTCTTCTGACCGCACGCTCGCGTGACCCCAACGTGCCGCTCGTCGACTTCATCTGGTTCGGCCCGCGCTGGGACGTGGCCATGAACAGTTTCCGCCTGCCGTACTTCCACCGCAACAGCGCGAGCGAGTTCATTGCCAACATCTACGGTGCGTCGGGTGGGAGGAGCGCCAACTTCAGACCCGGCGGAGGCGTCTATGAAGCCGGCCACACGGCCCACGGCGGGTTCGGGGACATCTATGTCGCTGAACGGAGAAAGAAGAGGAACGAACCGAGGATTTTGTTCCAGGGTGAGTTATAGTTCTGCGATGACCTTCGTCCTCTCTCTTCTGCGCTAACCCTCTCCACGCCTGTGGACGTGAGCTGGCATCCCGGGACGTGTCCATGGCTAACACGTGAACAGGCATGATGACCTTCATGATCGAGTCGTCGCGGTCACTCCTCTTCACTGAATGGAGTCGCGAACACAGTGCCACTGACGCCACGCCGCCAGAGGTCTGGGACTCGGTGCCAGACCAGTTCTCCACTGATCCCAAGGTGAGGGCCCTTCTACAACGGGTCAAGAAGCAAAAGGCGGAGAGGAAAGCGGAAGATGAGGCGTATTATGATGATGAGCGGATAGCAGAGCTTGTGGGCAAAGTCGCTGTAGTTGAGACGAATGGGACGAATGGGACGGAGTTGGCAAACGGGACTTCTGGGCAGGCCTCTGCAGAGCCAATTGCCGCCAGCTTCTGATGTCCAGGATGGTTGGTTTTGTAATAGGATTCTTCTTATATATTTCTCTTGCACTTGTGGGTGATCGCTTTGCTACATCGAAGTTCTCAGGAGGTCTGTAGTCGAATGTGCAAGAGAGGGAGGGAGGGTAGCTGAGTATCATCTTAGCATATCAACGCTATACAGCCTGTTTCACTAATGGTCGTCCGGCGTCATGCTCCCTGAAGTACTCTTCACATTCAGCCTTCGAGTCGTACCCAAACAGCCCGTCGCTCCAATTCTTGGTCGGCTTGCCCGCCACCGGCTCCCACTGCCACGCCCGGACCTGCGTCGGGTCCTTAAGCCGCTCGTCCCGTGCTCGTTGTTCTGGTCCGTCCGGGTAATGGTTCTCGGTCTTCTGCTTGCGTGCATTCTGCTGGATCTGCGTGGCGCGTGCAAACCGCAACTCCTGGAATGCGGGACCGACGCGGTCGAGGGGCAGGTTGGCGAGGCATTGGGCCAGCACGGCGCCGTCCTCGATGGCCTGTGAAGCTCCCTGAGCAAGATACGGGAGCATGGGGTGGCATGCGTCGCCGATGAGGACGGCGTGTCCGCGGTGCCAGGCCTCGAGCGGATCGAGGTCCTGCAGCTTCCATTTGACGATGGAGCTGGGATCTGCGTGGAAGAGGATGGTGCGCACACTTCCGAGGACGGTCAGTCAGTCAGTCTTGGGCTTTCAAAGCCATGTCAATAGAGACAGAGGGTCAGGGAATAGAGAAGGGCAAGACAGACGCTGGACACCAGTCGCTGAAGTTCCGGCGGAGTTCGTCCACGTCTGCTCCCAACTGCTTGTGCTCGTCACCGAGCGAGCCGTCGTCAGGGAAGACTGCGACGCAGTTGAAGAGCTTCTCGCCGCGGCTGCCATCCTAGATCAGCAATTGTTTCCCTGTATCGCTTGCGAACGCACTTACAGCAGCGTGCCGATGACATGCCTGCCTGGTCCCCACCAAGCAGTGGCGGCATGGCCCTCGACCAACGGCGCAATCACCGGATCGTCCTTGTACTTTTCGATCTCCAGTGCGAACTGAAAAGCGTAGTCTCCTGTCGGGAGCGCGGGCACGGGCTTCTGCGAGATAATGTCGCGCATCTTGCTCCTGACGCCATCAGCGCCGACGACGAAGTCGCTGTACAGGACTTCTCCCGACGCGAGAGTCACGCTCGCCGTGGCCACGTCCGCGTCGACCACCCTAGACCCCAGCCTGATCTCGATGCCCAGGCTCTGCACCTTCTTCAGCATCGCCATATGGAGATCTGCCCGATGGAGCATCCACACGGGTGCATTGTACTTCTTGAGCGCAAAACTCGGGTCCATCTTCACCTCGCTCAGCACCTCTCCATTGTCCCATCTCAACACACGCGATACCCGGCTCTGGACAATGACATCTCTCAGATCGTCTTCGAGGCCCCACCGGATGAGTTCACGAGTGGCGTTGCTTGAGATCAAGACTCCGGCGCCGATTTCTCGTAGAACAGATGCGCCTTCGACGGCGGTGACGCGGTGACCGGCGTCGTGGATCGCGAGAGCGGCGGCGAGTCCGGCAATGCCGGCGCCCACGACAATCACGTCGAGCACCTGGTTGTCGACTGCGTGTGGAGACATTGTGAATATGAGCCTTGGTGAGACCGACGCCGCTACCCACGGCTGCGATGGCCACGACCTGACTACTGTAATTACAGTATCAGTTCGGCATGGCGGCTACGCCATTCCGCCACCCATCCTGTCACATGGCTCGAACTGTACAGTCTCATCTAAGAAACTGCACGGTACAATGTTGTCAAGCATCTTTGTTATCCGGGGAAAGACGCCACCCGGAGCAGTATTCAACAGCCGTGACAGCCGTGTTGGTTGGCGGGCTAAAATTGCGCCGGCAATGCGGCATCCATGAGCCAGATCACCAACTACAATGCATATCGGCAAATCACTATTTTGCAGAGGATGTGACGGCAATAATGCAGGACCGGCGCCCATCAAAGCATGTCGCGATCGAGAAGAGGTAAGTGCGTAGACTCGTCTTAATCCCGAACAGTCGAGACCCCGGCGAAAGCTAAGCAACGCAACGCTTCTGTCATGTCACCGTCGCGCACAGAAACCCCGGCCAACCGCCTTCGTGTCGTTGTGGTCGGCGCAGGATTAGGGGGACTCGCCGCCGCCATTGCCATCTCCCGAACTGGGCTCGCAGACGTACAAGTGCTCGACGCCGCGTCCAAGCTCGGTGAGTTAGGTGCCGGCATCCAAGTCAGCCCAAACTGTTCGCGTCTCTTGATCCGATGGGGCGTCGACAAGTATCTCGATGACAACGTGGTTCTGCCCAGGTACGGAAAAGTCATCAGATGGCAGAACGGCGAGGTATTGAGCCAGGCGCCCATGATGCCGCAGATCCAGGAGAAATACGGCTTTCCGCACTGGCATGTCCACCGAGCCGACCTGCATGAGGCTCTCAGGAAGAAAGTGGAGGAGCTGAAGATCCCCATCAAGGTCAATGCAAAAGTCGTTGGTGCGGATGTCGATGAGGCCAGCGTCACGCTGCACACCGGCGAGAAGATCACCTGTGACTTTATCATTGGAAGCGACGGGCTACGGTCGACGATGCGCGAGGTCGTGCTGCAGGGCGCGGAAGCCGCGCCGCCATTCGTGACGGGGGATTATGCATACAGATTTACTGTGCCTACAGACGAAATGGCGGGTGATCCGGTACTGGCGGACTGTGTCAAGGTGCCTATGGCCATTGGATGGTGGGGACCGCGAATGCACGTTGTGGGATACAAATTGCGGAATGAAACCATCTTCAATGTCGTGGCGGTCTTCCCCGACGATGGCACCATGGACAACACGTACAAGATGGAAGGTGAGATCGAGCACTTGAAGGAGCTGTACGCGGGCTGGTGTCCGCAGGTTAAGGCCTTGATAGAGCGCGCGAGACCGGGCACCGTCACGAAATGGAAGTTGATGGACTTGCCGCCATTGCAGAGGTGGCATCGAGGCAAGTTGGTGCTGATAGGAGGTCCGTACCAACCACATGCTGCTTCACGCGAATGACAGCTTGGGAGCTGCCGTACTGATGGAATACAGATGCTTGCCATCCAATGCTCCCGGAAATGGCTCAAGGGGCGTCACAAGCCGTCGAAGACGCCGCTGCTTTGGCACAGTGTCTACGACATTTGTCTCTCCGGGAAGTAGGTCCCGTATTCCAACAACTTAGGTATGCACGAGTCACACAGATCCAGAAGTACGCCCGGGAACAGCGGGGCAAGAACCACATGCTGGACGGTCCAGAGCAAGAAGCCCGTGATGCTGCAATGAAGGACGCGAATGCGGCGGCTAGGACTGCATATGCATGGAATTGGGCGGCCGAAGATGGCGAACCTCCGAGGCCTTGGAATGAAGGGTTGTTTGGGTATGACGCGGAGGAGGAGGCATTGAGGAGGATCAGGAAACTTGGATACGCTGTTGAGGACGAGTAGAGACATCTCATCTCCCTGACTCGTCGTCACAGCTCAGCCAGAAGCGCTTCCATTAGACTCAGACATTGATGAAGGGACGCTATAGACACGATACTTTGTCTCCATCCAAACGAACACCACAGGGACCCGCTAGTACTGTCATTCTATCAACCAGATGATCGGGCCCATGAGGCCCATGCCAAGAACAATCTAGAAGGCGGGCCAACTCTGCACGTAACATTGTGCCGCACGTGGCCGGGTCAATACTACAACATTGTGCCGGTAATGGGAGGCTCCTCTTCGGGGAGGACCTGGAGTACATGTACAGTCTGGGGCCCCAGATTCCACCACCCCCACCTTCACAGACAGGTGGATCTACAGGTGCGAGCCTTTTTGATCCTTCTTCTGTCTATCTCATCCTTGCAAAGGCCGCTGACGCTGACATTTCAGCCTTCACAATAATACCGTCAGCAACCCCCATGGCATCCTCACAAAGCGACAGCCTCGCGGCGAACTGGAAATGCTTGCTCGCATGCCTGCTCATCGCCATGGGACGTGAGTTGACTGCTGCATTATTGTTCATCTGGTCGCAAAGAAGTGCGGTGCTGACACTGGAGAAGCGTTCCAATACGGTGTCGACTTTGGCCTCATTGCTGGTATCCAAGCCATGGTGGGCTTCGACCGAGTGAGTCATGTCCCGACCTCCCTCAGACCCCTAAGATGAGTATACTGAGTCTTCATTTAAGGTCTTCGGCCACAGAGATGAGCTATCTCCAACCGGATGGAACCTTAGTCCAGTCACTCAGCAGCTGATTTCGTCTTTCATGACCATCGGTGCCGTGATCGGTTGTGGCTTTGTGGGTGCGTGACATCTTCCTCCTGCTCGTCCTGCTCGTCCTTGCAACTTTCTGTGGATTGCGAGGAGGGAAGATACGGATATAGTACTGAAGAGCTACTAGGTCCCCTGTCGACCAAGTTTGGGAGGAAGCAGTGCGTCTGGCTTGCCATTATTTGGTGCTATGTGAGCGACGCCATCATGATGGGCACCACCAGCGTCGCCGCTTTATACGTCGGACGCATCATGATCGGTATTGGTCAGTTCGCACTCTTTTCGAGACCGGAATCCAGCATGTACTGACGATAGGGCGAAAGCGAATGGCTGGTTCATGACCTTTCCCCAGCTGTACCTCCAAGAAGTGGCACCAGCACACCTTCGGGGGTTTGTCTATGTCTTCTTCCAGTTCTGGGTCGCGCTGGGCTCTCTGATTGGCAATATCGTTGGTAGGCATAACACCCGCGTAACTGTCCAGATCTTTCGCAGTCCTGGCTGACCTTCTGGCAAAAGATAACTTCACCGAAAAGTTGCCCGGCAGGGAATCCTACCTCATCCCTCTCGGCATCATCTACGTCGTGCCACTCATTCTTGGCGTTGGCATCATCTTTATACCCGAGTCGCCACGCTGGCTATTGACCCATGGTCGAAAAGAAGAAGCTCGCAAGGCCCTCTTGTGGCTGAGGCCCGAAGGGACCAACGTCGATGCCGAGATCCTGGCCGTCGAGACGGCGCATAATCTCGAGATGGAGAGTGCGGGCAAAGGATCGTGGACCGACATCTTCACCAACAAGATCGAACGGCGTCGCACTCTGCTCTCGCTTGGCTCCCTCACCCTCCTGTCCGCTCCCGGCGCCATGTGTAAGCCCCAGCCCCAGGTCCCCAAGCCTCCCCCGAATACATTGTCGACTCAAGCTAACGTCTGCTGCCCACAGTCATGATCATGTACGGCACTTACTTTTTCCAAATGGCGGGAGTCGGCAAGCCCTTCGAAGACAGCTGCATCCTGTCTGCCTTGTCCGTTGTCGGCATTCTCGCCTCGTCCCTCTTCGTCACTCGCCTGGGCCGCAGGACCATCCTGATGTCCGGCATGGTCATCTGCGGCGTCATGCAGCTCATCCAAGCCTGCGTCTACGACGCCCAGCCCACCGCCTCCTCGACCGGCAAGGTCATTGTCGCCATGAACATCATCTACATGTTCTTCTACAACGCTTGCTTGGCCGCCTACGCGTGGCTGGTCGGCGGCGAGATGCCCAGTCTGCGACTGAGGTCCTTCGTCTTCGGCCTGGCTGGCGTGGTGGGTTTCTTCTGGCCGTGGCTCAGCGTCTTCACTGCCCCGTACTTCATCAATCCGGACAGTATGAATTGGGGTCCCAAATATGGCTTCATTTGGTTCCCGAGCGCCATCGTAGCCACAGCCTGGATCTATTTTTTCCTTCCGGAGGTCAAGGATCGCACTCTCGAGGAAATCGACGTGATGGTGAGTCTGACTGTCTCTGCGTGTGCTGTATTCTTTTCTTTTCTTCCCACTGCTCAACATAGTATCAGTCACCACTGACAAGATTGTGCTTCTGCAGTTTCAAGCCAATCTCCCGGCTCGCAAGTTCAAGGGCTATGTCTGCACAGAAACCACGTCGAGTATGCGACGGAAAATTGTAGCAGAGAAGGATGATCTTGAGGTTTCCGCCATGGAGGTGAAGGCCGTGGAACACGCCGCGCCGCCGCATACGTGGGAGTAGGACGAGGACGAGGATGAAGCGAATCCATCATCTCTTGTGGCCATTACGCAGACATTTTGTTCTTGATGACAATTGTAAATATGAGCAGCTGAGAACCTTCGAATTCGGCCTTCTGAATTCTGCCATAGAACCGAGAGTTGACTTCTGTATCTCCGAAATGCCACATGGACCATGGGTTCATTGGTTCGGCCCGCCATCCAGCGTCTCCGACCCAAGTCCCATCGTCCAGTCAAAGATATCGCTGGAAAAAATCGACGCGTCCATGGGATTAGTATGCAGCGACGGGCCCGGATTGCTTAGGCTAGTGTTCGTGTTGTCCGGGCGTTGAACTCCTCCGATTACCTGTTCATGGCCTAACGCGACGACCCCTTCCAAGGTGCCGCCCCAAGCCCAACCACTGCTGCTGCCGACGGACCGCCTGGGCATGCTGGGGACGACCTGCGCGGTCTTCTGTCTTGACACGGGTTGGTTCGTGACTGGTATGACGTGAGTCAATGGCTCGCTGAACGGCACGGTGTTGGCTTCGATCTTGCCAGCATGTTCAGTGAGTTTTTCTGAACGGCACCATGATTGGAAAAAGTTAGCGCCCCCGATCATGACATTGTTCATCAATCGTGCGTGTGAGTCTCGAGCAAGAGCGTTGCCTCACTGGGCCTCACTGACCTTGCATGCCCCAGTACTTCCCAAATGTCAACAGCGCCTTTACTATCAGATCCATGTCTCGCCCTCTATAGTGGCCCTTGCGTTGTACCAACTCCAGTAGTCTGACTCGCGCAGCCAGCACGAGAGGGTGAGGGAGGAGATAGTTTCCAGTATAGGGCACGTCTAGGATCCCATATGCGACGTCGAGGATTTCTTCCGCCGCGGCGGTACAACGAGTTTTGGAGGAGCCGTGCGATTCTCTGCGCGCGATGGGATGGTGCAGCAAGAGGAGAGCACTGTCACCGTCAGTAGGGGAATCGAGCCATCAACAAATTCACTGTGCTCCTACCTATGGGCCAGCGCGAGCGTCGTTGGGTCGAGCAGATATTCACCTTCGAGCTGAGAATTCCGCCAGCTGCCTGGGAAGGAGCCAAGATACGCTTGGATGATGTTGTCGATCTTGTACAATTCCTCGGCGTTCTCACTGCTGCTTCGCAGTCGAAATGTCTGGTTGAAGTCGCTGACCTTGGCGAATAAGCCGAGCGCCTGTACGAACCTGGCAAACGGACCTGCGTCGCACGCATGGCGGAGAGAAGTGATCGGTTCGGTTACCGGCCTCGTAGCTGGTCGTGAAGCTGGCTGCGTCCATCAGTTGTCGTCACCGGACCTACTCCCATTCCTCCTCTGGGGAGTACTTACATCGGCGAACCATGCTTCATCACTGATAGGTAACATGACGGTGATGTCCCGCTTGACCGGGAAGCCCATCTCGCGCTCCTGAATCAAGGCCATCCAACGACTTAGACTCAGCACCATCAGGAACGCCCTCCTTCGGCCTTCTTCATCGATCCAGTCTACCGGGCGGTCCATCCATCGATTCGGCTTGCTCTCACCGTCCTCTTGATCCTCCATCCTCAGCAACTTGAAGGCACTTGCGAGTGAAAGGGCGGATCCCACAGTCGTTACCGCGTGCACCGAGGAGTTGGGCATCCCGATCTCGTAAATGGCCTGCAATATCAATGCATTGAGGGTGCTCATATCAGGGTTGATAAAGGTTGCTTGCGTCGTTTGCTTGGCGAGACTGTAGAAGATGTCGGACTTGGATGCGAGGGAGGGGTTGTGGCGGGAGGCGAGTGCAAAGACGGACAGAGACACGTGTGCGTCCTTGTCGACGCCGAAACTGGGCTTGTGCAAGATGGGTACGAAGGGATGGCAGCGGGTGAAATAGATGGTGCAGCTGTATGACCGTCAGCAGATGATCCAGCGTTGCGGGCAAGAGCAGACCAGACGAGACGACGTACAGACTGTTTTGATCCTCCGCCGTAAGTAGTTCTGATATTGCGAGTCTCGCGATGTCGAAAGGATCCTGCATCAGGATATCATGGTCGGAGGACGCGTACGGCGAGGTCTGATCCAGGAGCCGCGATGGCAATGTGTCGTCAGATGGAAATTCGTATCGGGTGGCCGCCTGAGCATGGGAGAGATGGTTGCCACCCTGCGTCTTGCCTTGTAGGTCGCGAAGCTCATCATTCTCTGCTTTGAGTGCTTCTGCCAACCAGTGAGTTTGACAGACACAACGAGGATTTCGAGAATGGTAGATTCATACGGATCTGAGCTTCCAGGTTTCGGACGTAGCCTCGAGGCAATCCGGTCTTCTTCCATTCCACATACTTGCACGACGGCTGGCCATCTTCCTCGCATTGAGAGCAGGCCGGTCTCCGGGAGTCGCATTTGACCTTCTTCCTCCGACAAGCCGCACACGCTATCGTCGTGGACTTGTTTGCACTCTGCGCCGACTGTCGCCGGGAAACTGATGGCCGTGCGGCCTGTGATGGCAGTACCTGGGGGTCGACGGTGGAGGTAGGAGAGGCCTGCATCAGTCTAGCCAGTGGCCGAGAACATGCACGGGGATGCTGCAGTGGGAAAAGATAGAAGGTGAAACTGTGAAGTCCCATGCTCGTACATCACTTGTACATCACCTGTCCCTTACCTGCTCCTCACCTGCCATTCATCTGCACCTCACCTGCACCTCACCTGCAACCCCACATTTCCCTCGCCTCATGATACTGCCGTAATGGTCGCCCCTTGTCTCCCCACATTTCCTGCCGTGTGTTGATCATTGCAGATTCAGGGCTGTCCTCCCACTGTCTTGTTCGCCTCAGGAATGCCGCGCGACAATCAAAACGAGGTAGATCATACAGCGGGATGCACTGCCAGATGTAGTCCTCATGCGACGCCACATTTTCGGCGGCATATTTGCAGTTTTGACTCTGCCCATTCAGGGTTGTTGGTTCAAGGAGACAAAGGACTGGATCGCAAGGCTGGCATCGAGCTTCGCTGTTAATGGCGTGATTCTGGCTTCGCTTCAGGTCATTGGCACCAACGAGCTCATCCTACACGGTAAGCACGTCGCCACTCACTGCTACCCGCCTATTTAATTCCCACAGACACACGGAAGCGGCAACGTATCCAAAGCTGACCAGGACTTCTTTCGAAGGTCCTTTCACGGTTGCAGAATTTGAAGTTTCCAATCCAACCGCCAAACAGGCCACACTCCGTTCAAGGGCGTGCTCACTCTCCACGCCCTCGTCCTTAAGGATACGACCGACAATATAACGCAAAGCATCACGGAAGCTTTCTCGCAGACTTTGCGAGTTTTCGCGCTGAGTTTTACTCTGCGCGCCAGCTCGGCCCATGATGTTACCTATGAAGATCTCGTACTCGCTGAGAGGCTGGGAATAGGAGGTTCCGTAGTCGACGGCAAAATCATGGACAATGGATTCGTATCTGAAATCGTGTCAGTCAATGGACAAGAACCCGCCCAAAAATCCGGAAGCGCATACTCATCACGGATTCCAACTGCTCTAGGAACATGTTCCCTCCATTTGACAAACTGACACCGCTGATAGACGTTGGCCCAGACGGCTTTCAGTACCGATTGTGGCTGTTGGGCAAAGTGCAGGCGTTCTGCGCGAGCGGCGCTCTGCACAGTCGAAAGGATCTTGTACTCGTCAATGGCCCGAAACAGCTTTCCCAAGACTTTATCACTCTCGTAATATCTGTACGCCGGCCTGTCTTCGTCATCATCGTCATCGTCATCGCGAGACTCCGGTGGAGCCGCGAAATTCAGTGGTTTCGCCTTCTCAATAACAACGTGCGGTCCTGGTGCCATAAAGTTAGGTCGAAAATGGTTCGAGCGTGGCAGCTTCGTCAAGTCGACCTATATCGTTAGCTGCCCAGTCAGAACAGGACATCTAGATTTGACGAACCGCTATTCCACTCTTGGAGTAATCCACAGCTGTCGAATGCAGTCCTGCAAGCTTGATGCAGTCGGGATCCAAAGTGCCGTCGTCACGTTGGTCGGCGAGAAATTTATGCTGGTTGGCGATCCTGCCCAGCTGGTCGGTTGCCATGAAGGTGATGAAAAAGTCCGTCATATCTTCTCGCCGGACTGACCGTCCGAGGTCGATGGGCTCTGCCCTTGGATAATCGGCGGGCTCGAAAAGACGTTTTGGGCGAGCTTTGGGGTCAAAGAGAATCTGGTACAGGTCCCCATCGAGGTCCCCGCCGCTGAGTTGACTTGGGAGATCCCTGCTGCCTTGAGAACTAAAGCATACACAGTTGCGAAGTGCCATAAGTGGTGAGGAATGGGGCACCGTTACTCCTGTGACGCACCGAACATCGCCTGGGTGAAGAGCTGGAGAGCGTGATATGACCAAATTCTCGCCTGCGATGACTTTAGGGAGGCCACCCTCCTCGACTATGCAGAAAACTTGACCCTCTTGAAGTAGACCGGTCTCGTCCATGATCCCGCGGAGAGTGTATCCATCCTTGACTGGGATCCTGGCCTTGTACTTCAATGCCCGCAGCTCCATCATGACAGCCATTTCGATGACATTGGCAAGGAAAGTGTCATGCAGGAAAGAGATTTTCATCTTGGACAACTGTCTGATGAACCAGGGAAGGTGGATGATGTCGCCGATGGAGTGAGCTTTGAGGAATTGAGAGGCTCGGGTAGGGCTGGAAGTGGTCGATTGGAGACGATCGAGCTCCTTGTTCTGGTGGAAAAAGAAGAAACTCTCGTCGACACCAATGTCTTCAAGGATCTTGATTGTCTGTTGATTCAGAAAGTAGGGTAATGGTCGGTAAGCAGCGTCGCATATTTCGATATCGAGGGAACCTGGCGCAAAGAATTTGACCATAGACTTGCGTAAAAGCATCTTCTCGCCAGTGAGTCTGGGATCCCATGATATCATTCCTTTTGCGCCTGTTGCACCGTAAGCGCAAGATAATGTAGACCACATTTAGAGATTGGGCCGGTATTGTCGACAATGGTTGAGGCGGATATGCAACAGACGAAGACTAGGATGGGACTGCGGATGAGACATACCTGAGTACCGGATCTGAAAGATGCAAGGTTTGACCTTTCCCTCAACCGGCATTGCAGCCCAGATCTTTTCCAGTAGGATCTTCGATATCGTTCCGACGCCGTCGCTGAAAACCCGGCCATTCCGCTCGATGTCATCAATCACTTGAGCCACCCCCTCTGTCACGGTAACAGCGATAGGCGTTTCTGAGAAAGCTTGTCCGATCCTGGCAGCGCACTTTGCTGGCCACCGCATCCTTGAAAAGTCGCCTAGGCCTCGGATGAGTTGACGATCGTACAAGAGAGACCCATCATGAATAAACGGAGCCATGAACCAGCAGGACTGTGCGCGAAGGGAAGAATGAGAAAACCCAAGGAACGCGTAACGCCTTCCGGCTACATGGAAGCCTTCATTGAGTATCTTTTTGAATCTCGAATAATAGATAGTGTCATTGGACCAGTGGGCACTGTAATGAATAGGGTCTCCGTTTTCATCACAAAATTGTACCCGGATGAATGCGTCATGGTTTTCATGGTACTTCCGAAGCACTCTGTTGTGGTTAACGGGCTCCGGGCCGTAAAGGTACATTCCTGCAGGCGTAAAGGTCACTCTGTGGATATGCGCTCGGCCGCCGATGTTTTGCATCTCTTCCGGAAGGAGACCGCCTTCCCTCACTCGAGCCTCGGCGGCCCGCAAAGTTTTCCTTGCGGCGAGGAGGCCGGCGTTCTCAAAATCTGTCTGAAGACATCGAGATGGAAGTTCATGGGATAATCTCCTAATCGCGTAAGCGCAGATCTGGGGACCCGTTCGAGTTATCATGGCGTCGATGTCCCCAAGCAGCCCGTATATGGTACTTGGTGGGAGAACTGCGTTCTGCACAAGTGCTTGTAGTTGGAACTTGACATTGAAAGGAAGAGATGCAGGGCTGCGCGTCGTATTGACGCCCTCGAGGCGTCCAAGAAGAGCGTTCATCTCGGCTTTGTATGGCTTCTGTGGTTCGACAACCTCGACATGCTGTTGAAGGGGCGATAAGACTTGACCTGCCCGACCCATTGCCGTCATTTGATGGTCAACAGTACTGCCTTCAAGATTGATTCGATAAACCAGACATGTGCCGGCCACTGTTTCATGGTGGCTGTTCAGACTTGGTATCCTCGTCCAATGCGGACCTTGACAGTTTTGACGGTTATTACCCAGATTCCCCAGGATAGTGATGATATCGTCGAGATCTGATGCCCCCAACGCGCTGCTGGATGCAGATTCGAAAAAGAGGGGGGCCGCATTCAGTGTCAAGGTTATCGCAGGATGCGGTAGACCTTCGATGTTGGTTTCAACAATCGATGTAAGTGGTATATCTACCCTCAACCCCTGGTCGGAGCTGATGATAGCCCGCTTGCGAACAAATTTCAGTGCCCCTCCGGTGAGCCAGTGGGTGTAAGGGAAAAAGACTGTCTTTGAACCTTGATAACCCCATGTTCCGCAGGAAAGGCTGAGGACTTTCAAGACCGTACGTTCGGCACCAGAGTGAGAACCAATTTGGCTCTGCCCAGTCGAACCTTTTGAAGCCAGCCTTGCTTTAGACTCCATTTGTAGACTTCTGAGTGCCAAAGGGTCGGGCTGCTTCTTACTGAGCGAACAAGAGAGGGGCACGCCGAAACACACGATGTTCGTTCTAGAGGCAGGCGAATATTCTCGCCCCGAAAGGTCTTTGGCCTGGCCATGGCTATCGAGGAAACGCTGGCCATCGCTGATGTTCAGGAAGATCAAATTGGCGAACTGGTTGCGTGGGCGCTTCTGAACTTGCCAATCATAGATTCCCAAGTCCGATAAGGGTGATCGAATGGATCTCTCGAATTGGTTCTGTGTCAGTCTCTCTGGGATGCCCCTGATATAGACCTCCATCAGTCGGTATTGCACGAAGGGGCGGGACTGGTGCTCTGGCACAGGGGAGATCAGGCTTCAAGAGATACGAGCAGGATGCAGGTTTCGCAGAATCCGGGTCCAGCTTCCCACAGCCACATGATCGAAGAGATTTCTCTCGATTAGTCCCATCGTGGATGGAAGTTCAAGGATGCAGCCGTCGTGCATGTTGAAAGCAAACACGAACAAGTGCCAGCTCAGCAGGACAAGCAGAGAAGCAGTAAAGCAGCAAGACAGCTATTGATTGGCCCTCATCGAGTCTAATCCGCTTTAGTCTTAGCGCGAAATCACAACGCTGACACGTCGATTTCTGTGATTATCGAATCTTGCTTCGTCCCCAGTCACTTCGTCTTCACCCCCATCTTTCTGGACAGCTGCGTTAGTCTCCCGGGGACCCTGGCCAGGCAAATGACTGTAGCAGCAGATGAATCCAGACAAATATGTCGGTGACGAATAATTCCCTGCACTATGTATTGGCCGTGCAGCGTGCCACAAATCTTCGCATACCATGGAAGTAAGCGACCCATTCAAGACCAAGCCAGACAAGGAGAGCCAAATCAGGAACGGGACGTGGACGATGCCTCTGCACAGAACGACCTCTCGAATTCAAGCGCAATAGTCGATGTGCAAGTCGCCCGCCACGACCATCTCTTCGCCACAGTCACTTCCTGCCAACTGGTTTTGTGGTCAACTCGCCCAGTAGTCGTTCTCGCTTCGATATCTCGATCAGCAACATCGCTCGAGTCATATGGAAAGAATCTGGGACTCGCATTCAGGCCTGATGCAAGCACCCTGGTTGTCCGCACCACTGAGAGCTATTTGATGCTATATTCTGTGGAAAGCGACCAGAATGCCCGAGTGTTGCAGCAGCAGTATGGCTACAGTCAGGCGAAGCGGCAGAACGTCGTGCGAAGCTTCGGCGTCGATGAGACCGTAGGCGTGGCAGAAGTGCTGCTCCGATTCCGTCGAGCCATCAAAATCGATGCCGGACTCAACTCCATCAATGCGCTGGATTCGGAGCTGGTTGTGGCGACCACCAAACCTCAGGCCGTGCAGTGCATCAAATGGGACTTGCAGAAGGATGGGTCCAACGCCGTGACCCAGACTCTGAACAAGATGGATTGGGTCACCCAGAAGTCTGGCATATCTACCATGGTGCACGACCGAGCCATGAATCTATCTGTTTGGGTCTCGCAAGATGGACATGCGTACGCGGTGCAACGAGTCAAACCGCAGATGTCGCGAGCACCCTCTTCGGACGATTCTCTCCCTTCGTCGAGAGGCTCGACCAGTCCGTCGACCAGACTATTCGACGGATACTGCTTCCATAAGCCCGATGCATCGTCCCCGGCAACACTCGCCAGTATCAATGCCCGGTTCTCGCTCATTGCCATAGCCACATCGAGTGGCGAGATTACTTGTTACGCCGCCAAAGACTATGTTGGCAACATCCCATTTTCGCATGCTTTCAAGACATCTACCTCGCCTTCGTCAAGAGGCGCAGTCACTTGTCTGAAATGGTCGCCGGACGGCTACTGCCTGTTCGCAGGTTACGAACACGGCTGGTCGACGTGGTCAGTCTTCGGGAAAGAAGGCGCCTCGACCTTCCACCAGAACGTCACTCATGCGGAGTCGAACAACGAGAGTTGGCTGGTTGCTGTCCATCGAGCAGCCTGGATCAGTGGCGGCGCGGAGATCCTGCTCGTGTCCCCTTCACAAGACCGAATCTGGAAAATGGAGATGTCGCGCAGTGCGGCTATGGGCTATTTCTCTTGCGCCAACCTCGTGCGCGCCCTCCTCCAGACGCCCACGGAGTTGACAGTCTATCGCGGCCATGAGCTTCCTGACTTGACTTCGATATCGAATGAGGCGTCGTTGTGGCATCATGCACAATACCCATCTGTCTATCTGCACAATCAGTGGCCTATCAAATCCTGCGTCGTGTCACAAGACGGAAGATATATTGCCATTGCTGGCCGTCGAGGCCTGGCTCATTATAGCGTCCAAAGTGGACGCTGGAAGACCTTTGTTGATTTATCGGTCGAGAGCGCTTTTGCTGTTCGTGGCGGCATGTGCTGGTTCAACCACATCCTTGCTGTTGCAACCGAGAATGCTGCAGGATATGACCTCCGGCTATACTCGCGTGAAGGAGACCTTGGCCGCTTCCCTCTGCACGCAGAATCATTTTCGATGCCAATCGTCTTTGTCGGGCCGTCTGGTGAAGATTCACTTCTGGTATACACCTACGAGAACATCCTCTACCACTACATCCTCAACATCACCGAGCGCGGCGCACAACTTGTCCAGGTCGGTCAGATTGCGTTTCATGGGATTGTGCGTGCACCGAGTCGAGTACGCTCCGTCAGCTGGGTCGTGCCTGACTCTCAACTCCGCAACGGGGATCCCTCACGAGACGTCGAATTCGCCTCTGTGTTATTCCTCGTTGACGACAAACTAGTGTTGTTGCAGGCTTCGAGGAACGAGAAGGATGAGCTCAAATACGACATGCGGGTGATTGCACAACATGTCGAATACTACATCCTCATGCGTGACCAGATCTACTTCAACTTCAGTACCGGTCCTGAAGAGTCGGCACCTCCCACCCCATCGCCAGGCTCGGCGTTCACGATGCGAAGTCAGCAAAACTACTCCCTTCGAGACTCCCTCTGGATCTTCAGTGGCGAGGAACTTCGCCTATGGCCCGATGTTCGTGACCTGCTTCATCACGCGGCGGGAGACCACAATACCGCCCCTGCCTTGTCCATGTCCGTGGATTTCTACCCGCTATCAATCCTTCTGACCAAAGGCGTCGTCCTGGGGATTGAATCCGAACTCCTCCAACGACGGGACGTCAACTTTGCGCAATTCCGTTCCAGCATCCGAACACAGCTATTCATCCCGTACGTCCTGCGCCATCAACTCTGCGAAGCGAACGACACCGCCGCGGCATTCGGCCTCGCGAACCAATACCAAAACCTCTCTTACTCCCCCCACGCACTAGAGATTCTGCTGCACAACGTCCTCGACGACGAGGTTGATCGAAAAGCCAAAGAAAAAGTCGATGACGACGATGACGACGACGACAACGCCGGTCAAGTCTCGCGAGGGCCCCTCCCCGCCGTGCTCTCCTTCCTGCAACTCGTCCTCCCGTCCCCGACCTACCTATCCACCGTGGTGCAGTGCGTGCGCAAGACGGAACTCTCCTCCTGGCGAACGCTGTTCGCTCACCTCCCACCGCCACTGACGCTCTTCGAACAGGCCCTCGCGCTCTCGGACCTCAAGACGGCCTCCTCCTACCTCATCGTCCTGCAGGGGCTGGAAGAAGCTGACGACTCCTCTGAATATACCTACGACGCACGCAAGTTCGAGGGCTACGTGATCCGACTGATGAAGCTGGCCCGGCAGAAAGGGGATTTTGAACTGTGTGCCGAGCTGGCGAGGTTCATGATGGGCATCGATCCGCGAGGAGAGGCGCTCAGGCGCGTGATTGTCGGGGTGGGGTTCAGGGAGAAGAGCACGCATCTGGATCCACAGAGGTCGCTGGCGGCTGGGGGCACACAGACGTTGCAGATCCCGCGGACTCGAGGGAAGGCTGCCAGAGAAGAGAGTTCCGATGGGAGTGGGAGTAGCGCTTCGAGCGTGGGAGGGAGTCCGATTGGGGGTGGGGATTATTTCTCGAGTTCGCCGGGGGGTTACTAGTATTGAGTCGGGGGGCGGCGCAGTGCAGTGCAGTGCAGTATAATGCAAAAAAGATCACACACACATACATGTATCGTCTCCGCCCGTGCCGATTGACGGCCGGCATTCGCATATGTAATGTACATGTACACCCAAATGTCCCTTCGACGAGAGATGACATGGCATCATCACATCACGTCTATAGAAACAGGCGCCGGTCCAAGCGATCTGAACCCACCAGGAGATGTACATCGCCCGCCAATCTCAAACATTGCTTGGAGCAGTGAAGCAGTCTTGGTCCTTGATCCCTTATCACCACGAATACCAAGTACTGATATGTAGTCCATATCCATAATGATAAAACCTTAGGGCCCCCTGTCTTTCGTCCTCTCCCTCCCTCCTAACCCAGCCTCCTAACCTGCGGACTCCTGGTCCCCCCAAACTTCAACCTCGTCCCGTCCGTGACCTTTGAGATCAGCGGCTTGATCATCCGCCCCTCCGTCCCGAGGAGCGCCTTCTGGAAAGCCTCCCTCCCGGGGCCGTACCCTCTCAGGATGACCTCGATCCCCGCGCCCGCGGAGCCGCTGTACGCGGGCTTCTTGATGCTCGACAGCGTCAGCCACGGGCTTTTGGAGTTCGCGCCGCCAATCTTCCACTGTTTCTCGGCCATCTTGCGGAACGTGTACGCGGCCAGTTGGAAGCTCGCGTCGTACGAGGCCTTTTGCGCGTTGCGCAGGCCCAAGTTCCCGCACGACAGGCTGAGGATCGGGTTGCGGCTCGGCTCGGTGAATGTGATGTGTGTGTTGTGTCTGTGCGCGTACACGTTCAGGTGGTACGGTTCGTCGAGGTATGGATTCGGGGCCCGGGTCGCCGTGCTGGTGCCGGACGAAGCAGAAGAGGCGTCTTCGCCGTCGAATAGAGAAATGGTGCGGAGGTCGTTCTTCATGCTGTTGCGCATGGCGTTGTTGGTCGGTGTGGCGGTCGGGGGTTGGAGGACTTCGGAAAAGGCGGCGAGGGGGTCGACGGGCGTCCTGGGCGTGCGGTCATCGTTGTACTTGATGCCGAAGCGTTGGGCGAGGCCGCCTCTCGACGGGCGTTCTGGTTCTTGAGACGTCGAGGTGGTGGAGAGGGTGCGGTGGGATTGGGTGCGTGCGAGCTGGGATCGTCGGCATGAGCGACATATGGACGACAGGAGGAGGGGCTTTGGGTGCGCCATTGTCGCTGTCGTGGACGGACGGGGACAGTTGAAGCTCTGACATGAACATGGACATGAACGTGGAGATTGAGAGGCAGATTGAGATGCAGAATTTGTACGGCGGAGCATAACGCGCCGAAGTTCAGCCGCAGCGAAATTGACTTGGGCTTCTTTTGCAAAAGATGCGTCCTTTGATCATGAAGGAGCTTTTTGAATAACGTCCTCACTGCGCGTCTCTTGTTCTACCGCCCTCCTTTGTCGATATCTCCTGCATAGCATGGTTGTACCGCGTCGCGCGCCTCTTCATGGTGTCCGTCAGTATGTGACGACCACCTCCGCGCTCGCCACAGTCCGACAGGCGCAACATGGAAGAACTGCAGCCTACAGACGGTTACTGCCATCGCCTCTCGTTTACACCTCCCGCCTTCCTCCTTTCTCACCTCGACTCACTCTCTCGGACCAGCAGCTAATCCGATCCCTCACCACCTCTCGATTACAATCGCAGCAACAACCCAAAGCTGACCCTAAAGAGGAAGTCCGAGACCCGCCGCGGGACGAAAAGCCTGAACAAGAAGCCTCGGGCGAAAAGGAACAGAAGGACGAGAAGTCAGAGAAGGAACAGAAGGATGACAAACCCCCTCCACCTCCCCATGGTGACAAGACTCCCTGGCAGGTCTTCACCGAGACCCTGCGTTCAGAATTCAAAGCGTCCAAAGAATGGAACGAATCGACCAAGCAGCTTTCCGGCTCGGTCCAGCAGTTTACTGAATCTGAAGCCGTGAGGAGAGCACGAGAAGCCTCTGAAGCGGCAACAAAGGGAACTTCCCAAGTACTGAAGAGCACCGCCAGTGCCATTGGCTCGGGTGCAGCATGGACCTGGGAGACCCCTGTCGTACAGGGCATCCGGAAAGGCGTCAACGCCACGGGTCGCGGTATTGAAAAAGCAACTCGCCCCATTCGAGAGACAAAAGCCTTCAAGGACGTCTCAGAAGCAGTCGACGATGGCAGCAGTTCCAGATACGGCGGCTGGATCGAAAAGGAAGAGCGCAGAAAGCGAGAAGAAGCGCGTAGGTTGAGGGAAGCCCAGAGTCCTGAAAAGAAGCAGGAGCAGATGGTTGAGGATCCAAAGTAAGTGCCAAGTCAAGACAGTTCTGCCTTCCTTCATACTGACTGCGTTCCCAGCGCCGGCACCAACATCACTGTGCACAAAGACTCTGCGTGGCGCGAATCCTGGACCAAGTTCAAGGAAAACTCCAAACTCATGCAATCGCTGTTCAACATGAAGAATACCTACGAAGAGTCCGAAAACCCAATCATCTCCACTGCACGCTCCATTTCCGACCGGGTCGCCGGCTTTTTCGCCGAGAATGAAACAGCCATGGTGATCAAGAAATTCAGAGAAATGGACCCGTCATTCCAGATGGAGCCGTTCCTGCGGGATATGCGAGAGTACATTTTGCCCGAAGTGTTGGACGCGTACGTTAAGGGCGACGTGGAGACACTCAAGCTGTGGCTTTCTGCAGCCCAGTTTCAAGTCTACTCTGCCCTGATGGAACAGTATACCAAAGCCGGGTTGAAGTCCGATGGACGGATTCTGGATATCAGACACGTCGACATTCTGAACGCACGACTGTTGGAGCCCGGTGACATCCCAGTCTTCATCATCACGTGTCGAACACAAGAGGTCCACGTCTATCGGAACGCCAAGACCAATGAATTAGCCGCAGGAATGGAAGACAAGGTGCAGCTTGTCACATACGCCATTGGCGTGACGAGACTACCGGAAGAAGTGAACAATCCCGAAACCAGGGGATGGAGGATGATTGAATTGCAGAAGGCCGCCCGAGATTATATCTAATGCGCCGAACTGGGACTGTACCAGTACCGCCTACTTTCCCTGTGTCTTAACAATATCATCGGGGTTGGACTCACCTCGATCATGATGTGCTTGTATTTCCAAAAGCTGGTTCAGTGGACATTGGGAGCCTTTTCAACGCTTTGTACTTTACTTCACCATGAGCCGGGGTTTACTGATGATGGCCAAGGGGGAATCAAACGGCGGGCCGGACATGCATAGCGTTCATTCGTTGGGCGACGGCTGCTAACATGACCAGCCGCACAGCCCGTGAGGCGTGAAGCGTGAGGCGTGAGGCGTGAAGCGTGAGGCGTGAGGCTGCTTGCACATAAAGAAATGCATAATTCTACTCTTCTGACATGCACTTGCCAGCACGAGAATGTGCTCTATTCGTTCTCGGTAAGAGTACTCAGGTACCTTCGTACAGCACGATCACCCGTTCATGCACGAGTCTGTACAGTGACGCAGGTCCATATCTGGCACGTGACCGCACAGCGGCAGATCCACCAGAAAGACGACTTCACGACGTCATCGCCCGCAACATCGTCACTCTCAGGTATCAACACCACCCGTGACCACTCAGGTGCTATTAATCCTCCGCCAGGCATCACTCGAACGACAGCCACAAGTACAAATACAGGCAGAGAGAAGTACACCTGGATTTCCTCTCTCCTGAAGAAACTTTCCCCAATCTCCACCGACTACAACTTTACCCTCACCTTTGCGAGAAGTACCTCTTCAATACTCAATCCTCGAATCAATACCAGGCCACTCAGATCCAGCTACACAGTTATACACTCACCTGATCTCCGCCCAAAATGCCCCTCGTCGTCCCCGGCATAACCTCGTCAGGCAACGGAGGAGACTCCTGGACCACCAAGCTCATGGGCAAGACCCTGGGCGACAAGCACGACGAAACCACGTTCGCCAAGAAAGATCTGCCGGGCAACCATCGCGTCGTGGACAGTGATGGCGGGATGATGACCATGGATCATAACCCTGAGAGGTGAGTGGGTGTGTGTGTGTGCCAACCAGTACTGTGACTATGGCTATCCTTGTTGTTTGTTCTTTGTGCTATACCATGCTAGGGGCCGGGCCCACTGGCGAGTGCCGAGGTCGATGGTAGGGTACTTGTGGGTAAAAGCGCGGGTTGGTGGGCGAACTGAACAAAAGGAGACGGGAGAAACTGTGTGTCGAGTCACCAGGTGACGCCGCACACACGCACCTGTACCGGTGGTGTTGACGTGCCGTGCGGGTCTACCACGAAAGGACCAGACGCCAAATACGCCGAAACCCCCCAAAATTTCATTCTGTCGTCGCATTGGTCGGATGGTCGGATGGTCGGATGGTCTGTTGATTCCTTGATCTAATGCTGAGCTGACCCTTCCTGTCGTGGCTATATAGGTTGAACATCCACGTCGACAAGGACGGGACGGTCAAGAAAGTGACGCACGGATGAGCCGCGCCGATCCAGATCGAGATCGAAATTAACTTGACGCGGTCGAGAATGGGATAGACGGCCTATGTAGTTGCATGTTGGGCGAAAGACTGGTCGCACGGAGGGCACGCATACGCACACGCACACGCACATGCGAGAACAGGGGTAAATCATAGAGAATGACACGGGTGAACGAAGGGAGACTACAGTACACGCTTCGATTAGAGCCAGAACAAGTCCGCCTTCTCTTCCTTCTCAAGGCACTACGATAAATTCCATTTACGGCTTATACAAAGAAACGAAACGCTTGTCTGTATCTATCCTGCACTCGCCCTGGCAATCCCATCAAGAAGGGTATCACTGCTCGGTCGACTTGTCCCTGCAATGTGGTTCTGTTTATACACCTCCCCCCCCGGCTCCATTCGCCTCATCCCATTGAACCAAGTACAGTATACCGTATGTTATCCAATTGCCAATACCTGTTGCAGATCGCCCCTACAGTATATTACTCCCCCTTGATAGCCCTCATCACCCTCTGCATGGCTCTCAGCCGTTCTCGCTCCAGAACGACGGTCTGCCTGACCATCCTCTTGACCTCTTCTCTCCCCCACCCTTCCCTCCAATCGTTCCAGCCTGCCAACTCCCCCACGACGACCTCGTTGGTATACCTTAACTCACGTCCTAGGCGTTCCACCTCCAGCCCTTTTTCCACCACTTTGCGCTCCGTATCCTTGACAGCTTTCATCCGCGATTCCTCCGTGCCTGGAAATGGGAGATTCACATTCTTCAGAAGCCCCCTCCGTGGCACAGAGTTGTTGGCCAGATTCGATCTGTCCTTTTCAATCTGTTTCTGCGCGGATGTGATTTTATCAATCAGCGCCGAGGGTTTCAGCAGTGCGGATTGCACAGCAGTGATCGTAGTTTGGAAACTTTGCAAGGAAGAGATGTAATTCCGCAAGGGCGATGATGCGGGCTCTGTGTGCATGAGACTGGCGAGCCGGAGGAACGTGTGCACCAGTGGCTCTGATAGGGTTGTTGCAGGAGCCGCGAGAGTGGCGAATGCCACGGCGCAGAGCGAATGAGCTTCGGCAAAGTCAGCCTGCGCTTGCACGTAAGCGTAGCCTTTACGGATGACCGAGCGGGTGGCGATGTTGATTTTGCGCACCATGTCGCGGGAGTGGGAGACCAAGCCGTCCACGGCGTTCATGTCCGCCCTCGAGGTCAAAGGGTCGTACTCATCATTGATCTTCTCCTGCACGAGCTCTGCCTTGAGTCGGGCCCGCTCAGCCATCTGTTCCTGCAGCATATCAGGCACGAGGAAGAATTCCCAGAGCATCTCATGTGTGGAGAACGTAGGGTGTTTCATCAAGATCTTGAGAAATCGGTCTAGGAGGCATTGCGAATCATACAAGACCGCCCTCGAAGGCCGAGAATGCAGTTGAAACGGGTTGCGGAAGTTCGAGGCCAACATGATAGGCATGTACGAAGCGGGAGAGTCCATGGAGAGCCATTTTGCCAGATTTTCGAAATCGAGGAGTGCGCGACGAGAGGTTGTTATTGTGTAAGTCGTGCTAGACACCGCAGGATTGGGCGCGCCGGACTTGAGGATGAACCGCGTCGAGCCGTCCTCGACGAAGAAAGAGCGGACGATTGCCGTGATGCGGCCAGTGGCGTCGACTGTATTTGCGGGCGAGAATAACGTTAGGTCGTCGATTCGGTTCCGCACTTCGTCATCTTTGGCCAGTTCGACCGCGGTCAAACCGCGAAAGTCCCGCACGTGTGTGTCGACTCTGGGATCACCCAGGAGTATCCTGACCATATCGACCCTCCCGTACTTGCTGGCCAGCATCAAGGGAGTGAACTTCTTGTCGTTCGTAGCGTTCATATCAACCTCGCAATACTGGAGTATCCGTTGCATGATGACTGAGTCATTCACAATATGTAGCAACGAGTTGCCTTTGTTGTCAACATGATCTTCAATGCGCAGGGGACCGTCATCCTGCTGAGCGTCTCTCGCAGCGATTAGGGCTTCAGAGACCATACTGCTGTACTCGGGATGGTCGTACGTGCGGCAGATCGCAAACAGAGGCGTATGTCCGATCTTGTCCTTTTGCCGCCAGGGCAGGACGTTGGCGAGTCTCTTGATCAGTTTAGGCGTGTTGAAGATATAGTGCGCGACGCTTCGGCCACGAGAGTCCTTGGCAGCTAGATACTCTCGGAACTTTGCCTCTTCCGCATTCCGTTCAACGAAGTCGAGGATGATATCGACCAGCTCCGTGTTGGCGAGCTGGACGGCAGCACTAAGCAATGTCGCTCCTTCTTGGTTCGAATCCGCCATGACTTCCTCTGGTCTGTAATGCTCGGAGAGACTCAGCAGGTAACGTAAAGATTGCGGCTGCTGGCTCTCGACAGCCATCATGAGGACCGAGTTCCCCACCGCGTCCTGGGTCTGCGCAAGGCTTTGTACAGACGTGTCACCCTCTATCCCGCTCAGGGATGTCTCGATGGTCGCTGCTCTAGACAAGCCCGAGTGTACAGAAGAAATCGACATGCTTCTAGCGGCCATATGGACCTTCTTCTTCTGCTTAGGGATCGAGCTTTTCTTCTCCGCTGCTTGGAAGGGAAATACGTGCGAAAGGCCACCTTCGCTGGATGGATTTCGCGACAGCGTCGGTCTTGCACACGTATCGGCTGCCTTGTTCGATGCGGTGGTCTTTCTTGACAGTGGGATTTCCAAAGGCTCCTCAACCAGGTCGTCATCCATGATAGCGGACTCTTCAAATATCGATCTGACCTCGTCAACCTTTCCACTCTTCACTGCTTTCCACAGCGACTGGTTCTGCTTGGATGCTTTGCGTAACCCGCCGGCATCTCGTGCCAGATATGTCAGTACTGCCTCCAGAGTGCTCAAAGAGTAGCCGATTTCGCCACTTTCGACGTCGTCGATGTAGATGAAGCGCTGCATATAGGACAATCGCGCCTGGAGATGTCTTACCGAGGCCCGGATGACCACAAGTAAGAGCATCGATACTAGGACATCGGCGTTGATGGTCATTGCCGCCACGGCCTTCTTCTCCTCGTCCGAGATTCCCGCCGGCTCTGACACTGCCTTTTGCGTTTCGAGTAAAATATCGAGCATTTCTTGTGGACTACCAGCCACGCCCATCTTTCGAAAGACCCCAACTCCGCGATTGATTCTGCTGATGAGATCTCGCTTACCGTTCCGACCGTCTTCGATAGAGATTCCAACTTGCGAGACATCCAAACAATCCATCTGTCGGATCCGCCTGTCGAGTTCTTGGTCTTGGGCTTTGTGAAACGCACATAACCGAGGGAATAGTAGCGAATCGTGTACGGACTCCGCCACATATCGCTCAATCAGCTTTTCCACGTCAGGACCAGTCAGGTCAGTTGTCGCGCCCAGGTTTGACAGTTGCTGCTTGTCAACTCCTTGGAACAAGTCAATGGCTGCAGTGACGGCCGTTTCCAGAGCTCTTCGCATGAGGTCCTCCTCGTCCTCGAAATATGCTGGAGAGTTGAACGGGAGTTTTATTGTCCCATTAGACCTGATAGAGCCGTTCTCCGAAGCCTGGGTCGTTCCATCCCATTCGCTCGACGGCGGACGAGGTGAAGGCTGCGAAGGCGGCGGTGGCAGGGGCTTTCCCAGTTCCTTGCCAAACTCGTTAAACAATCTCTCCAGACCCGACTGCATTTGTCGCTGAATCATGGGAAAGTTCTCCAGCAGCTGCCCGAAGGTCTTGATATCTTTCTTCTTCGGCGTCGGAAGTTCGGAAGACGACGAGGAGCCAAATGGCGCAGATGCGGGTGCGGTGATCGTCTTCTCTCCGATGACGGCAGGCTTGATGGGCAATGCCTCGAATAGACCAGTCAACGGCTTGGAGATGTAGTAGACTAGCCATTGTTGCATATCATTCCCTGGCGAATAGTACAGCAGATCACTCAACAACGGCGCCTGGTTCAAATGTTTGAAGCCCTTGTTACTATACACGACACTCTCCTTGACGATGACCGTGCGCCCATTGACGGTGGAGTAGTTTTTCGCCTTGCTACGGTTGTCGCGGACATTTCCTTCCTTCGCAGCCGCGTTGGGGATGATGCGAAGGATGTGGCTCCCGAGGAAGTCTTCATCTTCGACCTGGTCGGCATATCTCCTGTTCGTTTCGCGATCCTGGCCGAACAAGAGGGACTCGGTGGTGGGCACAAGGAGGACATAGTTCTGCGAGGGGAGGGCGTGTCCTAGCACACTACTCTGAAAGAGCGCGCGCAGAAAAGGGTTCAGGACGGGCATCCAGGCACGATGCGCCGAGTTTGAACAGCAATCCGAATCATCGAGCCGTGGCGCGGTGTCAGCTGGAGCTGAGGAGTCGTGGCATGTGCGAAGGTGCGAGTGCGAATGGATTTTGTTCAGTGAGCTGTTGGTGTCGGGGCTGCATGTGAGATGTGAGAAAGAAATATAAGTCAGTTCCTAATAACGACGAACTGAAATGCCACATGCCCCGTTTGTCAACTTAGGCTGCTCCAACTGCAGCTTGGGCTTCCCCGGAAATCGACAGTCGTCAGCCCACTCACTCCGACTTGGCATTGCATCTCGCGACGAAACGCTCCACCGGTCACTAGCACGAGGCTGAGACTGAGACTGAGGACAAGGCTGAGTTTGGAGAGTGATCCCCCGCACCTCTGGCGACTCGGTCAACCAAAAAAGAAAAAATACTGTCAGTGATCAGAGAGATAATTTCGTGCAAACGGCCACTATGGCTAGAGGAGCCCGTCGCCGCCAAACCCTCGGGCAGGGTTTAGATAGAGAGGCAAGCCCTTCTGTCCCGCATTAGGCTCACCACATACTAACAATGGCATGTCGCAGGTGTACCAAGTCGTCCGCAGAATCATCGATGAGCGTGCACAGTATGAGGACGGCCCGCCCGAGCGCCTTGCCTTCGCCGCTGTGTACGACGAGATCCGACGCTCCAACTCCAGCCTTAACAGACGGCCGAAAAAGCTGCTGGAGGACAGTATTGAGCGTGTGCTGGTGACTTTGCAGCAGGACAGCGAGTCAGACAGCGACGCGTCCATCGAAGTGGCACAGGAGGAGCGGCAGAAACACAAGTCAGCGTCCAATAACCTCAACCGAAGCATAGTCAGTGCATGGGCCAACTCAGCGGCGCCCTCGGGATCAACGACACCGAAGCCAGAACTCGCCGCCATGGAGTCTCCTGCCAAACCAGCACCCGTTGTGAACGGCGAGCCTCCAAGGAAGAAACGCAAGGCCGCACCCGTCATCGACAGGTCACCCCCAACGGGCATAACATGGGACTCCCTAGGTGGAATCGACCCAGTTATCCAGCAATTCGAGGATTTGGTGGTCATCCCGATGACCAAGCCCGAGATCTACGCGGAGCACAAAGTCCAACCCCCACGGGGCATCCTGATCCACGGGCCTGCAGGCTGTGGCAAGACCATGGTCGCCCACGCACTGGCAGCCGAGTTGGGAGTCAATTTTATCAACATCTCAGCCCCGTCGATCGTGTCAGGCATGTCCGGAGAGAGTGAGAAGGCGCTGCGAGAGCACTTCGAGGAAGCGATGCGCTGTGCACCGTGTCTAGTCTTCATCGACGAAATCGACGCCATTACTCCAAAGCGCGAGTCAGCCCAACGAGAGATGGAGAAGCGCATTGTTGCACAGCTCCTGATATGCATGGACGACCTCGCGCTCGAGAAGACCGACGGAAAACCAGTCATCGTCCTCGCGGCCACGAATAGACCCGACAGTCTCGACCCTGCATTGCGCCGAGGCGGCCGTTTCGACAAAGAAATCAACATGAGCGTGCCCAGCGAGCCTGTTCGAGAACAGATCCTTCGAGCTCAGACGCGAGGCATGAGCCTCGCCGCCGATATAGATTTCCCTCTCCTCGCCAAGCGAACCCCGGGCTTCGTCGGTGCTGACCTCAACGACCTGGTCTCCACAGCCTCCGCCACGGCCGTAAGGCGGTACCTGAACCAGCTGAAGGCCAACTCCGAGAAATACACCATGGACGTCGACATGGATGCCAACAACGCCCATGCTAACGCAGACGCGAACGTAAACGGTACCGACACCCTCCCTGACCTCATCGCCAGCAGCTCCTCCGAGACCATAAGATCCTTCCGCCGCCTCGTCAGTTACGCCAAAGCCGCCCACCCGGAGGACAAGGACACCAACGAAGCCGTCCTACTAATCACATTCGCCGATTTCCTCACCGCCCTGCCCCAGATCCAACCGTCCTCCCTCCGCGAAGGCTTCGCCACCATCCCCAGCACGACCTTCTCGGCGATTGGCTCTCTGAAATCACACATCACCGAGTTGCAGGAGACCGTCATCCAGCCCATCCTGAACCCCGCCCTGTATACAAGCCTCGGGATCACACCCTCCAGCGGCACACTCCTCTGGGGGCCCCCGGGTTGTGGCAAGACTCTGCTTGCCAAAGCCTGCGCGAACGCCAGCCACGCCAACTTCATCAGCGTCAAGGGACCCGAGCTGTTGAATAAATACGTGGGCGAGAGCGAGCGCGCGGTGAGACAGGTCTTTACGCGCGCCCGGAGTTCCGTGCCCGTGATTATCTTCTTCGATGAGTTGGACGCCCTCGTGCCCACCAGGGAAGGAGGCTCCGGTGGTGGATCCGAGGCCAGCGCCCGGGTTGTCAATACGTTGCTGACGGAACTCGACGGCGTGGGCCACAGTAGGGAGGGGATCTACGTCATTGCGGCGACGAATCGACCTGATATCATTGATCCTGCTATGCTGAGGCCTGGTCGGCTGGATACCTTGTTGTACGTGGGGCTACCGGACGCCGAGGGCAGGGTGGATATTCTGAGGACGCTGTGTAGGAAGGTCGCGGGCATGGTCTTTGACGATTCAGTCGCCGCCATCGCCGAGGCGTGTGATGGGTTCAGTGGTGCCGACCTCGAGTCACTCGTCCGCAGAGCTGGTTACAACGCGATACGCCGCGGCGTGGCTTCAGGACAGACTGTCGCCATAACACCGGCGGACTTCGAGCATGCCAGGAACGAAGTCAGGCGCAGCGTCGGGGTGGATGACATCAAGAGGTACGCCGCGCTTCAGAAACATTGGGGCAGGTGATATCGTGTCCGATGCACAGAAGCAACAATTCGCAGTACCAGACCCATTATCAAGGGGCCCCTAAAACCATCATCATCATCATCGTCATTAGTGCAGTGTTGGTAATACCTGCTATTATTTTCTTCCCCAACTCGTTTGGGCCATATCAGGTAAGCACGGCAGTTACTTCCCAAGACACTATGGTTATCCCAACAAACGCCCAGGTTGGCTCGGGGCACCTATCAAAAGGAACGGAAGGCTTTGCGGACCTTGGCACATCCAAAGCCGCAAAGTTCATATACCAACGACATCTCCCACGCACTCAGAAGATCGGTAGCCGAAAGCTGTCGCTACTGAGCCGGTGACTCTCGGTGGAACTCAGACTAGCAGAATCTGATCTAGGTCGTTTCTGCAGCTTCCTAGGCCTTTTCTGTGACCCAAGACTCTCGTGCCAAGTTCCAAATTCTTTGACCTTGGATTCCTTCTCCAGTGTGCCGGCCGGCAGAACCTCGAATCCGTCGTTGACTCTTCGTGATCGAGTATTGGCGACTGACAGCAAGTCTGAAGGGGGTGACGTGGGAGCCATTGTCGAGGTGGTGGAGATTGTGGAAGACTTGGGTGTGTGCCTAGATGTCTTGGGGGTGGAGTCACTTGCTTTAGAACAAGGCACCTTGGCCTCTATCCTAGCTTGAGTCCTGTCTGTCCATGCTGAAGGTGGTAGTTTTGTAGTGGGTAAGGATTCGACGAAAGCGCGGAAGGGAACTGGAGAGGGACCTTCCATCCTTTGAACTCTGCGAGAGAGCCGCTTGCCCAGATTTATCGTGCCGTCTCGGGTGGGCCACGATAGAGCCCGAGACATTGAGTCGTCGCTGTCCTCGCTTTCTGCTGTAGATGAGGAAAGGGGTACTGTCTCAGCAACCTCGGAGTATCGACGATCTCGCGGGTGCAATTGACCACTTTCTGCGGAATGCAACCGTCGATAAGCTTCCATGCGTTCAAGTGGGTTAATATCGGACTGCAGTTCCACCCTTTGGTGCCGCTGTGAGTTCCGTGGTCGATTTCCTATCACAAATTTGCGTGAGCCAGAGGGTGAGAGGTTGGAGACCGGACGAAGCTGCATTTTCGAAGGGGAAGGCGTCGATCTTTCTACTGGTGTGAAAGGGCCGACATCTGTGTAAGTAGGTCAGTCTCAGGTCTGCATGGAACACGGTGACGCAGATTGCCAGACCTGACACATTTTGGGCAGCTTTCGATCCTGCATATGGCCCCTTGTAGCTTATAACTAGTGTCTTCCCTCTCTTCGCAGTTGACGGTTCGCCCAGCTCATCGACAACCGTAGTGGGCCCGATGAACGGAGTGAGAACTATACCGAGTTAGCAAATCGACGTATGAGTCCTGGCTGTGCAATACCTGTTGGAGAGACCAAACCAATGTCTGCAGTGTCATATATCGTTGTGGAGGAATTCGAAGAGTGTTTCGGGGGTTTCGTCGTCGATTGCGCGGCAGGAGGAGTACGGACACCGCCATCGAGATGCATTGGAGTGGCTTCGCGAGAATTCCACACGCCCTCGACTTCTGGGTCTTCGAGTAGTGCGCGCATGCCAAAGAGTGCATCATCCTCCAAGCCGATGACCATTGTCATTTCGCCGCGTTCGGCTTGTTCCGACGCTGCCCTTTTTGCTCTTCCTTTGTCTCTGATCCAATTTCGCAATCTCACAAGAAACGCCAGGAGGAGAACGATGGCCTAGCTAGCTTATCAGGTGAATGACCAAGGTCTCGCAGGGATGAGACGGACAAACGTGCCACCCAAAACCTGCGGATCGAGTCAATAAAATCGGTCATTCTCTTGTCTGGCTCGGCTCACCAGCGCCAAACGGGCCCATGTTGGCCACTCCAAAAAGAACACGGCCCCGTCAGGGAAAGGATCTTTCATATTGCCGGAGGCCGGGATCGTAGCAATGCTAGACGCGAGGAAGGATGAAGAGGTAGAACCCCATTTCTGAAGAGCAACGGGAACAAGCACCAAAGAAAGGATAGAGCAGCTTGGGATGTGGTCGACTGAACTGCTAAAGATGGACTGGAGGAAGATCCGAGGAGGAGGGCGGACTAGTAATAGAGTGCTGCCAGCCGCTGTCGAAGTGGCGGTGGTGATGCTGGAAGACGGCAGCACCTGCTTCAGTCGTGCGCAGAATCGAGCAGTTACTGTCTGGCCCATCGTGGCTTCCAGTTCTGATCTTGGAGGTGAAGCTTGACTAGAAAGTAAGAATGAAAGTGAATTGACTCGCAATGTGAGCCACGCGTACCCTACCAGGACGAGCGCAACTTGATAAACCACGACTCACTTCTGAGAGATGAGAATATGTCTTGCCAGTGATGAGGCAGCAACTATCCGTCCATCGTACAGCAGTCCGCAATGGCATGTCTGTTACCCGGGCGGCTACTTCAGTGCGAGGACGACCGCCCGATTAGCGATATTTGCATGGTCCCGCTGACAATAACATGGCAATCGGTACAGCAGGAGAATGGGAAACAGCAAGATGTACGGATTTTGTAAGCAGCTGTTGCTGTGTTACCGTATCGACCTGGTGACAACAGGAACGTGTCGAGTTTAAAATAAACCGTGGATTGAGGCTGAGATTCTGGCGCCGGCGATCTCGTCACCAACTGTCTACCTCAGTACTGTGTACGAGTGGCTCGTAACTCGTACACAGTCCCGAAACTTCGGCGGGCACGGTGGGGTGGAAGTTTCATGGCCCGAATGGTCGACGACGTCATGACGCAGAAGATGGCGAGTGTGGAGGAAGCTCTCCTGTCACCCACGCGGACGAGTACGGTCACAACGGTGTAGCCGTACTCGAAAGAGATCTCCATACTGGTTACAACTGGAGACGTTTGGCAGGTCAAAGTGGCATGCGACGGATGAATCATCAGCCTACTGTTGACTGTGAAGTGGCCGGGCAAAATGTGCGGAATTTATGTAGGATGCTCCCTCATGTACCTGCATGCGAAGCGTAAGACCTAGTTCCTCTTCAAGGAGTGGTTCTGATATCCCTGGGAGGCCGTGCGACAGCTCAGTCAATGTCTGCAAGGTGGATGACTGGAGTTGACAAAGCCAGAAGGGCATCGCCTATTGGGTTTGGCTGTCACGATGGAAGGGAGCCGCGCTGCGGTTAATGATCGGCGCCACCAGATGCCCAATCGCTCGGTGGAGATTCCTCCCTGGGACCCTTACAGAGAAGATTCCCGGCTTCCCGAACACCTGGGCGGTGGTAAGCCGCGGCGCTGCTGCCCTGGGCGACTGGCGTACGGCGTAGAGGGGGACGAGGACCTTGTACGGCTTCTGGGGTCCTTTAACACTGCCCACTTCTTCCGGCGCAACTTGCATGTCGTACCCGTGACATTCCTCTTACACAACACTCACATTCCTCTCACAATATTCCTTTGTGAGACATAGTCGTTGCAGCGCCTCCCTCATATATTTCAATTCTCTGTCGTCTTAAACCAGTGCGGTACACAAACAAGCACTTCACATCAGTTGCCGTTATGCCACCCTTCCGCATGCCCTTTACCTCGAAGCGTCCTCCTCCTAATGCGCCCAGTGGGACAACGGATGAGAATGCGCGCCCCAACTCCTTTGACGGCAATGTCAAGAGTCCATACGGCAAAGACAAGCCTTCATTAGCACTCGGGGTCAAAGAGAAGAAGGTAGAGCCCAACGAGTTCAAGCTGAGTTGTATGCGATATCAACAACCCAAGCCTAAAATGATCCCGAGGCTAACACCGATCAGCCGTGAATGACAGTGGTGAATATCTTCCTGTATGCAATGCTAGTCCTTCCCGATCATGCAGCAGTTGACGGTGCAGTAGCCGTCGCCCACAGAAAGACCTTCGTTCTGGTCAACCAAGTCACCTTCCTCCGCCAGCAACAGCCACCGACTGGGCTTCAACGACAACGAAGCATTCACGATATCTCGCGAGTCCTTTGATTCATACAGAAGATCATTTGTGAGTATCTTTCCCACACGGCCACGTGCGACGGCCTGACCTCCCTGGCAGGACATTTCCGGCCGCTCCCCAATTCTCCAGTCCGACAGTTTCAACTCGCGCTCGTCTCTCGACTCACGGCCGGCAAGCCGCTTTCCTACTCGCTCGACGTTCAACAGCAACACGTTTGAGAAGCCCACGGCTGAAGAAGATCCGACGTTCGAGGAAGTGAAGCTGAATGACGAGGCGAACAAAACCCATGAGCCCAAGAAGAAGAGTTTCCTTTCTCGATTCGGTGACTCTAACGGCGAGCCGGCTGCACCGGCTGCAGGCAAAGAAGAGGGCAAACATCACTTCCACTTCCTCCCTGGCCGAAGACGCGGTCAGAGTGGTACAGGGAACGAGCTAGGAGATATCCCGCGGCCACAAAGTCGAGGCCACCCAGAGGTGACGGTACGATAGTCCTTGTGGGCATTTCAAACCCGAGATTGGATCGGCAGTTATCGTTCGATGGCATGCATTATGAAAGGATTGGATCTTATGAAGCGGTAACCGGCGGGGGGAGTTTATCGGCAGCATCCGGTGTACGCTACGGTTATTACGATGCGCATTTCCGGGACAAAGGACGCTCAAGAAAGGGATGATTCGGGCATCTAGGACAGACGACCCGATCATGTAGTGATCTGGGATCAACGAGGAGTCGTGCCTCCTCCATGAAGCAGCACGCGGCCATTGATGGAGCACCAGGATACTCTAATAATAATGCTCAAGACTTCACCGCACTGAGTGCCTGTCACTGTTTCTCCGTCCCACCTACTGGCTATGCTGCCTCGCACTCTTGTCGTTTCGATGGGCGTGTCAAGGTCATCCCTGTTCAACATACAGTCCCTGGGTAGCCTTGCGAGATTCTCTTCACATTCAAGTCAGCCACTTTCACCTCCGCCTCAATACGCCCTCGTAAAGCCATTGGCATCCTTGCGCGCAGCGAGTTCCCTGTCAACCTCTTGCTCCATCTTATCGTACGCCTTCTTCATGACTTCAACGATTCTCGCCAACTCGACCCCCGATACATTATACGGCGGACTCAAAATGGCGTGGTCACCTCTCTTCCCATCTATTGTGCCCGATCCCGGGTACACGGCGACGCCCAACTCGAAACAAGTCGCCTGGTAGCGGACGCCAAACCCTACCGCCGGAGGAAACGGTTCTCGAGTGACTTTGTCGCGGACGAATTCAAGGCCCCAGAACAATCCCCGTCCGCGAATATTGCCGACATATTTGGACGAGCCGAAGGTGTCCAGGAGGAGCGGATACAGATGTTGCCCCAACCTCGCCACATTCCCGACCAGGCCGTCGCGTCTCAAGATCTGCTGCACGGCCAGCGTCGCCGCACAGCCGACAGGATGGGCCTGGTAAGTGTGGCCATGGTTGAAGCAACTGGTGCCCTTCCTCAAGATATCGACAACCTTCTTGTGCACCAACACTCCCGCAACAGGCGAGTACCCGCCTCCGAGCCCCTTGCCCACGGTCATGATGTCCGGCACCACGTCTTCCTGTTCAAAGGCAAACAACGTGCCCGTTCGACCCATTCCGCACATGACCTCGTCCAGGATGAGCAGGACGCCGTATCTGTCACACACGTCCCTGACACCACGAAAATACCCGCTCGGAGCCGGCGTGCACCCACTCGTCGCGCCGACCAGCGGTTCCGCAATAAAGGCAATGACATTCTCGGGCCCCAGGGTCTGGAAATGCAGGTCCAGTTCCTTGACCAGCCTTTGGGCAAACTCTGCTTCCGTCTCGCCCTCCTGCCAATTCGAATACTGATACGCGTACGCGGGCGTCACCCAGCTGACGTTCTCGGACTGGAAATTCGCGTACGGGACTTTTCTCGGCAGGTTGCTGCTCACGTTCATGGCCCCGACGGTCGTGCCGTGGTAGCTCTGCTTCCTGCTCACGAACCGGGTCCGTTGCGGTTGGCCCTTTTCGAAAAAGTACTGGCGTGCTAGTTTCAGGGCCGCGTCCATGGCTTCGCTCCCGCTGTTCACGAAATATGCCCGTTCAAGACCGTAACGGCCCGCGCCGTGAGGGCCGTCGATGATGTGGTGCGCAAGGCCCTCCGCCGCGTCCGTGGTGTACGTGAGCGAGTGTAGATAACTGACGCCCGTGCTCATTTGCGCCGTCACGGCGGCGAGGACTTCCTCGTTGCCGTGGCCCAGGCAGGCCACCGCCGCGCCGCCGCACGCGTCCATGACTACTCGGCCATCCGAGAGGGTCAGGTAGATGCCCTTGGCCGACGTGACTTTGCAGGGTTGTTGGTGAAGGGAGCGGTGCAGTAGAGCCGGGGATATGATGGACTCCTGTACGGGAGCAGGCACTGCGTCCGGCGCCGAGGCCACGAGTTTGGATTCTGTGCCATCGCTGGGTTGGGGGTTGTGGCTGTCAGTGCTGGCCATTGTTGCTCGCCTCAGAATGCTACAGAAGGACGGACAGTAAGTAGACCACGTTGCCCTGGGTCGTAATGTACCATCAAGGCTGTAATTCCTCAGAGGCCTGGGGAAACGTCCTTGATCGATTTCTGCCGCCGACAACGCGCTGGCGACAAATCCCGTATACCCTTCTGGCTGGGGTGTCTGGCAGCCCCGAAGTTGCAAAAGTATCCTATGCACGAGGTATCACTCAGCTCGTACAGGCTGACGTTTTTCTACCGGCCGAGCAGCCCTGTAACAGGGCGCATAGAGTTCAGAAGCGAGTACTTCGTACATAAGAGAGACATGCGGGCTGTTCACACGACAAGGCCGATATCCTTCCTGTGCAACACTCCACCCCTGGTACTGTACATTACGCTGAAGTCCGTTCCTCGCCATCCCCAAGGTAGCTTTCTCGCTTTACGCGCCACCGACGGTAACCGACGTGGGCTTACTTATCCTACGTATACATTCTTGGTGCAGCATTTTCGGCAGCATTCTCGTGCAGGGACAGTCCGTGGCCCAGCCCTGCGCAATCCTCGTTGGAGGGGTGCGTTGTGTGTACGTAGATAGATAATTACGGTATTGTTTTCTGAGCAAAGTCGCAGATCACGAGCAAACAGACACTGTATACTATGTACAGCCGACTATCAATCTGGAGAAGGCCAGCCGGGAGCTCCATGGTCTTGCAATTCCCTGTCCGTCCATTCCCACAACCTCCTCGACAACTCGTCGTCGCGACTGAGCGGTCCGTCCTTCCCGGCCTTGCCGATCGGCTCATAATACCTCCCACTCTCGACCTCGTGGCTGAAACTGCACCACAGTTGGGTTTTGGCACCCTCTTCATTAGACACCCCAGTCAGGGCCACCAGCGGTTTGACAATCAGATAGGTAATCAGCACGTTGACGCCTTTCTCCCCTCCCCAGACGTTCGACTTGACCGTGCCGGGGTGCAGAGACGACGTCGTGATCCGCGGATACCGCTTCGCCAGCTCATACGCGAACAGCGTCTTCGCGAGGTTCGCTGCCCCGTAGAGTTCGGCTCCGGAGTGTGTTTTCATCTCCGTCTTGAGTTCGTCGAAGAAGATGCCCGTCTTGGACGCAAAGAATTTATGTCCAACCGAGGACATGGACACGATCCGGACGTCCGCGCCGGATAACCGCGTCGTTCTGACCAGCAGGGGCATCAACAGCTGCGTGAGCAGCGCGTGGCCCAGATAGTTGGTGCCGAACTGCACCTCGTAGCCTTCCTCGGTCGTGCTGTGCGGGATCATGGCGACGCCGGCGTTCAGATGGAGGACGTCCAGTCGATCGACTTCGCTCTGCACCCGCGCCGCGGCGGCCCTGATTGACTCAAACGACGCGAGGTCGAGATCTAGAATCTGGATGTTTGCCAACGACGCGGCCGTCGAGGTGGCTCGTACGCGCGAGAGCGCGGCTTCGGCTTTCGCGCGAGATCGTGCGGCCAGGTATATTGTGCCCGGTCCATGCTGGGCCAGTGCGGCGACTGTTGCTTCGCCGAGCCCGCTGTTGCCGCCGGTCACCAGGCATACCTTGCCCTCGAGGTTCGGGATGTCTTTTGCCGGGTCGAACTTTGTCACCGTTGTGATTTTGCGGAGCGTAGCGTAGCGTGGCATTTATACCTTAATCACCACTTTGCTTCTCCAGGCAGCGAGGGCTGGTCTAGGGTTGACCCTAGGTAAGAGGACACTGTTGGGAGACATTTCTAGGCGCCGACGCCGACGTCTGCTTCAGTGTTGATATATGGTGGGCTAGAGCGAGTCTGAGCAGAAATGGCATCGCCTCAGTTTCTTCGACTTTGTCTCCGCCATGGGCTTCGAGTTGTCCCATGCCCGACTCTCCTCAATGCCAAGCTCCCGAGTGTTGGTTCGTTTGGGAATGGTCGTCGTTGGCGGGGAGCCCAATCCGCTGTGTAGGAAGCATGCGTCCCTCCCTGGCCTCCTTTCGTGTTCGGTGTGTCGGCCTGATTCTGCACCATACCGTTGAGCAATCTTTCGCTTGCTGTCTTTCGACCCCTGCTACAGTATGTCAGTGGCGAGCGCTTGACCCTTGACTTCAGCTGAAAGCGACTTGGCAGCGGGTATGCCTTTCAGCGCCATGTGTCGGGGTGTCACTGCTCACGGTTTGTCTCTTTTCCGATATGTAGTGAGAAGTTCGACCGCACAGGTCTTGCAGGCTTGATCGTTCGTTTGCAGTAATGCGTATATAGTCGTGGAGACTTGTTCACGTGCTATGCACATTTCTATTTCAAACCTTGGACACATTTCCCCCTTGGCGGCTATGTTCGATACATGCCATATCCTCCCCATATTTTCAGATCGCGACGTAACTGGCATTTGACCCTTCTCGTGGGTTGATCCGCTTCACGATGGACAAGGCTAGATAATCCACAGCGACACAGCCCGACGGGGAAGCTCTGGAGGATTGACGACGACGGTAATCGTGCCGTATCCATTCCATGAAGAACGGGGCCAGTGAGGGAAAGGACACACAACCAAGGCATAGGCGCCTTCTCTCTGAATCGTTCCTCTGTTGTGTTATGTATCTGGTATCTGCTCTTGGGTCAGTTCGATACGATAAGTCGGCAGTGGCGGCCCCGACACGAGCTTGATAACCACATGCATCTCGGACGAAGCATTCAATGCGTAAGAGACTCGATCCCGAAAATATGGCCAGGCTGGCTCAGCCTTGACTCCGCCGTCGTCCTCTAAGAACATTTGTTGTACCGCGGTGGGAGCACCCATGCGCTCCAATTGCAGCAATTGAAGGCCCACAATCCCATGGCACCAGAGTCGGCCGTCCTTGGGTCCGAAGACCAGACTGAAAGCGTCACCATGGACGGCCGTGAATGATATGCCCAGCCATTCACCCTCTGTCACGGGAGTGAAGTCGGTGACGGACAGCGTGTGTAATTCCGACGATCCTGACTCCAACACCTGCGGTACTGACAACGACCACAGTCTGCGATGGTAGTACGTCTTGAGCACAGCTTGGGGGTGTGGCCGCCGCCATGTGCAGGAGTATATCATGTCCCAGCCATGTCGCTTGCAATTGATATTCGCGGTTAGAACTACCTGCATGTGGCCCGGAGTGGGAGCCACGTCATGGATGTCGGTAGACATGTAAACACTTTGCGGTCGAACATTCTGGAGCTTGTCGCTGCTCAAATACACAAGACGATGCTGGCGCAATCTAGAGCGTCGTGGCGTGGTTGGATCTCCTGTAACATAAATCCCGATACTATCGCCCTTGCACAGGCACTCCAGCACAGCAACGCACCACCCATCAACCAGAATGATAGGCAGTACCATGGACAGGCCCACGTTGGTTATCGTGATTGGATGTATCGAAGACATGAAGAGGGAACTGAGGGGCTTTTGTGTGACAGGTCCCGCGCGGTCACGACTGAACATGGCAGGACTCTCTGCGAGGACGCTGATGCCATGCAACTCGGTCAAACTCTTTGGTGGGTTCGGCGCTGCCCATGCGAAGATGGAATGGTCATTGGACTCGGCGAGGATCTGTCGTTGCAGGCGATGGAAGGCTTTTGCCCCCTCTCCATACAAAAGTGGCATGTTGACCCCAAATATGCCCAGGAGGGAATAGGCCATGTCTTCGACTCTGGTCGTCCGCCTCTTCGCAGCCCACGACATCCTCTCTGCGACGCAACTAAACCGGATGGACAGCGGATCCATCAACGCCTCGGGCGGAATGCCTGTGATTTCCACCAGATCCTCGAGCAGACTCGCCTTGGTCCCTATCTCTATCCAGTCACGGTCGAAGAACACGACGTGCATAGGCGCAATAAGCTCCTGTAATGTCCAGCCACGCTCAAACCATCTGCTCGAAGGAAAGCCCCAGACTGGTCGCGGATAGGAAATGGTACGTTTGCTGGAGACGCTGTCATCATCACCGCCAGGCAGCAACGAGACATCTGCAAGATATGCGTAACAGACCTGTGCCTGGGAGTACCATTGAAACATGGAATTGATAGCTTCGGAGAGTTCGGCGCTGCTACGCTTGTCGATACTGCAAGTATCCACCCAGGCATACCCAAATCCATCTGACTTGGCCTGCTCACAGCATCGTTCAATTTTCCAGTATCCGGCTTTCTCTTTGGCTTCCAAGGTCCCAAGCTCTTGGAAGGAGACCTCGCCTTCTCCCCATGTATGTGACAAGATTGCGTAGGGCGGCGGCGTAGACTGGAACTCACGGAGGACAAGACTCGTTGTGTCGAGGAGCCACATCGGGAGCTGTCAATCAGTTGTGTGAAGCGGGAGGTATGGGGAAATGCACGCGATGAAGGTCAGTCAAAAGAAACAGGCTGAGGCGCAGCACAGAGTCGGTCTGGTTCGCGAAGGCTGAGCGGGACTCAAGACGAGATGGCGTGCAGGCAAGGGCCGTGACAGGTGTGCTGCAACGGCCACACCACATTTGATTGCCTACCTGGGTGAACATCCATGTGGCACCGGCGGACTGGTAGATGATAGCATGCTCAGACGATTGAAAGACGCGGAAGTGGGATAGAGCGACTCGAGCGACTACGCTAGTAATACCATGCTTCACCGTAGCCAACGGTGGAGTTCAACGGGTGCGAGGCGCAGCGGCCCACAGTCGAGATGCGCTCTGTTGCTGCTGGATCTTCCTCCATTCACACGACTTTCTTTTCATCAACAAAGTCGAGCCGTCCATCGTCAAGCTCCAATTGACTGGCTCCGACCTGTCACTGTGTTACTAGTATCCGCTTCCCTGTGTACGGTGATCCCACCACGTAGCCGATCGGGATGCCGTCGGCGCGTCATTGCCAGTGAGTCCGTCGGTTATGTTCCATCTGCGGCAGGAGACATTCTTCATCCTTGCGATGTTTGACCGAGAGCATAGCCAAATGCTTGCTTCATAAGGTGCCCAACGGCATACTGTCCAGTCGCGGCACCATTTCCTCCATTGCTTCTCCTCCCGCAAATTGCTAGGACGCACGGCAACCCAGTAGCAAGCGCCTCAATGGTGGGCGCTTGATCGGAGCAACCACTTCAGTATGGTCTTCGGGATTTCTCTTGTTCAGAGAACAGCTGGGTCGGAAAAGAACGCTGCCATTGGGAACCGCGATACTGATTATCAGCACCATCCTCATGGCGAGCAGCTTCGCCTGGATCCAGTTCATGGTGTCTCGAGTATGCACTGGCATGGGAATAGGGCACATCACCTGTCATTCGACTGCAGTCGTGGTTATACTAGAACAAATGAAGTCAAGTACCTAAGCTGGAAGTTCCACATCGTGTGGCCTGTTTCGAACCTGGCAACCCCCAGTATTGTTTGGTTGTTCTATCCCAAAACCGGCGGTCAACCTCTTGAAGCCGTTGATGCGCTTCTCGTACAGGACGATCATCCCAGAAGAGGGTCAAGCCTGGCTTTGCGTGACCAGGACCTAGACGCGAATTCCACGGGCATGTTCGTCAGATTGCAATCGAGCATCGTCCGCGGGGCAGAACGGCAGGCGAAAGTGTGTAATGGGAGGCGGAGGATTTCAGAAACCACGATATCCGAAGATGCCAGGCAAGGAGACAGCCAGCGGAAAGCACGTGATGATTAATGCGAGGCTGTCATGAGATGAGACTGGGGTACTGGGACACAGTTGAACATGAACAGGCTCTAGCGAGCTGGAAAGAAGTACTCTTCTGGCTCGCGCTGCTTCATGCCTGAGCTGGGCTACGTAAGTGATCAAGGAACGACTGTCGGTGCAAAGACGACAGCAAAAGGACTTGTAGAGAATGTCTCACCATTCTCACGCAAGTCCTTGAGATACCTACGTTGAAGATAGTGTTCGACATGGAACCGCGTCCTGGTCGTCCACTCTGACAGCCCAGCTAGCAGGCCCCATCCGCCCACTACAGTCTCTACAAACATGATGCCACGGACCGCCCCCGGAAACAGCTTCTTCTAAACTACATTTATTTGAAGGGCTTTGGCGGGGCGACGAGACCTCATGCTCAAGAACGCCGTTTGTCGCAAACAAAGCGGCATACTCAAAGTGGTGAGGAGCCTTGACCTGCCACACTGCTACGCATGTCTGTTGAAGGCTTTCTCGTCCGCGACCTCATTACTTGCCTTTCCCGGTACTGGACCTCGGCTTACGTTCGTGCCACGGCTCGACTATTAACGCCAATATCATGAATCCCCTCAGAAGGCAACAGCACAAGCAGCTTTCTCGCCCTGAAGATAGGTCCTCCCAATGGTGTGGGCGGGCCAGAATGTTTTGCCGCCATTTCTGGCCCGTTGTAGCCGCGAGCGGAACCGATGTTCTCCTGACGAAGCTCGTACGCCGGTGGTATCCCGAGGCGAGGCCCCTTGCCCAGGCAGCCTCGCCGACGCCGACAGGAACATTGACTCTCTGGCTTCGACACCATGAGATTCACGTGCCCGTCGCTTATCTACTACTAGTGCCGGGATGCACAGTGGTTACTATAACTTTCAAGCATCACCACGATGGGTTCAGAGCCTTGTGCCGCCCCGAGGGCTTGGGCAAGGCATTGGCGGCATCAACATCCTCACCACAACTTATGTACAGGACGACGGATGTACTGCGTACGTAGAGATGTCATGGCTCGTGGCTTTGTAACCTTGTGGTCAAGCTTTAGGGATCTTGAGCACTATCGCGAGCGCGAGCACGAGCACGAGCACGGACTCCATCCCCGCCGGCCCGGGAAAAGGATCTGTAGGCAGGGACTCGACGGGAAGCTCAATCGTCCCACTTCGACACACTGCAGAGTACTATGTACACTATATGATTCACGGCAACGACTACTAGTTACTCCAACACACAGCGTGCCGTGACCTCCCCGGCTGCACAGTCTTCAACGGGGTTTACAGGCTAAGACCGTACTCCGTGCATGGGATGGAGCCCTACCGGCGTGCCGAGCACAATCTCTCGAAAGGGCAAAACGCAAAGCTCCCAGAGATCACAGCATGAGTCTGAAATACACGCGCAGAGTATCGCCCTTTTCCCCCCAGATGCAATGGAGTCGGTCACTCTTCCCGGTATAGGAAGGTGGATGGTGGAAAGTCGGAAGATGCGTCCGCACACCCTCTCCTCCTCGCCCACCATCGATAGCGGACTCCGTGGATACACCGGGACAATATCTCGTGTCACACGCAGTGTTCCCCGTTGTATGTACTGTATGCTCCGTACTGTGTCTACTGCTGTATAATGTGACTACTGTTTTGCGGGCACGAGTTAGGCGGCACACCTCCCCTTTCTGAGGCAAGAGAGCATATCCATGCAGCACACTCTGCTGCAACAACCAACAACAGTAGTTAAGAATCTCTGGGAGGAAACAGATGGGCCACTCCTAGCACCGAGCGCGGGACAGTTCCCTGTTCTGAAGCCAAGTTCGGCTTTTCCGAAACTCACTGCGTGGGACGAGCCAGAGTCCCGTAACCATTGGAACCGGAATCTACACATTACGAGTCTCGGTGTCATACACTGCCGACTCATTCGACCGAACGAGCAGACACGACGACGCAGCTGTACCGACGAGGAAACGTGGGGTAGAGGGGTTCGCTCACCCGGCGCCTACTCAGCAGCCCATCGGGGAGTCGCCGGGATGAGTTGGACGACGCAGGGGCCTCGGTTTGCCTGTGGCTCTGGCCCCGGCTCCGCCTTTGTGGTTGGCCTTCCTGCAAGGCTGCACCTTCTACCGGCAATGAGGAGTTCGTCCGTTCGTCGTTCGTGGGTCGTTGTTCGTTCGACCCTCCTCCCCTGTCAGCCGGCAGGCAGGGCATTCGGGCTGCCATGCCAGATCAGACGCAAACCCAAACCGGATCGAATCACATCGTAGTCCACACTCCTCCGCCACGAGACTGCGGGCGAATTCCCCTTTATCTTTCTTTACACCCCTACCCCCGTGGAACGACTTGTCTTCGTGTCAAGATGACACGAAGCTTCTCGAACTTCTTGGTCATTCTCGCACCACTTGCATGAGCTGGATATCACGTGCTGTTCAGGACTAGCCATTCACTTTGGACCCTTCCTCTGACCAGACAGACGGCCAAGCAGGTTCGCCGACGCTTGTGGTTCCTCATCCTGTGGTGGTGCTGGCGACCATACCCCAGGAGTACAAGTCTCGCCATCTGACTGTGAGGGGACTAGGACTGCTTACAACCAGAGACTTGCTCCGCGGATATCAGATATCTCAGAATCATGGGATCTATTGGCGCCGAGGTCAACGGCAGTGTCAACGGCAACATCAGCGGCGACATCAATGTGAAGGCCCCAGGCAGTGCTCCCGCTGCTGTCCTGACGGGCCCGTACGGCGATGCGTACACGATCAGGGAACTCCCCGTAGCGACGCCGGGGGTGAACGAAGTACTCGTCCAGCTGGATTACAGTGGCGTGTGCCATGGTGATGTATATGCCCGGGATGGCGGCGGACCTGCGCCCAAGGACCCTGTCCGCCCGTTGATCGGCGGCCACGAGGGCGTGGGCAGGATTGTCGCCCTGGGGAGTGGCAGTGAGGGTGAAGGGTCCGATGCCTTCCATGTCGGTGATATCGTCGGTGTGGCGTGGAGAAGTCACGTCTGCGGAACGTGTCAGGCGTGCGAGGCCGGGGCAGAGAACCACTGCTACAACCAGAAGGTCACGGGCGCGCACAGAGACGGCACGTTTCAGAGATATATCTCGTTCCCGACGGCGCAGCTGGTGCGCATCCCAGCGGAGGTTTCCTTACCGAGTGTGTGTCCGATCCTGTGCGCTGGTGTGACGGCTTATTCGGCGTTGAAGCGCATGGATCCCCAGCCAGGGCGGTGGTGCACGATAGTCGGTGCGGCAGGCGGGCTGGGCCACCTGGCGATCCAGTACGCAAAGGCAATGGACCTGAACGTTCTCGCCATCGACGGAGGATCGCCTGAGAAGGAAGACTTCTGTCGAAAAATGGGAGCCGACGTGTTTGTTGATTTCTCGAAGCCCGACCTTGTGGAGACCATTGTTGCCAAAACCGACGGTGGTGCAGACTATATCCTCGTGCTGAGCCCGCATCAATCGTCGTATGAGTGAGTTCGGTCTTGGACCCCCGTGGGCCCGTTGGTCGGTGCAATTGCGATTACTGACATGAGACCTAACCTGCCAGTGCGGCCGGCGAATATGCACGGTTCGGAGCCCAGATCATGGCCATCGGCATTGGCAACCTCCAGTAAGTACCTTCCGTGCGCGAGTCGACCTGCGAGAGAAGATATACACCTACTTACGGTTCTCCCCACCCCAGCATGTCCCTCCGGCCGCTACTCAAGAAGAACGTGATTGTCCGGTCGAACCAGACTGGAACCAAGGCCGACATGCAAGAGGCACTTGAGTTTCTCGCGTCGGGAAAAGTGGTGCCCGAGTTGGAAATGGTCGACCTGAAAGACATCAACGAAGCGCTAGACAGGATCAAGCAGGGCAAGGTGATGGGCAAGCTGGTTGCGAATCTAGTCGGAGGCAAGAACGTGTCCAGGCTGTGATGGGAACATATATCTCGGATTTCAAGTTCTGACCTTGCAACGGTATTGGCATCGGCATTTGCATGAACATGGACACGTGCTTCCCGGTATATTGTATCGTATTGTGCATATACCACGGGGGCTAGGATTGACTTGGAGACACCAGAACCCAGTAGAGCAGGCCGGAAGAAAGATGATACCCATATCCATACCCCCCATGCACACCGATATCTATCCATTCATTGGCGACGTCAAGCTGGCCTTCTGAATGAAATTCTTCAAGCATAGAGCGGTCCACTCATTCACTTATTCACAAGCTCATATGCCGTTCTGCATCTGTCCACTGTGCCACGTATTGACCGCCATACTGGTCGGATCGGCGTTATATTTCATAAAGATGGTCTTCAACTCGGTGTACGTGTTCAGACCGTGGAGGGACAGCTCCTTGCCCATGCCGGACTGTTTCCAGCCGCCGATGGGCATGTCCACGGCCCGCACGGGCACCGAGCAGTTGATCCCCACGGCGCCGGCCTCGAGGGCCTTGGCGACGCGGACGGCGCGGTCAAAGTTGGAGGTATACACGGAGGCTGGCAGGGAGGTTTTGTCTTGTTAGCTTATATGTAGGAGATAGGACGTGAAAAAGGGCCTCTCTCTCGTCCGGATTTGGGCGTAACAGAAAAGAAGATGGAGACAGGCCACAGAGCAAAGGCACAGGCCACGGGCCGCGGTGGGCACTTACAGAAAAGCCCAAAATCCGTACAATTGGCCTCGGCCAACACGTCGGCCTCATCCTTGAACGTATTCACGATGACGACGGGCCCAAAAATCTCCTCCCGATACGCGGCACTCTGCGTGGGTACGTTCTTCAGGATCGTGGGCTCGATAAACGCACCCGTCGTGCCGTGTCGTTTACCTCCATAGACCAACGTCCCGTCCTTGGCCCCCTCGTCGACCAGCCGCTGGATATGCGCCAATTGGGCATGATCAGACTGCGGGCCCTGGAAGGTGGTCGGGTCGGCCGGGTCGCCGATGGTGACTTTGGCCATCAACGTCTTCAACTTGTCAATGTACGCGTCCGCGACGCCTTCCTGGACCAGCACGCGGCTGTTCGCCTGGCAGTGCTGCCCACTGTTGTGGTTGATGCTGTAGTGCGTGTAGCGGGCGGCGGCGTCCAGGTCGGCATCTCCGAAAATGATGGCCGGGCTCTTGCCGCCCAGTTCGAGCGACACGTTCTTCAGGTTCGAGTCGGCGGCCATGCGCAGGATCTTGCGGCCCGTGGCCACCGAGCCCGTGAAGGAGATCTTGCGGATCTTCATGTGCATGCCGATGGCCGTGCCCGTGGGGTCGCCGAAGCCCGAGACCACGTTGACCACGCCCGGTGGGAAGCCGGCTTCTTTGATCAGGCCGGCCAGTTTCAGCGACGACAGCGGTGCTTTCTCGGACGACTTGAGCACCACCGTGTTGCCGCATATTAGGGCTGGGGCCACTTTGAAGGCGAACATGATCATGGGGACCTGTTGTGGGTCACAGTCAGTCAGGCAGGCAGGCAGAGAGTGGGCCGGGTCTTGTAGCCACCACCGCAACCACCGTACATACATTCCAGGGTATGATCAGCCCGACCACGCCGTAAGGCTGTCGCACGCTGACGTTGAGAAAGTTCGGCGAACTGAGACTCGATTCTCCCACGATGTGGTATCCACTGCCGGCGAAGTAATTGAACACGCCCACCAGGGCAGGAATGTCCATCTTCTTCAGCAATTCGACGGGCCTGCGTGCAAGAGTGACAAGTCAGTCAATCAATCAGTGCCGCTTCTACTCAAAATCATGGTCCGTCGTCCACCGGCCTGCCAGCCTGGGTAAGTCGTTCGTCCTGCATGCCCTCACTTACTTGCCCATACAGATCGAGTCCAGCTCGGCCAGCTGCTGCGCGTCCCGCTGCACGAGCTGCGCGAACTTGAACATACACATGGCCCGTTCATGGGCGGCAAGCGAGCTCCAGTGCGGGAATGCCGCCTCCGCTGCGTTGACGGCCAGGTCGACATCTTCCTTGGACGCTTCATGCACGTCACAGATCTCTTGGTCGGTGGCCGGATTGGAGATCTTGAACGTCTTGCCGGTTTTGGGCTCGACGAACTGGGAAGACCAGACAGTCAGATACTAGTAATGAGTGTACACATGCGACAAAAGCGAGACCAGACGTACCTCGTTGTTGATGAACAGTCGGGTTTCTATCGTGCTGGGCTTCATCTTGGCTATGTCGGTACTTTGTATGTAGGAAGGCTGACTTGACTTTGACCTGACTTGACTTGACTGGCCTGGATCGGATCAGCTTCGGAGAATCGAGTTCAGGCCTGCAGCGGGATACAGTATGCCAGGGTCAACTCGGTATGGGCATGGCACATGATTGATGTACGAATGTACGGACAATGTCAAGACTTGTAGCACAGGTATCACAGTAGCACAGTCAGCATCGGGAGCCGTGGGCCGGGGAAACGTAGGCTTCCCGAAAGAGTCAATGCCGGCACCCCACGAGCGTCGAATCGGAGTACGCAGTAGGGGGAGATGTGCCGTCTGTGCGTACAGAGTATTGTTATCTGTTCCGGCCTGCCAAACGAAGGCGCGCAAGACTCCCTTCCTGATCGCGAGGTGTGCTCAGAGCAGACACGATCTTGTCTTGGTCGAATGGAGAACTGTACCCCACGGGCTGCGACTGTGATCGCAAGCTCTGAGCTCTTTTCTTGACCACCCTGGGTACAGTATGAGAGAGAATGTGTGTGTGTGCGTTCATAATACCTCGTGGACGCGAGAGCTTGGATCCAGGGAGGCGGGGATGCAATACGAGTAAAGTAGATATAACGAAACATCCAAGTCCTGTAATTAATGCCGCCTCAGCGCACACAGTCCTCAAGGCGCCAGGTTACGTGGCGACGGGGCGTGGAAGCAGGAAGCCTGGGGAGACAGGCTAGAGGAGGACTCAATAACTGTCAGTCCTGTGCAAGGCGCGGTAGCTTGTCATGAGAGCGTGCACACAAGACACCAAGCCTTCACAATAGGAAATATACAGCATTCAGGATGCAAGAGTCAAGAGTCGAGATTCGAGAGTCGAAAGGTCGAGACTCGCAACTGTTGCAAAACACTTCTACTGAGTATTCCTTCATTCTCTCGTATGGAATACTGTGTCCTATGTCTTAACACCGAACAAGCCACCAGCCAAGCTTGACCTGTGTGCCTGCGTGCCTGCGTGACTGCCACTAGCGGGCACAGATCCCTCACGACCACTCGCGCCCCTGTACCCAGTACTCGTACTGTGGACGTGGCCAAGTCCCAGGGGATCGAGCTCCGGGGTGCTCGGCCCTCATCCGCCCTATATCGGGCTTAGCTACCTACTTAGTTAAGCCCTTCTATTTTTGGGGCGGGAGCGAGGACTAAGCTTTGACCTTTCGAAGGATGATCACGGTCACTGTGCTCTGTGCGCTGTCCAAGCGCGACGCTGGCGTGTGCCGTGGCATTGCGTGGCGATGCTTGTGCCAGCTGCCACACGCTTCTGCTCGTTCTGCTTGTTGTGCTCGTACCGTGTAAATTGGCGTGCGAGATCCTTTCGTAGAGTGCCGAGTAAGTAGAGTCCATGCTTCTCGACGGCTCCACCAGGGTTTGCACCAGGTGGCTCCACATTGTGATGATGACTTGTGCGAGGTCCGTGGCCCCCCATTGCATACTGCAGAATGCTGAAAGTTGTTTCCTGGCTGTTGTGAGGCTGAAACATGGGCTTTGATGCTGCGTACGAGTATCCGTGGTATGGTATCGTGTCCGTTCTGGAGACGTATGTAGTACTTGTACTTTGTGCACGGCGACAGTGATAGGTAGTTATTTACATATCCAGATTTCGGCATGATGATACTGCAATTGCCATGTTGAACGTCACGGGGATCAATTCCGATAACATAGTAGAACTCCCCATTTGTGTTTGGCATTATAGTATATACTCGTCCGTGGTCTTATGATTATCGTATGTCCGTCCAGACGATGGTCGTCAAGTCGTCAGTGACGAGGCCCGTCCGAGGCCGTCTTGAAGATACTGTATCAATTTGTCCGTTCCCATGCAGTTCGCTTGCTGAAAGACACAGATGAAGGGGAAAGGATAACCACGTGTAGGAATAAAATAGAACGTAGAAAGAGGGTATCCTGCAAAAATCATAGGCCTCCTCGCTCCTGCTCATCCTCCTCCTCCCCCTCCTCTTTTAGTGCTTCATATCGGATCGAATGCACCGCTAGCAGGTCTAGGTTTGGGTCGAACCTCGGAACTTCTCCTTGGAGTCACCCTGTCTCCATCTCCGGCTGGAGACCAGTTCCCACACGGCCAACGAGGCGACAACGAGCCCCAGGATGAACAAGGGGATGAGGTTCCATCGCCAGCCTCTCATCAGGCGCAGGTTGTTGCTGATTTTGGACCGATCGCTGTCGTGCGCAAGCGGCAGGGCCAGCACCGCGACAAACCAGTTCTCGGGCGTCCACTTGTCGAGCGGATACATTAGGGGCTCGGCATTCGCGGCGGCGACTGTCAGGTTGATGCTCTGATCGTCGGTTTGGGCAGTGAGGACGAAGGTGTAGATCAGCGCGGCCAGCGTAAGCATCGCTGAGAGAACGGTCATCACGACCCAGAAGATGAAGATGCCGGAGTGGCTTGTTGTTTGTGTCTGAGAAATTCGCCGTTAGCTTAAATCCCGGCCGACCACTGATGCGTGTACCACATACCTTCCTGGCTCGTCTCTTCTCGTACCAAATCGTGAGAAGTCCCAACCAACCGACGAGTACGAGAGCGGTTCCGGCCGCGCCATTGCTGGTGTGACCCTGGTCGGCGAGAAGTCCCACGGGCTTGCCGTGCAGGTCGAAGGCCCCGTTAGGCGCGTTGATGGTGAAAAACTTTCCTGCTCGGTCGTGGAGAAAGCCAACCATAGATCCAACAAAGGCGACCTCGATGACGGCGTCGACCATCAACACCGACATGGCCGCATAGAGAGGCAGATAGTTCGACATGGTAAAGGAGGGTGCGGTTTGCGAGACCGACGAGTACGCAATTGTGTCGGTTTGGGTCCTGGCGAGGACGACGCGGTCGCTTCGGGAGCAAGTGAAGAGAGAGGGAAAGATATGAACAAGTATTTGCTCTTAAATGGCAAGTACTGTACTCCGTAAGGTCGGATGCCCGGATGACTAACAACAGCGAAGTGTTCAGCGGTGCGTGGCAAATCCCCAAACGAAGGCAAGGTGGGTGAAGGAGTGTGCTTTATAAGACCATGACATCGGGAATAGAAAATGCTAGCAGGAAGTGAGGTTAGGGCTGAAGAGGGATAGCATCAACAAAGCAGATTGCCTTGCGCTCCACAGAACGTCGATGACCTGGTCCCCGGACGAGTTGGCTTGGCTTTCTCATGCCCGTTCACGGTATTCAGCAGACGGGGGGATGCATATCGCTTCCAGGCACGCGTCGACTAGAATGTCCACGCCAGCTCCTGGGCAATGATCGTCCTGCCGAATGCTGAAATGTCGCTGCTGCATTGGGCAGCCGATCAGGCTCAGCTCGTTGTCAGGTCCCCGGCAGGCAGATCCTTGGCTCCTTCGTGCGTTGTTACTGTGGAAGGGCTTTCAGAAGTCAGGCCAACCCGACCGGAACAAGCGAGCCTCTAATCGTTTTAGAGTCTTGGCTGCTTATCAAAAAAGCAACGGGCCAACGGCGCCGAGATGTCCGTCTCGTTCTGGCCGAGGGGCCTGAACACGAGCCGCAAGCCACCAAAGCAGCTCGCACCAACATTTTCCAGCAGGACCCCAAGTCCTCCGATGGCAGCGGCCTGTATGCGGTCAGCGACAATGACGGAAAGGAGATTTGCCGCGGCTGGTGTCTCTGCCTTTTGTCTTGCAGACTTCGGCATCCGCTGCTGCCTGAAAGAGGACGAGAAAGCAGCGGGCGCAACACAATGACTGAGCATTTTCCCGTGACGAATGAGGCTGGAGCGGAAGTTGCGAAGGAAGGAAAGTGGCGGCTTGTTAGTGCTTACTCACCACGGGCTTGACCTCGACAAAGTACCCAGTACCCGGTACTTCGAACGTACCCAGTACCTCAGTACGAGTACTGTGTAACTCGACTCCGTCAGGACGCGGACGCCGCATCTAAGCAGCCTTCGATTCAGCGTGGCGTGCTTGGCCCAGTCGCCGCGAGTCGAAGAGCAACGAGGCTGTGATGCCAGCTAGCCACTCGATCTCGGCGCTAGCGAGCCCACCCAGCAATGGGGCCAATGGCGAAGCAGACGCTAGTGACGTTAACAAATTCGGCTTTTAGAGGGGCTTTTCGCGTTGATGCCAATTTTAGAAGAAACAACATGGCGGATTCCGACTCCAGGTCAGAGACTCGTAGGAGTGTACTGGGTATTTCGTGCCCAGCCCTCCGTACTCTACTGCGTGCTGTGTACATTGTACTTTTGAACAATATTGTGTCGCCGAGTTTCTGGAGCAACGTTACGACTGTAGAAACGCAGGATCGGGACACGGCATAGTACAGCCAAGACGCCCACAATCCTGCGAAGATTCGAGAACGTGAAAAGCGTTGAATTACGTCTACTGTGTATGTGTAATCAGCTGCATCACAACCAGCTTCGAGGCGAAGCAGCACGCTCGCACTCTTCGTGCTCCCTCAGCCGTCGCAGTCCTGGGGCAGGCGCAGCAGATGTCCTGTCAACATCAAAGTCAAACGCTGCCGGACCCATTCACCATTCAGATGCCCAGTCCGAGTGTCTCAACCTCGGGCACCTGTGTGCGAAGCCACAGATGCTGGCCCCAGAGTGGCCTCTAGGCGCCTGACATGAATATCATGGAAACATGCGACAAAGACGAGAACCAGAGAAGGATCCATGAAACTTTCGGCACAATGCCTGTTCTTGCCCGCTGCAAAACATGTGCAATATGTATATGCCATGCCCGCCTTGCTATGCGTATTCTGGAACGATGCCAGAGAATGCAGTATGCCATGCTATGCAAGCCACAATCCGGACTTGCCAGTCCTATACACCATCAGTCTCAACCCTACCCAGGTCATGACGATATTCATGGTTCCTCGTGGCCATTATGCATGTCTCATCCTGGATTGGGCTTCGAACCCTTCAACCGTGATAACTCCTCCGCGGGTCTGGTAGCCCAGGTCGTTTTTGGCGCTGCTCCGACTCTAGCGCAACAATCCATTGCAAAATACTTTCATAACACAAAACAAATTGACGTAGATTCTGCACCATGCTCAGTCTTTGATGACGGAACTCATCCACAGTCTTGGCGACCAAGTCAACATCGTCGCGAGTCACCCATTCGTCAGCATCCACCTCCATTCTATCTTTGTCGCCGTCGTGGGAGAGCTTCTGCCGCTTCAACATGTCAATGACCGAGTCGATCGTACAAAAGGTGCCTGTCCGTCCGCACCCCGCGCTGCAGTGAACCAAGATAGGACGCTGTCCTTTGGGAGCGGCTTCATCCGGTCCAACAATACTGGACGGCGAGGCAGAGCCTCGGACGTACTTATTGACTTGTTCCACTAACCCGAGGAGTTCAGTCGGGCTGGCCGGAGCGCCGAAATCGGGCCAGTCCGCATAATGGATCTGAGTAATTTCACGCATTGGCTCGAAAGGATATGCGGCATGGCTGAGGGAAAAGTGTCGAACGACGGCAGTCGGCGCCGCCTTGGAGCTCGGCGATTTGACCTCTTCTCGACTGCGTTCACCCGGGATATTGGCTGTTGTGGATCTTCTTGGGGCCATTGATGGACGCGTGGTCGGTGCAGGTTTGTTTGCAGGCTTCTTTGGTTCCAGACTCACTTGGCGTTCGGAGAGCTGTTTGAGTTTCAGTTGACCATATTCGCCAGGCTTCCAGTAGACGTGACTCTTGACTTGTCCACCTTCAGCTTCAGCCGTTAGCATTACGATCACTCGGACATCTTGTTCCCAAACCACGCGCCAAAAGTCGTTGAAAGTCGCCGGAATAGGCGCTTGCGTGGCGATGTACCGTCGATTGGAGAATTCCGCCTTCACATGGCTGGCGTTGATATAATCGCAACCCCCGTTCGGTACGTTCTGCAGCCTGACCCGCGTATGATCGTAAGGGAAAATATTGTTATAACGATTCTTGGACCCCTTCTCAATGCCGGCCACTTGAATTCTTTCTGGTCGTTCCGCGCGTGGAGTTCCGTACGAGACCTTGGCGCTGAGGGCGTCCTGCATGCGCTTTTGCTCCGACTTTTCAATGTTTAGGAATTTGTCGGAGACCAACTTGCCTTCATTGGACTTGGAGGCCGCCCTCTTCAACCAGGATGGCATATGCTTTTCCGTCTCTGCCGTGAGTTCATGGGGCTTCTTGATGGGCATCTGACCAACGCCGCCGATGAGGTCCATGTTCTGGCGGATGTTTCCAAAAAAGGGATTTGCCGCTGATTTTGTTGTTGGCATGGCGCAACCACCGGCGACCGCGAGGGTATCTTTTCCAGGGGCTGAGATCGACAACGGCTGAGAGGTGGCGCCATTACCTTGCTGTACAGGACCATCGTCAACCAGTTCGGGGATTAATTTCTGGAACTTCAAGAAGCCTCCCTTAACGACTAGACCGGTGCCCTTCCATCCTTCAGACGTGAATTTCTTGAGCACATTCAATGGGGTGACGGCTTCCTTGGCTAGCGACGAATTGGCATCGTACACGACAATGTAGGAGCAGGTTTGCCAGCGCGCAAAGCTTTCCTGGTCTCGAGCTGAAGCGAAGGTCTCGGCAAGCCTTTGGACGTTATACGCAGGCCGTTTCAGCAGGGTCGTGGGGATACATAGGTTCAGAGCCCCCCGTATCCTGGCCGACGCATACTGCTGATAGACTCTTAGATCCAGTACTAACACATTGGAGGGTTGCGAGCGGAGGATCTCAGCAATTTGCGTAGGGGAAACAATGGGCGGTACGTCTTTCTCCGCCGACGACGGTAGTGTTTCTGAGCGGCTGGAGATTTTGGAAATGCCGGAAGGAGGTCCACGGAATTCATTATTAGGTAGAGATAATCGAGCGTGTTGATGGTCGGCCACGCTATTTCGGTTCATAGAGTCGGGCGATTGTTGTCTCGGAATGTCAAAGAATGAGACATCTTCCATTCGGGTGTTTCCATTTGCTGTTGATTGTGCACTCCTCTCAATGGCAGGCCTTTTCGCAAGTGGCGAAGCCGTCGAACTGAGGTCCGAGTTCGTCCTCGACTGCGAGGGTCTGAATGCGGTGTTCAATGCGAACCTGTGATTATGTTCCGACTGTCTCCTAAACGCCTCAAAATCGGGGTTCGATTCAATCGGTACGTGCCGGGGCGTTGCAACGTCCTTCTGTGCGTTGGAGCCGGCGAAATTCCAGTTCTGGCGCACATGCTTCCCCGGATTTGAATCTGCAGGTATTGAGTCATCGCCCACTACAAATCCAAAATAGCTCGGGCTCGGGCTCTTGACATCTTTGGAATTCGATGGCGATCGAACGCTGGTGGGGGACAGGAGAGGTGGCATAGGCTGGCCGACAGATGCGACAGCTGGCTGGACGCGTGGCGTGGTCGAAGGCCGCGAAGAGCGGGAATGGGAGTGGGAGTGTGAATGGGATTTCGAATGTGAGTGCGCGTGGGAATGGGGATGTGAGGGTGATTTGAGGGACGCCGTCGTGGTGGCGGACATGGTGACGTTGACCAGTGGCCCTGGTGGAAGGGGCGAGGTCGATGTATAGTGGTGTACTGTCATCAATTCTTGACCACTAGAAAATTGTCCCTGTTATTGAAAGGTGTTTCCCACAGGTCGAGCAACCACTTTTGACAGTCCACAACGGTGTCGAGACCTGGGAACTCGTGGAGATATGTGTGCTGGTTGTGCAGGGCTGTGGTATACCGGTAGAATATCAGGTGTGGAGGATCGATGACAAGGTGCACGGTACGAGGTACCACGGTGCTGTGTTCTGCAGATGTTGAAACGGCCCCAACAGATCTACGTCATTGTGGTCTGGACTGTGCACGCGACAAGGCGGACAGCAGGCTGGAATGTGGACTCATTGTTCGCCGGCAACAAAGAAAGATAACGTTTGAGACAGCCAGCTGAGCCGACACGCGGGTAAGTAGTTCGATGGAAAGCAATATTGAGAGGCTGAGGTGAGTGAGTGGTGGTGGTGCAGCAGGTCGGTTTACTAAAGTCCCTTTCGCTATCGGCAGGGGATAGGGAGCACGCACGGGCACCTTTGGAAATCAAAGCCAAAACTCTGACAATTGACGCAGGGCAGATGACGTCGGTGTGAGAGACAAGTGAGGGCACGGTGATGGGGCGAAGCGAGGTGGCTCCGGGCGAGGTGACTGGCTGCTATAAGTCCGCGACCGGGGCCCAGCTGCATGTCTACGGGCCACGGCTTCAACACTCAACGTTCTAGCCCGCGAAAGCCCAACTGTAAAAATCCCGAACGCATGGGAAGACGCCATTGCCTCGACAATACGAGATCTCTACAGTATGGTTCTACATGGGTTCCCAGCACTGGGTAGAGCGGTCCTTGTTGGGCCTAGTCTGGGATGGAGGTTTCCGAGGTGAGAAGGTGGTGAGCAGGGACGGTCTCGAGGAGGCAGAGTTGGGGGGAGTCGTAGGCATGCTCCGCAAGCCTGACTTCAAGCACCAATGTCACCATCGACAATGAAGGGATCTTCCGAGAACTCATGTTGTGCCTTGGCAGAGCTGTGACTCTAGTCCATGCTCACTGGAATGATGGCTCGCTGAGAGGGCCTAGAACCTGAAGGAACACAATATCCAGATGCGTTGGTACCTAGCCCAAGCACGGAATACAGGTATGGACTTCGACTGGCGTGAAGTCTGATCCTCTCCACTGTACCACCCGGGTAATGGCGTGGAGGATCAAACCCGGAAGTCGGAGGCCATTGGCACAGATCCTTGCTTGGAAATCAATCCTTCAGCCGCCGTGGACGTCATTCGCTACTCGTGCACCATGTCATGCACTGAATCCCTGATAAGCAGCAAGTCCGACATGTGAGCGGGTCAAAGTGTTCAAGTGTTCCTCAGATTCGTCCATCTGGCGTAGTTGGGTGACTTCCCTGCAACAAACATCGGCCGAAGAACTGGACTTGCACAATACACGTGCCACTTTCCGCGCACCTTCTGGGGTAAATCTGCATTGATGGCGGCTTTGGTTGGATATGTAACTGTAACAATAATATGTGCACAGGAGTAGAGCAGAGCGGAGGGCGGGTCTCTCATTCCCGGTCACATTCATGATTACTGGGTTGTCCTGTTCTGCCCTAGGTCGAGTCATCGAATGCGGACAGAAAGCATCTCTCGCGCTCGGACTGAGGCCTGGTGTCGCTTATCTTCCACCACGCCTCGGACACAACTCGCTCTCAGGGCGTTCAGGGTCCATGGAGGTGTGCGAAGTATTCGGAGTGGCGGGCGCCCCTCACTCCCCATGCGCCATGCCACAGAACCCTTCCCTGACGCTAGACCAAGGCCAAAGTCAAAAGCTACCAATCTGTCGGCAAGCATCGCGTACACTCCAACACCTCGGATTGCATCTCGTTTATTGTTGAAGGATCGGCCCTGGACCGGCAAATCCCCGTGTGAGGACTCACCGTGGCAGCCACACAGTTCTGTCCAACTCACAGAGCCGCGCAGAAGTCGCGGTCATCTGGCTTGCTGAGCAGGTCCAGGCCTTCGCGGGCAATGTACATCCGGAGCAACCTCAGCTACTGTTCGAAAAAGGAAACAACTGTCGTTTTCGTTGGCATCGGGCTGCATGCTTGCCTGATGGAACCTAGATGCGTGCTTAACACTTCATGGCGTCATTGACCTTCTCTTCTTGGTCTTGTTTCCACAACTTCTGCAGCAGCTGATGCTCAGGCGTGTCCACAGGCAAGGTCTCTCTCTACAGCTCGAGCCTCTCTTCCCACGACTCAGCCATGAGAACGGGGCTCTCTTGACCCGGATTCTGGACAAATCACGTTCCGTCGTTTCGACCCCGACAACCAACGAGAAGCCCGGAATGCCAACAATTCTGTTGCAAATCTACTTCTGGTTGGCATCTAGAAATTCCGGCTGCAAGCCACCACGCGGCCTTTTCGTTCGCCAGACATCTGAATCTCCGTGCGGCTATGGAGCAGTCTGAGCTTCGGGTTTGCCCATCCGCCCGCAGCAGTTTCGTCGCGTAATTGCGACCATGGGATGCTTGCCTTCCCTCACCGCCTTTTCCAAAGCCTATCCATACATGTCTGAGCCCAGGTGCAAACCCATTGCACAGTGACAAGGCCAGTCACATTAAGAATGTCATTCTGAAGCATTTCCACCCGAGCATGTCGGCCCGACTGCGGTCGCTCTCCCCGGCATCAGGATGGTTCGTCGTAAGCACACCTTGTCAGTCCTCCAATTGCATACTTGGATGCCAGAAGCCGCCTTGCGCACACCGCGCTGAACGAAGCTCTGTCGGTGTACTTTTGAACATACACGGTAGCATGTGGTTCACCCAAGGTCTGGTTCGAGCATGAACAACCTTTGCCTAGAGCGCAGGACCACGAGCTCGTAGACACTTGCTGCCCATGTAACTGGTCTCTTTTGTGACACCCTGCCGCGCTCTCTATTGTGAAGACGCCCAACGGCTCCTCCGGCGGTCTGCGACATCCATCTTCTCATCGGCTTGTTGCAGAGCGGGTAGTGATATGATTAGAAGCAGCTCGTGACCGAAGGTGGACGAGCAATTCGCAAAAAGCTGTCATCGTCCGTCCTTGCCGGTCTCTCAAAGTCGACCATCCGGTTCACCCTTCCAGCGCTCCACCCGTTTCTGCTCCCAGCTGTCCAAATCTTTGGCCATAAGCCTATAATACTCGTCTCGTTCGTTGAGCTCTCCTCTGAGCACCTTTCGCCGCCGCGGATTGTAGGTGAGCCCTCCTTCTCCCGTTGGGCCGCCTCTTAACCCCAGTTGCAGTTTCTCCTCGTCTGTGACTTGTCTATTCTTGCGGTCGTGCTTTTCGTATCTCAGCGCCGTGGCCGGTGTCAGAAGGAAGGAAGCCCCGACAATAAGCGTCAAGAATGGGAGGCCGAACCACAGAAAGGGGTTGCGATCCTGTCTGCGGCCGTACCATGTCGCAACACGTGCGGAGAGGTCTTTTGCCTGCGCGCTGCTGCGGAAGGGTTTCGCTTGGAAGACTGGCATGGCTGCAAGAGGGGAGCGGGCAGGAAGCAGCTGTTCAAGAAGTGGAGCCTGATGTTGTTGAATGGTGCAATGCCATTGAGGTGGTGTGGTGGTACGGTACACTGCTTGATCGAACTCGCTCAGTAGACTCGGAATCGAGGCGCGACGATGACATAAACGCCAAGACTTTCACTTCTGCCTCAAATTGCCCTCAACTTGCCCTCAACTTAATTGCCCTCAACTTAATTACCCTCAACTTCGCTTCAGTTTCGAGTTTACACAGAATGCTTCATTCAAGGGTTACGGGAAATGTGACTTCTGAGTGAGGACTAACTCTGTTACCTAGTAAATTCTGCGCGGGTATCGAAACAAAAACGCCTACGAAGGGAACCGAATGGAGTTTGACATGTCCATTCAGCGTTGCTTTCTCGGCCACGCTCTGACCAGGAAATCCTCTTGGACGACCACCGAATTCGACCGCACCTTCATAGCCTTGAACGGGTTGACCACAGTGAAATCGTAGTGACGCAGGAGCTGTAGTTGGGTCAGCGAGAAGCGCACTGCAAGAGCATCGAGCAAAATATACCACTGACCTCGAAGATAGCTTTACCCAGCTCCATCAGCGCGATCCCTTTCCCCAGACAGCTCGATCTGCCGGTTCCAAAGACCAGTTCGTTGTATTTTTCGAAGCTCTTGATGGTCTCCTCGTCGTTTTCGGTCCACCGCTCGGGATGGAACGTGTCAGCATCGGGGCCATAAAAATCTTTGCGGTGACCCATGGCGTAAGAGGCAACTCCCACCTCTGTTCCGGGTGGGATGAAGACGCCATTTATGGTTGCGCCATTCGGATACGGCGAGACTCGCCCTGCCAGCCCATGTAGTGGCATGAACATCCGGAGGCCTTCTTTGATACAAGCTTGGAGGTATGGTAATGCCTGAGCCTGGCTGTTTTTGATCACAGGGTAGTCAACATTGCCAGCTTCAATGGCAGCCTCGATCTCGTCTCGCAGCTTACTATACGTCGGAGGGCTCGTCAGGATGTGTAAGAATGTTGTGCGAAGCGCCGTCGCCGTCGAATCGGCCCCAGCCAGAATCTGAAGCAGAGACTCAACTTCGCACTCTTGCTGGGTAAGACCGTGGTTGACAAAAGAGCCCAGCATGTCTTGCACCTTCTTTGGCTGAGGTCCAAACCGCTCGGCAACCGCCTTTTGCGCAACACCGACAATAGCTCCAAATCCAATTTTATCGGTCGGTTTGGGAGCGGCACCTTCCATGACCCGACTGTTCAGGATGGCCAGTACTGTTGGATGATTTGATCCCAATTCCATGATGGGATAGAAGGCGCTGCTTGACTTGTGGTAATCATAGAGGTCTTCGTTCTTCACCAGGAAGCCCAGCGCCTGACCAAAGGCGATTTGAGTTAGGATGTCGAGAGTGAAATACCCTGCGAGCTTCGCGAAGTCCAGGGCTTGGTTGTTTTGGACATAGTCTCGCCGGATCAGGTCAAGCAGTTCCACCACTCTTGCGTCCACATCTTTTTCGAGGTTGGGAACCTCCTTTCCGGAGTACTGGTGAAGATGGTCAGCCTCCAAGCTCCACGACACGCAGTCACGACGGGAGATTGCGTACACCGGGCATCACCTTCGCCCTCAATTCGGCGTGGGCCTTCTCATCGGCCATGGAAAGAATGTTGTCCTGACGAGGATCGAATTTCATGCCCCTGAACCAGCGACCTCGAGTAAAGGTTGACCGGGGTGCATTCATTGTTCTTTGAATCACCGGGTCATCACTCGCAATGTAGTCAGGGCCGATGCGTACAGGTGAACCTAGCGCCACTGGGTAAGTAATCCCGTCGAGGGATCCAAGTGTGCTCACCATATTTCTTAAGTGCATCTTCAACTGCCAGGTACAAGGTGCCTCGACAGGTGTAGTAGAACATCCATAGCGGCGAGATCGCGGCCAGCCATGGACCCTTGATATGTTGGAGCTTGCGATATTGGATGTAAGTGGTGACAGTCCAATACACGGCGTAAAGACCAACAAGCGACCCGACAACGATGGGCAAAGACAAGCCGAGAGTATCGGTGATGGCCATGTTCAAAGCCTCCGGGCGTTGGCCCAAAGCTTCGTTGCGTGTTACGCACTCGGTCGAAGAAGACTCATATAGAAGAGCTACAGGATGGAACAATGGGGGGAGCAGTTACAGACCGACCTCGTTTGGGCATCCTGACATGGCTAGTGGTGGACAGGGCGGGTAGCATCCAGTTGCAGGATGGGGCGGACGAGCTGGATCAGGGAGCTCGATTGCTGTCGGCAGTGGCATGCCTTTGGAGTGCGTCGCAACTAACTCCTGCAAGCGAGGTGCACGTTGAGAACTAGGAGAACTACCGGGCTGTCTCGTTAGGATTCTTCAGGATAATCGCGTGGGAACGGCGCTACTGTACTCCGTACGGGCTTCGTGCATGAACAATGCCATGGCGGCACGGCATCCCGCAGCACCGCAAGCGAATCAACATGTGCCGGTCCACGGTTGAGCTGGTGGCTACTTGCAAGTTCCAACGGACTCTCGCGATCACCCAGCTGCCCAGGCGGAATTTGCACGAAGCCGAGCTGATCCCTTCCATTACACATCTCGATGCACAGTGGTAGGTCGCTGACTGCAGCTATCGGCACAGGTATCAATGCGCGCAGCTGGACTGGTGGCAGTTATCGACCTTGGTGTGATGCAGATGGTGTCCAGCAAGTGTGTATGGTCGAAGTCCTTCTCACCACCATTATTGGTTCCTCGTCCTCCTCTATAAGGGTACAAAAGTCGTGGCTTTGACTTGTTGATTGCTGGGACATACCTAGGAAAGTACCAGCCTCGAGCCAACGGGATCGGGGCGAGCCAGAGGAATTGCAACCCCGGCCAGCCGGCTGAACTTTAACCGCAAGCTTTCGTTTATCAGGCTTAACTAGGCCTTGCCGTTGGCTCTCCACGCAAAACCTTCAACAGATCTTGATTGTGATCCACCACAATTTATCACGAGAGATCAACGACGTCGATATCGGTTGCTGTCCGCCGCTCGCGGCAGTTTCTTCTCATTGATTCCACCACGTCCGAGACGAGGCTTCCTGTAGCCCTTCCCGGTAGTGTTTTCCGTGTTCACGCCCGGTTAATCATGTCCAACCTCGCGGTGGCAGAGGACGGTGACGCGTGGGAGGGGATGTCGGCACAGGTATGCCCGCACGAGAACTCTACAACCGTGCATAGAGAGTAGTGATGGCTCACCTACTGGATAGTCATATAGTGACAACGATTCTGGTTTCTACGATGAAGACGCGTGTGTTTGTCCCCATTGAACCGCAGTGCGGCTTCTGAAGACATTGCAAGCGAATCGTCGACGAGATCGGTGACTGCCAGCATCTACGATTATGAAGAGTCGCACGGGCGAACATACCATGCTGTGAGTCCGATGCGCCTCCCGTCCAACATCCCTCGAGAGAAGCTAATCCGCTGCAGTACCATGCCGGCAGTGAGTGGAACGGTCTGCCTCGTGTGCACTGCTAACCGCTGTAGAATATATCCTGCCCAATGATGAGGTGTGACATCTGTCGCCGGGGCCCTCCATCTCGTTCCTGCTGACTTGTCCCACACAGGCTGAGAAACAAAGGTGACAACCTGCAATTCCACGATCACAATCCCCTCGAGGTTGAATCGGCTGACTCATGCAGAATCGACGTGATGTACCATGCTGTGAGGCTCTCAATCGAAGAGAAATTGTTCTTCGCCCCCCTGACACCGACTAGCGTGCTCGATGTCGGTACGGGCACGGGAACGTGGGCAATCGATATGGCGGATGAATACCCGGACGCCGACGTCGTGGGCACGGATCTCAGTCCGATCCAACCCAGCTACGTGCCACCGAATTGCCGGTTCGAGATCGCGGATGCCGATGAGGAGTGGACATTCCGGCAGAGATTTGATCTCGTCCATTCGCGCGTTATGAACGACACCTCTCTGCGGGACTGGCCTCATTTCTACCGAGAAGCATTTGCCTCGCTCACACCGGGCGGCTGGGTTGAGTCCCAGGAATTCAGCTACAAGCGATACTCGGACGACGGCTCGCTCCCGGCCGACTCGCGCATCACTTACTGGGAGGATTTGTGGACCCAAGGCATCAACCGAATCGGTCTCCGTGGCCACGGCGATCCCGAGTTAATAATGCAGCAGATGCGTGACGCCGGCTTCATCAACGTGACGCGACTCAACTTCAAAATGCCCATTGGGCCGTGGCCGAAAGACGAAAGACTGCGGAAAGCAGGTTTATTCGGCTACGTCAATTTGTACGACGGGTTTTATGGCCTGAGTGTCAAGGTCTTTACGCAGATGTTGGGGTGGACGGTTCAAGAGATGGAAGCACTGCTCGCAGAGTGCCGACAGGAACTGCGGAGGAAAGATATTCATGGTTACTGGAAAATGTGAGTGCATACCATCCCATCTGATCCCGAGTTGCCCGGCTCCCTGCTGACGACGAGGCTGCAACACGACAGCTGGGTTATCTACGCACAGAAGCCCTTTGATGCCGTCGCCGAGACATGAACTTCATGGTCACTCTCGCCAGTGCTGTTGGCTTGAAATCGAGGCCGTCGTCCTCTGACACTCTTCGCCGAGCACGTTCAGTGTTGTTTAATGTCTGCTGCGGCCATGGCGACTCTGCGTTCTGCTAGGGTTCGTCTTGATGCTCGGACAACAAGATGGGTCATAGGTCTGCCAGTGCCGGTCGGTCGTTCTCCAGTGTGCGGCGCTCTGATCAATTGCGCAGGCCCGTGTAGGTTAGCATTGGGAACTTAATACGAAGTCTCGTTCCCGTCGAGGCAGTCCAGTCCAACACGAGACGGTTTCACGATTCTGTCGTATATAGTCCCGTGGATGCAAGACGGAAAATAAAACCCTTCCTGCCATATCCATCCTTGAGGCGCGTCCTTTGCGTGACTCTGGACCCGAAGGTACTGTAATCCTGAATGGCTGCTACAATGGCGCATCACACGCAAGAACCGGGAAAGGGGAGACACACCCAATGGAACAAGGCGTGATGTACCCTGTATAAAGCCCACAAACGCACTGTACACCACCTTGTACGAGGTAGACGAGCTTGGAGACCCGATGTCAATCCTGGTGCCGATCCCAATCCCAATCCCCAGGCCCCATCCCGTCGACCGGCGAACTAACTCCGAGGGGTTGCGAGCTTGGAGCGGAGCTTATCGGGATCGCGGATCAGCCAGCCTGTCTGTTATTTCTGCGCGACTACTGCATGGGGTCAAGCGCCAGGCACAGAAACACTGTGTACCCAGGACATACGTAATGATGTCCCACAAGCAAGTCTGATAACACCCACAGCACCCACCTGTCACCTCTCCGTCCGCAACGAGACACAGTAGGCCAGCTCCTGCGATGGGGTACGATTGCGAGGATTGACGCCCGCGCTCGGCTCTTCGTCTTTGTCCACCACCCCGCACTGTGTATGGTGGTAAAGACAGCTGGCGGCAGTTGCATGATATAATTCTGGACCACCGACTATATGCATACAGCCGTAAGCGGCAGGAACCAGCTGGTCTCGCCATTGGCGCATCGCCAGCCTCGAGGAGCCGGACCTTCCAGCCGAGACGAAAAGCGGAATGCCCCCCATCTGTCTACTCCGTACTAGGTACTGCCCACCTCTACCCAGTATGGTTTCTGTGGACGGGTGGACTGACTGGTGGTCTGTGTTTCGAGCATCCGAGGCATGTGCCACAACCAGTGGAACCGACAGGCAGAAAACTTTCCTGCTGGTGGCAGTCCCAATACGAGGAGGAGAAGCTTGGCTCCAATGATGCGTCCACCTTCGGAGTTTCCCATGGTTCTAGAGTGGGCGCGATCGAGGATCGGATCTGTGTCCTGCGAGGAACAACGAAAACTTTATGAACACGACAATGACCTCGCGCGCGGATGCGTCATTTCTCCATGACGATTACGGGGCGACGACCTGCAAGTAAAGTCTGTCCGTCTGTCTGTCTGTCTGCTCTCTCTGCGAGCTTGCGCAACTCCAGAATAGCACCGCTGAATACTCTACAACGCCATGACTTACTATCAGGATCCGTTCTTGCTCGACCAGGTACGCCGGACAGACCCAGAACCTACATCCAGCTAGCTAACACGGAGCAGCAGTACCACGATGAAGCATACTTTGCTGGCTTCCCAGCCAACGGTGACGACCAACAAATCTCGGCGCCCACAAAATGCATCAACCCCTGGGGAGTGCCCTCTCAGGTATCGATCCGGACGCAACACTCCAAGCCTGAACTGTATCCCATGAAGTCTGCCCGATCCGACGACTCGTACATCAGCCCATATCTCGACGAGCTGGAAAGCCCTTTTGGGGACACAGTCGACACGGTCGGCCCGCTCGAGCTCCAACGACAACAGTCGGATGGCTCACAATTAACCGCCCCCAACCTGGACCTAGACCTTGATTTGGCCATGGACATGGACCTGAATCGACAAGAGTACAGCACGCCCCCCGATGACCAGTGGCCACTATTCGGCTCGACGAACCCAAACCTCGAAGCTCTGGGCTTGTCAGCGTCGCCAGGCTCAGGATCAGCAGAAGCCGACACGCCCATCACGCCCATCACACCGACCTCGACATCGACATCCCCACCGGCACCAATGTCCGCACCAGCATCCACGACCACCTTCGTCTGCGGTTATCCTCGGCCTCGGCCTCGGTGTCAAACCCGACCTCAACCCCAACCTCAACCTCCACGAACACGCACCACCGCACGGAGAACATCGAGCTCAACCACACACCAACGAAAACCCAATCCTACTACTACCCGATCATCTTGCGCGCGCACCAAGAAACGCAATCCCGCGCCCAGCTCCTCCAGCAGCGAAGACGACTCGGCCTCGGCCATCCAAAAAGCCAAACACGCCCACTCGATCATCGAACGCCGTTACCGCGACAACCTCAACGGCAAGATGATGCAACTTCACCGCGTCCTCCTGGCCGCTGAGACCACCGAGAGCAGCCCGATGAATGGCGCGAACCCCGACGATGCAGCAGCAGTCGCAGTAGCATTCCCACAGTCCGTGTCTCTCGACGAAACGAAAGCTCAAGCACAGACCGTAGGCCGAGTTCGCAAATCCGACATCATGACCCGCGCGATCAATTACATCCACAGATCCGAGGCCCAGATGCGGCACATGAGCGGCGAGGTCGCGCGGTTGCAGGACCAAATCAGGGTGTATCAGAAGTTGGTGGAGGGTGAGGGCTAGGGCGAGGGCGAGAGGTGTGATGTGCGAGACGCCGCTGGTATGGGTGTGGGCATGACAAGACTAGGGCGTTGATTTCTACCAAGACGGAAAAGAAAAGAAAAACGAAAATAAAACATAACAAAAAGGAAAAGGAACAGGAAAGCGAGAGAAAGAACGAAAAGTGTTTCCAATGTGAGGGACTTTGCTAATCAGGGGTGATTCAAATGGTGCACATTGATGCAATATCGCAGAGTGAGGCAGGATCATGGAAATCAGAAGCGGAAGAGGCGGGGTGAGGCGTTCAAGGAAATCAATCTCTCCTCTGCCCATTCTATGCTGAACAGGCTACGTTACGTTATGTCATGTTACAGCACGACCGTCATGATCATATGATGTTGGATTGGAACTTTGGAACCTGAGGGTGGATGACCGAACCAAACATTGGAGGGGTCAGATCGAGGACTCAAGCTTCGAAAGTCTGGATGTTGATTGGGATCCGATGGCGCCGTCACTACGGCTGACTGTGTATGTATGTATGGATGGGCGGCTTGCTTGCTGGCTGTCTTTGTGGTCCGTGTTTGTCAAAAAGAAATGCCATGTCTGCGTTGGTGGTAGAACGACTGGGTGGGGACCGCTTCATACCAGGGTGGCTGGCTGACTGAACTAAGGTACTTAGGTACCTATGGGAGCGGGCTAGTAATTAATCACTGCGCCACGAACCACGGATCGGGGATATACTAGGTATCTGAGATCTCACACTCGAAAAGGTCCCCCTTTTTCGTCTAGAAAGGGGGACAGACGGACGTGGCCAGGGGTCATGGAACACCAGGAGGCAAGCATCTAAGCTACAGTATGTAAGAGGTCCAATTCAATTCAGCGTAAAGTGGCTCGGATACCAGTCTCGGGATCGGCTGTGGAACTGTCTCCCTGACACCGGCAAAGATGAATGGAACTCTTACTCTTACTCTCACTCTGAATGATGTCTGTTGATCCGCCACGGCCGCGTCCGCTACATCTCTCGGTACATGGCTCGGTGCGAGGGATGTGATTAATTAATCATGGGACCGGACCTGTTATTTATTTCAATTCTCTCCGTCTACGTACATTCACATGGAGAGGATGAAAATTCGATCCAAAATATATATATACACTTCTACGGAGCACACTCATCGTACCGGTCCTGATTCACCTGAGCGATGGTTATTTTCTGCCTCGTGGTCGTACGAGAACAGTTTATATATCGACCTCCTCGATGCGAGACATCGCTCGTGCCAAGCCAGTGCTACTAACGTGAGCTGAGCTGCCTGGTTGGGCGCGTGTGTGCTCCTCATACAACTGGGAGGATCGTCTTCGTTCCGCTGGGTGACCACTCCATTACTTACTGAGGCAAATGGTCTCTCTGATTTCACCTCCCGACCGTCCTTTAAGACCAGCCCTTCCTGTTCGCTCTTGTGGAATCGGGCTGCTACCTGCACCATATTGTCGGCGAGGAGAGTTTCAACGACTCGAGAAATGTTGGTTGGCGTGAGGGGACGTCCAATGCCGTCGAATACATGTTTCTCGGGCTTTTGAGCGGATAAGGAGCTCCGGAGTGTCCATCATTTTTCAAGATTCACCAATTCGACTTCTACGTGGCTGCGTGGCACAACTCACGTTGCTTCACCTTTCAGCAACCCCACCATACCTGCATCCCCCTTGTCATCTTCTTTGATGGTTGAAAGTTTAGCGCCATGGTAACCGAATTCGTTTTCGTCATCTTCAACACTCGAGACACTACCGAACTCTGTTTCTTCGTCACTGCTCCATCCATAGTTGTCCTCGTCTCCGTCCTCGTGGCTGGAGTTGCCCCCCTCATCCGACGAGAACGGGTCCTTCTCCGCCTCGTGGACATTAATCTCGACTGCAGTGACGATGCCAGAGCTCGATCTGACCGGCGCTAGCCTCGTAGGCTGTGGGTCATCTTTTGGAGCATGTGGCAAAAGCTGAGGAAACTCATGCATGACAATGGGGGCGGCGGCATCATCGTCGTCGTCGTCGTCATTGCCCAATATGATGCCCTCGAGCTGACCCGCGTCAACATCGAATGCCATCTCCGAAGTGGCTGACTCCCTCACATCGTGGTTCTGCAGGTATTCTGCGACTTGGTTGTATACTGAGATGTGGCCGATCATTCTGTGTAGCGTTGGTTCAACGTGCTCGGACTCTTGGTGGAGCTTCCATTGCGAAGTCCAGACCAGTCTCCAGGCTATCTCGTCCTTTGTTTGGCTGGTCATTGCAGTTGTCCTGGGTTAAGGCGGGATCGGGAGCGATAATTAGCTCCTCTCAAATGTCGGGTTGAAGTGCAGTAGCCTTCTCTCAAAAGCCAAAACTTGAAAGTTTTGGCCTGGCTGTGGTTGATTGCTGTATACTTGAGCCTCCATACCCGCGACCCTTTCACGGCAACATCCGTTGTTGAAATATTTCCTATACCACCCAGCAAATGTCTTGATCATTCAGTCGTCGTATGACAAACTCATGAGTCTGTGCGAGCTCAATGGCGAAAGTGTTTCTCGTTGCTTCGATAAGGACATGCACGACAATCGTGTCGTGTTGCCTGTAATCCTGTGGTTGAACCGAACGGCCTTGCCCGCATTTGTGGAGGAACGTCGGTGGTGGCGTGTTGGATGAATCGTGTCACACCACGAACGCACATTCAGTCAACTGATCGCCAAGATCCCGTCTCCTCCGGGGGCCTTTCATCGGTCCTCGAGCTACACATGGTCAGCAGGTGCTCGATCGGAGAATTCGCGTCCGGCTGCTATGCTGGGCGAGGCTCCAGTCAAAGAGACCATGCAGCTGGTCCATATGGAGGGCAGGGTTCATTGAGTGAAGTGCCGGAAAGAGACAACTCAACCTTTAGTCAACGGCAAGGGATTTCGTGGTTAGCCGTAGACATAACAGAGGTATAATTCGAAGACCGTCTGTTCATGGCTTCGAGAGCTGGGTTGATTACCCGTGGTGAATGAAAGCAGCAGTGGCCAAATACAATACCAAATGCATGCGGCGCGCTATCATGTATATCGAGATTGTCATTAGTTTCCTCCTCACTCTAGTGCGGTCCTCCGTGGTCGCACATTCATCAAACGGTGAAGAAGCTAGGAAGGGATCGAGCGAGAACGATGGCAATCGTCTTGCGCGAGACGTGTCGGCGGCTCCATCTACCAGCAGCTAAGTCCGTCTTTATGGGTTCAGTGGAATACCAGTTTCAGAAGTGGAAGACATTTCGGGTATCGGTGGTGATTTCTTCGTCTGATCAGTTGAGAAACATGAAAGGAGCCGGCTTGGCTATGACTATCTCATGCTGGCATCGAGAAGGTCATTTCAAGGTTGGACATTAATAGAAATTATCCCGCGCTGCCTCCATTGACAGTCGGAAATGCCTATCACAGCAATCAGAAGAAATCTGCAGCTCCCCTTGTGCCGATTTGGCGCGAGGGTCGAATGCTCCTTTTGAGTTAGCAGACACGCAGCCCTTTCAGATCGACCCTTATGCTCCACACAGATAAATAGTGGATCAGGTGCCTTGTCCACGTCGTACAGGCAGATTAGTCACAGAATCGTAAACTGGTCAGGATCGAAGTCATCGGACAGGTGTCGAGGCCGAAGAGAAACCCGTAGCTCCATGGCCCAAAACCACGTCACGAGCTCATCCTTTGGGCATACTGTAGCCTGGCAGGGCCTTGAACTTGTCCAGAAGCACCAGAACGGACACGAGAGCGTTGACGAGTGGATTGAGACTGTAGTAGAAGGGTAAGATTTCAAGTCGGCACGGTTGTTCTTATCGGGTTTGGGAGCCTGCATCCAACGTCTGACGCTGCTGTGACCTTTCAGCGGCATTTGTTCCCACACGTGGAAAATGGTGGCGAGTTGAATGAAAAGAACAGACACAGCGAGCAACCACGAGAGAAGAGGAATTACTTTGGACAGCGCCAAGTATATACGGTGCGGCAGGAGGCACTATGCCTTCCTCTTTCATGACTCGGCGCGCGCGTTCAAGAGGAGAGAGTAGCCCAGGTATCTAAAGTCCAAGTCTGATCATATTGGTTGCAGCGCTGAATCACAAGCCAAAACCGATATCGCAACCCGTGGGTATCTTTGAAAGCACATACTTCGCCATGGTCAACCACTCCCCGTAGACTTTAACTGCAACTGACCCTCCTCAGGCCACACTCCCATTAGTGCCTGCTGCCAGCGCAGTACGAGTAATAACCCGTCCATGCAGGCCTCCCGACAGACAGTAGAAAAGCAAGGAAGAACCTCATCGAACATTACTGTCGGCCAACATCGCGACACAGCTTATGGGGTGTTGTGTCCGTCCACCCCACCAGTCCCCAAGGGTTAGACTTGTTCAGTTGGAGCAGTGCTGCTGCCATGCGAGCTCTTCCTGTATAGCATATGCATACGGTGTGCCTCCGCGGACCAAGTGGTCTTCAGGGCGCAGATGGTGCTCACCAGGAAGCAGAAGCCATTGATGAAGGTGAAAGACTCGACTGCTTTCCAGCACGATTTGTAACTCTCTCCGATGAGCACTTTCCAACCCATCCAGTTCTCATCGCAGTCCCACTCAATGGTTGCACCATAGGCAGCGAAGAAAGCCACGCAAAAGACAAAGTTAATCACAGCGTAACATGTCGGGAACCAGTTCCATGTCCAAATGAGGATGGAGCCATAGATGATGGAAAGGCCGGCGAATGTCTCGGTGAAGACAAGACGCGCTCCAGGGTACTTCTCGGTGTCTTCCCAATGGGACAGATACCAGGTGACAATACCAAGGATGACCTACGGATTCAAGGATTAGCATCGCTCTCTCATCGGTCTCGGATACGTCCTCAACCACCGAATGAAGCATTTTCCAAGCTGTATGATGCTGAGGGGTGGTCAGGAGATATGGGACCACTTACACCGCCAAACTGTGCCTCGGCTTGGTACAAGAATCTCGAGACGGTGCGGACGGTGGCCTCGGACGGTTGGCATTTCTCGAAGAACTTGATCGCCATTGTAGATTGGACTTTGAGAGGTCTGGTGGAAGTGTGTGTAGTCGTTGTTCCTAATGGAAGGGGCAATATTGGTGTGCTGTCGGTTGTCACTCGAAGCTTGCGTATACAAACTCATGGTCAGCATTCCGGACTTCTTGCGTCTGTAATATAGGTACCTGCTGTCATGTCGCATGTGGTATGTTTCCCATTAGCCCAATATTTACGAGGCTTTTTTTCGGGCCAGTTGGAAAGGACGCAGTCATACCATGGGAACAAGACAATCGTGGTGCGCTGTGATCTGGAATCCGAGCAAAGGTGTGGTGGTTTTTCCCTGGCTAACAATACCTGGACTTACCGTTACCCAAAATGTTCTCTTCTCTTGGAGTGGTAAGAGACAGTCTGTACCGTATCTACAGCACATATGTGAAGACACATAGAAGACTTGGCTCGTAGGGGGGCGTGTGGCCCGGCAAGTGATAGGATTGAATCTGTTGGCAGTCACTGTGTCCATGTGAGCAGCTGGGCGGCCTTTTCTGGTCGTATCGCTTGCATACAAAACCCGTCTCATGATGGCTTCACCAGCTCTCAAATCCAGTTTCATTGTGAGGTCAGTTTCGCAACCGACAAGCTTGGCTGTTTCTGGCTCCATCCCATCCATTCATACTCTGCGCACAACGGTACGTGCAACAAGCAGCAAGACCGATTTGTAAGTGATTGGCAAACGGTATGTCCGAACAGTGGTGGTACCGAATATGCGATAGATTGTTTTTTGGCATTTGCAGATAAATCCATTGTCAGCTTCGCGAGAATGAGCAGAAAGCGCACTCCGCTTCGGGACAAATGATGCTCACCCTCCGCTCGCACGAGCCCCTCTAGGATACGCTTCCCTCTCTCTCAGTGTCCGTCGCAACAATCCGTCACATACGTTCCTTGGCTCAGCGTCAAGGCTTCGAATTGATTGACAAAGCCTCCTGTGTATTCACTCCTCTCCTCGGCCATGGTGTTCCTCTCACGCGTTCCAAGCTGGCCGCCGCCTGCATCCGGGAGGACCGATCCCTTCTCGTCAGGCAATGCCATGTGTCCTTCTCCTAGCAGGTCCTCGATCTTCCAAGCAATTCTTTCAGCTCCTTGTCGTGCTCCGGCCAGGTTGGCGGCGCCGGGACCAAGCCTCAGTGCAGCAAGACCGCCAGTCAGGAATAATGGGACACCGTCGTACCACATCAAGTCATCGGTCAGTCTAGGCAACCCATTGACAGACCGAACGGGGTATTTCTCCAGCATTTGTTGCATGCAGGGTACTTTCTCGATGTTCGGCGCTGCTCCTGTTGCGTAGATGATATGATCAATGCACAGCGGGGCATTCTCTGGTCCTGAGGACAATCTGATCGACCATGTCCGGCTTCTGCCGCACCAGATCCCCTCTTCGACACGAGTGTGAGTCAAAATAGCCAGACGATCATCCAACACGTGCCTTTGGAGAATCCTGTCGAACTTGGGTGTTATACTGCCTCCGTTTCGAGCTTCTTTGAGCATCTGCATTCGCTCTATCTGGAATCAGTGACAGATACGGGCGTTACGCGGTCAACGTACCTTGATCACTATCTGCCGACCAGAAAACCGACATTTGCTGGTTGCGCACTTTTGACACCCATTCAAGGTCGACGTCGAAATGCTTCAGCTTGTAACTTCCCCTGAGCAGCAGCCACACCTTGGTGACGCCACGACAAATGATCAAATCGGCAATTTGAGCGCTCGTAAGTCCACCCCCGACCACCACGACGGAGGTTGGTACTCCTTGATCGATCTTTTGCAGAACATGCTCCGGTAGGCAATGGTTGTCTGCTGTGTCGAAGCAGTGGCAAACACTCCCTGGCTCCGCGCTCAACCGGAGGTTGCTGTCAATGGGAATGAAAGGCTTACAGCCAGGGCCGACTGCGAGAACAACGATTCGGGAGAAGATTGCTCCCTGGTCTGTGGTCAAGGTAAATCCTTCCGCGCTGCTTAACCCGCCCAGTTCTCCGTACTCGACATTTTCAACTCTTGCTCGTACGACGACGTTACGAAGGCTATACCGGTCCACAATGTCCCCGCAAAAGTCTTGAAAGAGCGCTGCCGAGGGTGTGAAATAATCTATGCGGTCCCTATCGTCGATGCGGAGGTGTTGTGTGATCCTCCTTCAGACATGTGAGCACTGGCACCCCAATGTGACGACTTGGTATCCTCAGATCTCACCTCTGACGCCTCTTTTTCACTCGGTGTTTGCTCAGTTCTTTGCCGACCACGTTGGGGATTTCTTGCAACTCGGTCGTGCGGCTGTGGAGATGTGAAAAGGCCAAGAGGGAATCTCTGTCCCTTGGGTCTGGATGAAAGAACAGCGGGCTCCGAAGATGGTTGATCCGAAACTTGCGGAATTTCTCTTGCCAGGCGGACATCCACTCGTCAGAATGAGCATCAAGCACAATGATTGATCTGCCGTTGCGAGACCTGTCGCCCAAGTCAGACTCGGCCGCCCTTCGCCGGAATTTGTGTTCGTTTTCAATCGTCTCGCGCCTATTGAACCTCCGCCAGTACCTGGAATGCTCGTCGTCAGTAAAAAGTGCAGATGGAGTGGTTTCTCGTAACCGAGCCGCTACAGCCAGCCCGCAAGGCCCCGCGCCGATAATGGCCACATCATACACCATCGTCGGATTGAACTTGGGAAATACAACATGAGAGAAGCGGACACAGGGGATCTTAGCAGGACAGGACTTTCGAAGTGATGTTACGGAAATGTCTCAACGTTCATGCCGAGTTCGACTTGGTCGAACCTGACGGGACTTCCGGCGACCATCTTTGAGCCTTAAGGTCCTCAAATTCATGCATGAAGATCTGAGTCAAGAGAACTGAGGACCTGACAGATTCTTCCTTGTCCCCAACAAAGTGCCCACCGGCTTACTCAAGATGGATTCCAATTCCATTTAATGTGTTCATTCGAATGATCAACATAGAGGGTTGAACGCTGGGCCAGCGCCAGGCCTCTCCGGGAGGCGGCACGACAGGCCGGCTTCGGTATACTCAGCCTTGTTCGGAAGGCAGGCGATTCCAAGGCGGGCGATTCCAAGGCGGGCGATTCCACGGCTGTTGCCAGGCTCGATATAATCGACTTGGTCCTTCGAGGGAGCCTGCACTCTTAGAGCACTGTGGAATGCTGCTGTCCAAGATAGAGGTGAAGCCACAGCTGTCAATGGTACCAAAGCCTGACGACCCTTGGAGGTCTCCTCAATCTCAAGGGAGACTTCGGAGCCAACTTGGCTTACATAGCCACTGTGGACAATGCCCATTGAACTATCTTCACAAGACTCCACCACCGCGATGTCACCTCGACATTGACCGGGTCGGCACCTCTTGTCCACACGAGGATGACATTAATTGCAGCTATCTCACCTCACGTCTAGGCTGGTAACAGCGAAAATCTACCCCTCTTTCCTCCCTCCTCAGATATGTCCTCATTGTTGCGCAGTGAACCTGTTGGTTGCAGAGCTCTTGTCAAATCCCTCCACGAAAGAGTGTCCAAGAGGAGACCGATCAACATGCTGGTAGCGGGCGCTATACAGGGTGGAGCAGTCCGGGATAGAAGTTAAGCGTGAAGGCGGGCGAGGCAAATGCGAAGTTCAGAGGGAAGTCAACAAGAGGTGGGTAGAGAAGTGACGGCCAGGGTGGGTCACGTGAACTTCGAGCATTGCTTAGTCATATTAGCGCCAAGGCTGCAACTGACCGCATTGAGCTGCGCAGTGAACGCGTTCGTTGCAACTTTTTGTATACGCGACCTTCAGCGAGATCGAGCGTCGCTCACACCACTTCTCCCTCATCCAGACGAGTCGGACAACATGTCGTCGCTCTTCGGGCCCCCGGCATCTGCTTCAGGCCCCTCAGGGTCAAGCGGTCTTTTTGGCGGTCTGAACCTGAATCCCACGACGGACGCCCAGGGAAAGCGCAAGTCCATCTTTGACCCGTCGACTTCACAAAATACTCAGTCCGCCCCGTTCGCAGGGCTCAGCGCCGCCTCAAGCGCCGCACCTTCCGGCGGGTTCTTTGGTACCCAAAGTACGGCTCCTGCTCCTACTCCGTTCTCCATTCCCACCACTACGAGCACTACCACCCAATCCGGAGGTCTGTTCGGAACAGCCCCGTTGGCAGCTCAGCAGCCCGCCCTGACTCTTCCTCCTTTCGGCGCTCAGAACACCCAGCAGCCGGCGACTTCCTCCCTCTTCGGTAGCACGACCGCCCAAAATACCGCGGCTCCTGCTGCCTCGCAACCACCACCCGGTCCTGCGCAAAACAACGGAGACGCTGCCTACTTCAGCACTTTGCTTGAACGCCAGAAGAAGAAGCCAAAATTGGCAGCGGAGCACAATGGTCGTCACGAGTTGCCAAGCCTTAGTATGGACCTGGGCGACCTGGCCAGACGTGCGCAAGAGATCAGACACCGCGGAACAAAACAACCTGAGCCACTGTCGGAGAGTCGTGCTCATTACCTGCTGGCTGGCTCCGGCGTTGCGCCAGGTCAAGCTTACAAGGACTTCCAGGCTCTGGGGCCTGATGATGCTGCACCGGTGTCACGGGTCGCCGCACAATCCTATGCCGATGAATCTAGTGCGTATCTGAGGGATCTCCGAGTCAAGGGGCGTGACGCCATGCTGCGAGAAAGCATGGACCGTGTCTATCGGGAAGTTGACAGCTTCATCGAAGAGAGCTTGGGTGTCGACTTTGAAGAACAAAAGGTCAGAATTATGGAACATTTTGGCCTTGTGCCACCCGAGGATGGATCAACTCCGGCGGGTGGGAGACAAGCCTCCGGCGGCTTTGGCAAAACTACGAGGCGGGGCAAACATGAACAATCCGATTTAGCACGATCCGCGAGAAGCGTGTTTGGTCGGTCGGCATTGGAAAAGTCCATCATTGGCATCGCGGGATCGGGAGCTGGTTCAGCGTCCTTCTTTAGGAGCGAAGGTGCTCCTCCCACGCCAGTTGGATTGCCAAGATCCAGCTCGCAGGTTTTGCGAGAGCTCAGAAACAAGGAGAAGGTATTCATTGACAAAGTCGAAGAACTCAGTAGCGCTCGAGTGAAACACGATGCATATCCTTTGCTACAGAAATTCGCCGAAACCGAAGAGCAAAATAAAGCTGATAGCCCCCGTCAGCTCGTGGACGCCTACCAGGCTCTCCGAGAGATCACCAGAGAAGGCTCGTCAGAACTCAAAGAACGACAATTTGCCGATGCATATCTGGACGAGTCGTCCTCAACGCAAGCGATGCTGAAGCTGAAGAAACAGATCTTGGATGGTTCGAGAACATATCTCGAACGTGCATTCTTCCGCGAGATAAAAACCAAGGTGGAGCAGAATCCTCGGGAGGCATCGCTGGGTGGGCAGCCTACTGTCACCAACATCATAAGAGCTTACATCCGACTGCGCGTGATACGACGGGACCTGGCTCCTGACGGGACAGAGCTCCAACAACTGAATGGGGAGAACGGCGACTACTGCTGGGTCCTCATATTCTACCTCCTGAGATGCGGCTTTGTCCAAGAAGCAGCAGATTACGTCCAAAATGATCCAGCTTTCCAATCCATCGAGCGACGGTTCGTTTCGTATCTGACGGGCTACGCAAAGGACCGGGACCGTCGGTTGGGACGCAAACTGCAAGATATGATAGACAACGAGTACCAGAACCGTACGAAAGCTAGCCCCAAGAACCAGGTTGATCCTTACAGGATAGCCTGCTATAAAGTGATTGGCCGTTGTGATATCGGTTCAAGACATCTGGACGTTGTTGGTCAGGGTGTCGAGGACTGGCTATGGCTACAGTTCAACCTTGCTCGAGAGACGGAGAGGCTCGAGGAGATTTCTGGAGAGGTCTTTGGGCTCGACCAAATCTGCGAAACGGTCACGGAGATCGGGCAAAAGCATTTCCAGAAAAGCCAGGTCGACGGCTCGAACGGATACGGCACATTCTTCTTGATGCAAGTCCTTGCTGGCATGTTTGAACAAGCAGTCGACTACCTGCACAGCTTCAACCCTTTGAGCGCAGTGCATTTTGCCATTGCTCTATCGTACTACGGGTTGTTGAGGGTGTCGGACTTCTCAGTGGCTGGCACTGAGCTGCGTAGGTACCTCCATTTTGATACACGAACCCATGCTAACCCAGGATGCAGTGACCTTTTCGACAACTCAGCAGCCAATGATCAACTTTGTGCCACTCGTTGCGTACCATACGGGAACATTCAGAACAGCTCTCCCAGCCGCTGCTGTCGACTACCTCTCCTTGTTATGCCTCAATTCCGACCTGCGGCCTCCCAGCTTGGGCCAGGTACACACCAATGCCTGCCACGAGTGTCTCCGCGAACTATGTCTGGAGACCCGAGAATTTGCGAAACTGTTGGGCGACATCCGCAGTGACGGCACTCGACTGCCTGGTGCCATCGAGTTACGGGCCAAGTTGATTCACCTCGACAGTAGGGAAGAATTCTTGAGTTCTATCACCAGGCAATCCGCAGCGATCGCCGACCAGCGCGGGCAAATCGCGGATGCGGTGTTGCTGTACCACCTTTGTGAAGATTACGACAACGTCATCAGTGTTCTGAACCGAGCACTGGCAGACGCGGTGACAGTGGACTTGGGACAAGCAGCAATGCAGCTGCAGCCACTGAAACCTCGAAACTCGAATGGTAAGAGTCCCGGATCAAGCATCACCGAAGGAGGAGAGCCCCAGTCTTCGCTGTCGCTCACACAATCAACCTCGTCCCCCTTTGAGCTGGGCAAGAATATGGTTGAGCTGTACAACCAGAACGCGGCCTACTTCAACAAGATCTCCAGCTCGAACCGAGAGATTAGTGGGGCGCTCCTGCGGTTGCTGATCATCCGAGAACACATGGAAGCCAATCCACCACGCTACATGACCGCGCTTGAAGAACTGAATGAGCTGGGCTTGTTACCCTTGCAGGCAAAGGGCTCCATTCCGATAATCCGAGCCGCTGCCACAGCCTTTGGAGCACTTCCCCAGATTGTCGCGCGGTGTGCGGGCGTCAGCGTGGTCTGGGCGGTGCGTGCGATTGGCGGCGAAAGAGACAGAATCAACCGCGAAGGCAGATGGGAGGCGGGTTTTGGTGGCGATGCGAACGAAGTCAAAGAACAGTTGGGCAACATGGCCAAGGATCTCATGGTGTTTGCCGGGCTTGTGAAATACAAGCTGCCAGGGCGAGTTTACGACATGTTGACCCGGGCTGGAGCCGACGTAGGTGGATTCTGACCAGAGCAGGGAGGGAAGGACAATACGACTGGAGATGTCTTGAAAGGCATAAAATAACGTTGTACTACTCGTATCTCGTACTGGCGTTTCATCAAGCTGAAGCAAGGCCGATGTGATGTGGCCGATGTCGGTGACAGCTGTGTGTACTGTAGAATGAGGGTCCCACCCGTCAAGACAATCAGAGTCAGCCCGGCGGTGGTCAGGTGCTCGCCTGGTGGTGACGTGATAGGCTGCACAGACTCTCAGGGGGCCACGCGTGGGCTAATCTTATCAGATTTGATCGCCTAAGTGGCTCCAGAGCTGCCCGCGGCCGCCAATAAGCCTCCCGCCGCAGCTCCATCCCGCGCCTAAACTGGGTTTCCTGTTTCCTGTGTCACTGCGCCGCCTGCCCATCAACTGACGTTGAGACGTTCTCCCATGCGCCATTTCCCGTCCACGTTTTTTGCGGCCAGCTAATTAACGGTGTCCTGACTGTGCGGGCTCAGTCATGACCGGATCTGCCTGATCTGCCATGCCATGGTTACTGGGCTGGGTCAGGCTAAGGCTCCAAGTCACAGTACCTCTTACCGCCCCCCCTCCATCGGACCCGATCTCGAGCTCTCTGCTCTCTCATCCTCCTCCGCTCAGTGCTGCGAACAGCAAAATGCTGTTGCATCATCTGAATCCGCGTCCCAAACCGAGTCGGGCACCCTTGGCCAACATCGAACACCGCACCACCCGACTGCCGCCCGCACGGTAACAGCTCCCTTCGACTCAAGAAGAAGCCAGACGAGCCGAGGGCTGGCCTCTCGCGTCTGGCATACCATCATGTCCCGCAGCCTTCTTCTGATCCGCTCCTCGCCTGCGCTGGGCACCGGCTCATACGGCACCGTCCCGTTGCTGAATGAGAGGTCCGAGTCGGACGTAGATTCGGAAGACGAGCTCTCGCACGGCCATCATATCTCTAAGAAGAGTCGGGGGAAGAGAATACAGTCGACCGGTGACCTGGAGACTGAGCATGGACACTTTTCAGACCCACGCCGCCGGCAACAGCATCAGCATCAGCGTGGCTCAGAATGGGCGCGGCGGAGGTCGTCGTCGGGAGCAAGTGAGGTAGGGATGGGCCTGGATGCCAAAGCCTCCTTCGCACCTCCCATTGCAGAGCATAAAGCCGAATCATCCAACGCGAGTACACGGACCGGAAGCGGCTCAGAGGTTGAGCCAGAATACGTGCCCGGTGCCGATGATCCTCCCGACAACTCGCCTTATCCCGAAGTTCGAGCGTCGGTCCCAGCTACGGACAACACGGCACTCTCGATAAGCACACCACGAATGTGGATTCTTTCGTTGCTGTTTGCGATAGCGGGCTCCGCCACAAATCTGTTTTTCTCCTTGAGATACCCCAGCGTCGCCATCACACCGGTGATCGCTCTTGTACTTGTTCATCCCCTCGGGAAGCTTTGGGATTTTCTCTTCAAGCGCGCCGACGACCAGGAACAGTTCTTTGTCGAGGGGTCATTGCAGAGAGAAGACCCACGATTCGGGGACACTCGGCTGCGCCGACTCCGGCTGTGGCTGGCTCAAGGGCGATGGAACGAGAAGGAACATGCCTGCGTCTACATCAGCAGCAACGTCTCCTTCGGATTCGCCTTTGCCACCGATGTCATTGTCGAACAGCACAAGTTCTACAAGCAGGACGTTCCGATCCTCTACCAGCTCCTGCTGACCATCTCCACGCAAATTCTTGGGTACGCTTTTGCTGGCTTGACGAGACGATTCTTGGTGCGCCCGGCAGCGATGATTTGGCCGGGCACTCTGATGTCGACGGCCATGTTTACGACCATGCACAAGGACGAGAACAAGCCGGCCAACGGTTGGACGGTCTCCCGCTATAGATTCTTCCTCTATGTTTGGAGCGCAGCGTTCCTGTGGTATTTCTTCCCGGGACTCATCATGCCGGCATTGAGTTATTTCAACGTCATCACCTGGTTCGCACCCAAGAACGTAGTTGTCGCCAATCTGTTTGGTGTGGCATCGGGGCTGGGGCTCTTCCCTCTGACGTTCGATTGGGCCCAGATTGCCTACATTGGATCACCGCTTCTGACACCCTGGTGGGCTGCGGCCAACGTGGTCGGCGGGCTGGTTCTGGTGATGTGGATCATTGCTCCCATCCTATACTACAAGAATGTCCTTTTCTCTGCCTACCTGCCGATCCTGTCATCGGCCGTGTTCGACAACACCGGCAAACCATACGATGTGAGCAAAATTCTCACCCCAGACTTTCTGTTCGACAAGGTCGCGTACGACAACTATTCCAAGGTCTACCTTCCCATCACATACGTGCTCTCTTATGGAGTCCAGTTCGCTGCGCTTTCGGCTCTGATCACACACACGACTTGTTGGCATGGTCGAGACATATGGCGACAATCCCAGCAAGCCTTCCAAGAGAGACAGGAGAAGAACAACCTGGGCTACCAAGCCATTCCGTCCTCGAACGGTCAAAATGGTCATGATGAGATCCACAGAGTCGACAGCCAAACCATCAAAGCGGGAGGAGAAGATGTCCACAATCGCCTCATGAGACGGTACCAAGATGTCCCTATGATGTGGTATGCCCTGACATTCGTGACGATGCTAGCTGTTGGCATCTTCGTGGTGGAATACTATCCCGTACATCTCCCTTGGTACGGACTCCTCATGGCTCTCGGCATCACAACCGTCCTCTTCATCCCGGTCGGCATTGTCATGGCCATCACGAACCAACACAGCAGCCTGTACCTGATCTGTCAACTGATCTGCGGCGTTGTCTTCCCCGGTCGCCCAGTTGCAAACATGGTCTTCGTGACGTACTGCTACATCTCTTCCGCGCAGGGGATAAAATTCTCCTCGGACCTCAAACTCGGACACTACATGAAGATTCCGCCAAAGCTTCTCTTCAAGGTCCAGATGGTTGCCACGCTCGTCTCGAGCCTGGTGCAAATCGCCGTCCTGAATTGGATGTTCATAAACATCCCCGGCATCTGCACGCCCCAGGCCATCAACGGCTTCAACTGTCCCATTGCCCGCGTGCATTTCAACGGCAGCATCCTTTGGGGAGTCGTCGGGCCACAACGGTTCTTCGGCCCGGGAGCTCTCTATCGTCCGCTCGTGTGGGCCTTCTTGATTGGTTTCATCGCGCCGATCCTGGTCTGGCTCCTCGGCCGCAACAAGAAGAAGTCGATATTCCGGAAAATCAACCTCCCCGTCCTCTTTGGGTCGTTATCATGGATCCCACCAGCCACGGGTCTGAATTTCTCCATCTGGGCAGTCGTGTGCTTTGTGTTCAATTCCTTCCTCCGCAGACGAGCGCCGGGCTGGTGGGGCAAGTACACCATGACCATGTCTGCGGCGTTGGATTCCGGGCTGGCGTTTTCATTACTGATTGTCTTCTTTGGATTCGTGTATCCGGGGTGGACCGACAGTTTCTCGTGGTGGGGAACGGAGGTGTATAAAAGGGGTTGTGACTGGCAAGCTTGTGCCTGGTTCAAATTAGGGCCTGGAGAACGGTTCGGCGAGTGATTCGTGCCACACGGTAAGCTATGGGTAGGGATAGAACGCATTGCTTTGCATTGCATTGCATCCGGATTCACACGATCGGGGGCGCCTGAGTTAGAATAGCATCGAACGATCAACGAGACATGACTAGTGAGTGAGTGAGTGAGCGAGCGAGCCTGTCTGTCTGTCTGTCTGTCTGTCTGTCTGTCTGTCTGTCTGTCCGTCCGTTGTCTGTCTTTTGATATCAGTATCAGAACGTGCGTAGAACGTCTCGGACTGAGTTCGCCCCTACCAGGGACGGTACGGAGTACTGTACAGTATTCGTGACGTGGCAACGATCAAGGCCGGTCATGTTTTAACGTTCTGCACTCCGGAGTCACGCTTACAGATCTGTCTCCGTCAAGGCGGCACCGTCTTCCCCACCCACGAAAGGAATACCAGACGGCACGCTAAGATTGTATACAAAGCCCCAGACCAGAAAATCAACCAACACAAGTTCACTTTCACTCCCGTCGGCGCGGCACCCGCGAGAAAGACCCCGAAAATGGAACTCCGGCCAGTTCCGAGTTCCGTTCATTGAACGCCCGCATCTGCGAAGAAGCTCTAGGTGGGTGATTGAATCAACAGGATCACACAGACACTGCATTGGGATACCGCGCCGCAACTGCGAAGATGCTCTATTGGGAGATCGAATCAACAGGATCACAGACACTGCATTGGAATACCGCGCGGTGGCACATGTGTTGGCGTGTCCTGGTAACGAAGACGATATCGCCGACGAAGACGAGGATGCCGACGCCGAACGCCGCGGGTGAAAGCTGCTACAGGGGTACGGAGTACATACTGAATACATGTACAGACCCCACCCTGTATATAAACGGCAATAGCGAGAGCACTTACAACGCTCAGACCACTCCAAAATTCTACTCCGTACTCCGTACTCCGTCCTGTCCTCCGATGTAAAAGCCTCTCTGTTCAAGGCGTAATTAAGCAATCCGGAGGATGGGGTTAATGAAGGACGAGATTATAAAGTCCCTATAATTAACTAGCCGTCACGTCACGGACACGATATCCTCCCCGTAACCTGATGGAAAAAATATGTTGAAGATGTACTCCGTACGTGGGCCGGTCGATCATGGTCGTTTGGTCCCTGAATACCTGGTTTCATGCAAGTGTGTACGAGGTATCGGGCGACTGGTTTTTCGTGTTTGGTCTCTGCGAATTCGATTCCAATCTGAGCCCACATGCCTCGTGAGACGGATCGGGTCGGGACGGTACGAGACGGGGAAGTTCGGCACGGCACGGCACGTACAGACGAGGTTGCGATTCGGGTACGTCCAGAGTACGAGTAACTCCATACGGCGTTGCCGTGTACATGAAACTTCTGTTGCCAGGATGCGGTGTTGCTAAGGCGAGCTCTCTCCCACGAGCCCACCAAGACCGCGAGCCGAGTCTATTCATGCCTCAGAACTACATTAAAGTAGTTCATTCTCTTGGGTTCCTTTCCGCAATGGGGCCGGTCGTCTGTTTTTCTTTTCCTGGGCATCAGTTGTTCCGGGGCAGCGATTGTCCTTGGCCGGGCGGAACTTGCCCCAGGTGGCTTGCTTTGCGTGTCCTCACCCTCGCCCTCGCCCTCGCCCTTGTCAACTCCACTGTCATTGTCGTCGTCACCGGCTTGTCCAGGCTTCCCAGCTCCAGCTTGCCCTCCTTCGCTCAAGGCGGCGAGCAATCGTTGGCGGTCTCGCTCCGTGAAGTCTAGTGCCTCGACCACGTCCCTCAACAAAAGAACCCCCGTCTCGGGATCGCCCTTCACAAGGCCATCAAACTCAGGCAGCATGTCAGCTGGGCAAGAGATGTGAACCTTGCACTCGATCATGATCTCAGTGATCTCGGCAACTGGCGGCAGATACTCTCTCCCTAGCTCCATCTTCAATCTTAGATAACATACATCGTGCAGAAACTTCCACCAAATAGACCTAGGGTTGTTGGGGTCCACACCGGCTTGCAGAACAATTCGCACCATCTCCGGGTCCGGAAACCTCAAAGATTGTGGCTTCAGGGCTCTCTCGAGAAGGCTTGGACCTGAAATTCCCTTCACCTTGTCCCTTGTCAGGTGCTCTGCTACAAAACCTGTCAAGTTGTACGCGATGGCCACGGCGACTAATAGGTCCTCAACACGGTCGAAACCACGAAACCAGCTGAACGGGGATGGACGGAGAAATTCTGATTTCGACAGGTGGTACAGGAGCTCTAATGTCGGTTCTAGCCGTCCCATGATGATGTTCACTGTGGGTGGCTCCAGCTCCTTTGAGCAGCGAATTGCCACCAACACGTCATCCGTCTTTTCAAGCAGGGACGACGCTACAAAGTCGACAATCTCCTTACCATGGCTTCGGTCCCAGGGAGAATGTGCGGTCCAGATGGCGTGAATAGCACGGACCCCAGCTATCATTGCGCTACATAGAAAGCGGTGCGCTTGGAAGGGACCGTTTGTGCATTGCTGCAGAATACGTTGGGCATCGTCCGTGAGTAAGAAGTCCATTAGAGACCGATGCAAAAACCCCACCTGGGTGTAGAAGACACAATTAAATCGTCGATACAGCACTTCGACTTCCCGCGAAAGTTCTTCTGGACAGGATTCATCTGTTATGAGCTCCAGCAGACCCATGCAGCGACTGTTGAGTCGCCTCTTTCCTAGAGCGATTCGATACTCCAAGGCCTCCAGGTCGTCAACATCTAGCTCAGTAAAGTCGCAGCTTGGTCTCATTGCGAAATCTGGGTCTCCCACTTCGAGGAATGTCAACTGAAGCGGGTAACACGGCCAGTTTACGGGGGTGCTTTCCCGACAGAAGAGAGCTGTTTGGAGCATTGCGGAGGCTTCAGCGCGATACGCCGGATCGATAGAGGAGATGATCCGCTTGAAGAACCCATCAAGGTCCGCCGGCATCGATCCCACTTTCCTCTCTAGAGTGCGAATGGTCTCTCCGTCTCGGAACCCTCGCATAAGCTCTTGAACAACAAGACGGACCCACAGGAAGACTCCATTGGCTTTGTCGACAATCATCTGGATCAATCTCTCCCCTTGGCCACTGTTATGGAGGTAGGAGCTCTGGAGGCGTATGCTGTGCGAGAGAGACTGGCTCACATATTTCTCAATGTCCACCCTGGTGAACAAGTGGAGCTGAAGTTGAGGGAGGCCATCGAAGGAGTCGGCAAAGATGTTCCAGGGCCTACTGGACAAGCACAGCTTCACGGAACCAAGTCGAGGCAACTTGTGAAGGAAGTCTAACATGTCGTGACAATCATCGTCTGTTCCATCAAGTTCGTCCAAGCCATCAGCTAGGACAAGAATCTTTCTCGTAGTCGCGATCCTTTGTAAGCAAGTTTCTATTGTCGTCTTCATTTCTAGCATTGACCACTGTAGCTCAGATTCCGTGGCGCACGCAGTCAGCCACCTCTCCTCGCTGACGACAGTCTCGATCAGCCACTGATGACTGTAAAGTAGTTGATGTAAGAGCGCCTGCAGAAGACCTCGAAAGGACTTTTGCAAACCCCGCCCAGGCTTCCATAGGAAATATCGACAGACGAAAAGACCATACCCTGATAACCAGTTGGTACAAGAAGCAGGCTTCAGATGACAATTCAGATACCGCATGAGTGTCGACTTGCCTGATCCAGGCTTCCCGGAGATCCAAAAGAGGCCGCGGTCTGGAGCAGATGCATCCAGCCATGACTGGAAATCACTAAGACCGTTGTCTGCCGTATCGCGTGGCGCTAGGATCCAGGAATAGGTACCTTCATGTGCCTCGCGAATTTGATCCTACCTAGAAGCCATGTCGCAGAATGATAGGCTCACGCATATGCGGTGCTAAGCAACTTGGGCTCGCTGTTTGTCGCTTGTCGTTCTGATGGCTTCTTGCTCCAGCATGATAGACTCAATCCCGACAGATAGCCTTAAGAGTGCATCCGCATGCGAGGCCTGGAATTGGGCGAAATGGGTCTCGTATGCAGAGTCCTGGAGCTTCAAATGAGTCATCTGCTGTAGCACTGCTACGATGTCGCAGTGTAGCTTGTTTGAGGTGTCGTCAATGGCAAGCCGCATATCCTGCTCGAATTGATTCGAAGCCGCCAGGAGCGCCGTCTGCGATGAACTCGACGCTTGTGTGGAACTTCGCATAATTAGCAACAGATCGAACGAACGGCTGGGGGCCTGCTTACTGCATGTAGAATAGGAATGCTACAATGAGATTCGACCTTGCATGAGAAACACTGTTCTGCAATGCCTGGACTTCTTCTTGATGCCATCTCAACCGAATGGCAAACCGAAAGGATGCTGCCCATGATGGATTGCCTTGTGACGCCGTAGTCTTTGGCCGTAACTTCTGGACGAAGTCTATGAAATTTTGAGACAGCCGGAGGCTCTCGGCATTGCACTCTGCCAGCCTCGCATACAGTGGGCATGCCTGAGAAGGAGCTGGCACAGCTGAGCTGCCTAAGTCGTTGTTGAGATTGTTCAGCTGCTGAGTGATCGCATCCAGGTCAGTTATTGCAGTTGTGCTCTCCCGACTTGGGCGGTGCAGACTTCCAGCCTTGGCCACAACTTTGGCTCCATACTCGACGACTTGTAAGATGTTGCAGGCCAAAGCGAATGCCCCGATTGCTTCAAGCACCATAATTGATCCAGGGAGGAGAAGATCGCCCCGTTAACTGACCGGACAGCATTCATGGAATTCGGAAGACGAAGTGAAAAGAAGGTTTGCAGATGAGGCTGACATTTTCTGTGGTGGCCGCCAAGGGTCACTTCCGCCAAGTTGAATGTTACACAAGACAGCCTACCAGCTATCTGGACCTGTGGCATCGCTTGAGCTTGAAGTTGTGTGGCTGTACTCTGTATACGAGACCAACAACGCCTTGGAGTCTGCCACGTTTTAGGTGCAAGGTTGTCCGCACAAGTCGTCGACCAGGCGGAGACGTATCGCACCAGTAGGGAGTCGGAAGTCGGTCGCGACTGCGCCACCTAGAAGGCGTCTGTGTGGGCGGACAAGAACGTTGACTGATGGAAAGTGACTCCGAATCCAGGTTTTGGTGGCGTGGGAGCGCCTTGCCTTGCTGGCGAGGCTCACACTCCATCCAGTGAGGAAAGTTTCAGACCAGGGGCTTCCCCTAGCTCAGCGCTTGACCCTCGGATGATCTGACCGCCATCCTGCGATGTTCACACCCTGGCGTGTAAGCCTCGGAAGGAAGGACGGTCAAATCCAGAAGCGTGACCTTCTTGAAGGACTTGTAGGTGTGATCGTGTGAAACGTATGTTGGCCCCTTGAAAGGTCGAGAAGAATAGACATGTACGCTATGCGAAGTGCATGCATGCAAAGTTTCGCTTGCGTTGACCTTCACCTTTCTTTTGTGTTTCACGTACCAGCTTCATACACTCGCATGTCTTTCTCAGGCTCGAGATACGTTCTGCCTTGAGGCAGACGTCGTCCATTCGCCTTGACACCTTCTTTGGGTTTCTGACCAGATGCTGCAATATCACCTTAGATATCACCCTGAACAGAGTTCGTCAATCTGTCTCTCCTTTCCCCGTCCTTTCGTGAAGCATTTCGCTCATGCCACCACTGCTTCATATGCTCAACGTCATAGCCCATCTCGATCAACTTCCACTCATCACTAATAAACCAGTCTTCCTCTGCGCCCTTGCTATCAGCATCACCCAGAGCACGGCCTTTTGCTTTCTGGCTGTCCACCTTCAGCGGATACCGATTCAATATCACATCCTCTCCATTCCTGACCCGGTTCATGACGAGACCTCTGAACAAAGCGGGCGTCCCTACTTCGGGTAGAAATGCTAGAGCGTCCACAAATACGGCGACAGTAAGCCCCGAAATTCGATTGCAGATGCTCGGATCATGAATCTTGAGATGGCGCTTTGGCGGAAAGGGCGTGTTGGGTCGGTGGATTATGGAAGGAGAGACCCAGGATATGAGGACAAAAAGGGGCGGGCAGGGGTAGGATTTTTGGGTGGGAACCGCGAGAAGAGATGATAAGGTGGTGACTGAACGCTTCATACCCTGTGGCAATTGAGGTGCCTCCTTGGAGAAAGGAAGAGATTGCGTTTGTCCTTGACGAGCAGAAAGCTTTCGCGGGCTGCCCGGAAGAACGGAGTCAGCGACAACATCCTCGGACAGTTCGGCGGCATCTCCCTGAAAATGCTCTTGGCAGTCGGCCTCTTCAGCTTTAGCTGTTCTTCGCAATGGAGAAAATGATGCAATGGAGCGCTTCTGTGTAGCAGCTTGACTATGATCATCAAGCATTGTAAGTCGACTTGTTGGCTTCTTCTCCGTAGCCGGGCCTGACTGGATTTGACGCAAAGCTTCACGGCGTCTGTCAATCTGTGACTGAGCAACAGCGAGGGTATCGAATCCATCGTCGTCAGAGTCGGCGTCTTGTACCATCCGTGGTTTGTTCTTTGTGAAAGCAGATTGACTGGCGCCCTGTGGTGTCGGTTTTCCGTCACGCTTTTTCGACCAGCTTCGGTATTGAGCTGTCAGGGATTGTCGCTCCTCTCGAGATGGGTTCTTGGTCGACATTTTGTCATCGACATCGGCATGGCACAAGAAGCCCCCCTCCTCGATTCCAAGACCGTCTCTTTCGTCTACGTTTGTGATGCCGTGATCAAGCCTAGCTAGTACACAATCCCGAACACGAAGGTAGACCACGCGACCTCGACCATTCAATCGAGGGGCGCTTCGGACTTCGAACCTCTTGACCGTGAGAATATCCCCGACTTGTAGCTTCAGAAGCTCTTCGCATGCGTGTAGATTTCTCGGGAGGACGGCTTGGAGTTGAAGGTGGTCGTCGGAGAGGGCAAGGTGTACCAACGGCGGACGAGTGGGCGGCGGTTTATGTCCTTCAGAGCGAAGATACGTCTTACTGCTTGTAGTCTCAGACTCGTTGGTCCAGACACCGCTGTCGCCCACGTGAGCTCCCTCCAAGCGACCGAGTCCTTGCAAGTTTTGTTCTTCCTCTTGGAGACCGTCGACGGCGTTTCCACGACTACCCGCATGCGCTTTCCCGAATACGTGCTCCACTCGAAGGACAAGCGAGGGAGGATGGACGCAGGTGCGAAGGAGGTCTGCCAGGCATGGTGTCAGCGCAGTCCCGGCAGGAGTGCTCATGCTCGAGCTTATCCTGCATCGTGGCAGCAGCTACCATATCGACCGATGAGGCGCGAGTGAGGCTCAGGTGAATTTGGAGTGACTGACTGACTCGACGCGCTACGCGTCACGGGAAAGAACGCGAGAATAGCGCCAAATTAGTCAGCCTTCTCCGCACGTTGTGACTTTCAAACCACCCTCTCGCTTCTCGCTTCTCGCGGTGTCCACGACGACCAGCTTGTGATGCTACCACTCCCGTCAGGTTTCCTTGTCTCTGTGATCGGTGCAGCCTAGGAACGTATTGATGACCCCCTATCGGCTCAAGATGATGCCCTGCCAAGTTCCGGCGTCCTTGTCAACCTCGGCTCACAGCCAGGAGCTGGAAATCCAGGTTCGTAAGGCTAACACCTGCATGACCAGCTAGGTACAGCAAGCGACCGATAACCATCTTTGATTTGCGCTGGTTGGGGCATCCTGAAGATGTGGGGTTCGCGAGGCTGGGCCGACCAGCTCATGTCTGGGGTAAAAGTCAAGCTGGGGAAGATCCCCTCACTTGGGAGTCGCCTTAACAAGGAGAGGTATTCCAGAAAGCTCCCGTACGGCTCCTCTCTTCGAAACAGCGAGCGCGAGCTGGATCGGCTGGACGTCAACCGAGACAGGTGTCGATCGCCAGGCACGACTTACACCCGGAACGGTGTCCACTAGCCAGTCTTTTCGAAATACTATCAGCAATGCCGCAGACCGAGGTCTATAGACCGGCTTTTACGGATCCTCCAGGGACGAACGTCGCTGGCATACCAACTGCCAAGCTCAAACTGTCCTCCCCTGACGTGTCTTATGGCTTAACGTACCAGGAGGCATGCGCGAAACACGTGCAACACACGTACAATGCCTCGCGAGTCTACATCATTGCGTCGGGGACGCTTTCACGGCAGAGTGACAGGGTCAGGACGCTGATCGAAGCCATAGGCCAGGACAAGGTTGTGGGCTGTACGGAAGGCATGACACCGCACACGCCATACTCAGAGATCCTGCAGATCACTGCTGACGCAAAAGAGGCGAATACCGACTGTCTCGTGACGCTGGGCGCCGGAAGTATCACCGACGGAGCGAAGATGGTTGCCTTTGTCAGTTCCAGCATCCCGCCTATGCAGGTAGCGTTGCTGATCTCTACCCCAGTGTCTTGCCAATGATATCAAAACGCGAGAAGAGCTCGTCAGGTATTCCGCAGAAAGCAAAGACGTGCCCTCGGAGGTCCACGAGCCAACAGTACCTTTGATAGCGATCCCCACGAGTCTTTCGGGCGGCGAGGTACTCCTGCATCACACCTTGTGTGTTACTTCAGACGCTGACTACGTGCAGTACTTCAGCCTCAGTGGTGGCACTGACGAAGTGACCAAGCACAAGGTGCCCTTTCTCCATTCTGGGATGGGCGTCAATCTCGTGATCTTAGACCCGGAGCTTTGCACGACCACCCCGCCGTACCACTGGCTCAGTACCGGTGTCAGGAGCCTCGACCATTGCGTGGAGGCTCTATGCTCGCTGCACGGCACAGACAAGTCCGACCGAAATGCAGAGGAAGGATTGAAGCTTCTGGTGCCTTCCCTGCTCAAATGCAAGCAAGACCCTCAAGACCTCGAAGCGCGCCATAATTGCCAGATGGCCGTCATGCTTGCGATGGACAACATTCGCGCCGGGATACCGATGGGTGGGAGCCATGCCATCGGCCATCAACTGGGTCCCCTGGGCGTGGCTCATGGCGTCACGAGCTGTATCCTGTGCCCGGCTGTGATGAAGTACAACATGAAGCACGCGAATGGCAATCCGCAGATCATCAAGCGGCAGCAAAGAGTGAGAGGCATATTGTGGTCTGATCCCGAAGTGGCCAAGCTGTTGAAGAGCAAGGGACTTCAGGAAGATACCTCAGACCTGGGTGATCTCTTGGACGTCGTGATCCGTGCACTAGGCCTCCCAAGGACGGTGACGGAGCTCGGGATCAAGCGGGACGTATTTCCCAGTCTAGCCAAGCGATCACTCGCAGATATCTGGTCCCCAACGAACCCCGTTCCTCTGGTCAGGGCTGAACAGGTGCAGGAGATTCTTGAAGCTGTTGTGTAACGGGTAGATGCACAAGGAGCACTATTTCGTCGCCACCTATGGGATCTCAAGGCGTTAGGGCTATGGCTTGACGGGGTGATCAAGGATATCGGAGCTCGGGGTTGGCGCGACTCTTGCTGCCACTTTCAGCTGGGTCCTGACAATGGCTATTTATAACAGCAATAGCTTGTTATCCTTGGGCGACAAGTTATATATTGTCTACACCGGTTATCTGAATTGACCATCACGCTGCACGTCCGCACTCCGACAGGAGTCGTCAGCGAGCGCGTTCAACGCTGGCGAGCCCGAGCTTGATTCAAATGATACGCTCTCTCAACGCCACTTTCACACCTGAGCCCCGTGCACCATACCAACCTAGATTTCCCGCTTCGTCAATGAGACATACGTGGCTTAGTACAGCAGAAATGACAGCACGTGAACGAGGCGACATGCGGGACACCTCCATAATCGAACAGCGCGTCTTTCCCTTCAGCCCTGGTTACTTGGGAGTTTGGTATGCTTCAAGCTTACCTAGTACTGGCAGTTACGCCGCGACTGATGCATTCCGGAGTGCATTAAATGTAGACTGTGAAGGCCGAATGAGGATGGTTAGTGGGGGCATAGGGGTCGCAGCCTCGCAATTAGTTAGCCCCCTGGCCTCCCGCCTACCATAAATACCTCTTAGCTGCATCTCTCCGCCTCCTTTTGCTCAATAACTCCGCCGGGGCGCCGGCTGCTTCTGGAGAGGGTAGCTATCATTACCACCCGAGGCAACAACATAATGACGGGAGTGTTGCTCCTTCGGGCCACTAAACACAGTCAATAAGTAATGGTGCCTCTACACGCGTACCACGTGTCGTGTATACGCCTGGGGTCGCGGCGACAGCTGTTGGCGATCAAGGCAGGACCCTGGTCAGAGGCCCACTTCGGATGACTTTTGGGTCATGCGTCTGCCATGTGCTACATCGTACAGGGAGGGCCATCCCACTGTCTGTATGTCCAGCCACCCTGCCTGGCCTTGGACGCTCAGTCGACGACCTGTCATTCATCTCGGCCCTCGCTTCGGCCTGCCTACATGGCTTTGCACGGAGACAAAGGAGCATTGGAGATGGCTTCGTTGATTGACGAGAGCGCAGTGGGCGGGAAGGGCAGGCTACTCATGTCTCGCTAGAAGGAATATAAACCCACGCGGCCACGTATCAACTCGATCGTTTGGGTGCGGAGAGTTCGGGGGGTAGACATGCCGAATTTAGGCATGGCAGTGATTCAGGCAGTAATGGTACCCTACTCCGCACAAAGAGAGGCCAAGCACAACCACCACCACCACTTGGCGACCACCTTTCTCGCTTCCGTGCCTACTGTGCCTGCTGATACCTAGGTATCGCTTCGTCTTTGTTCCACTTGAACTTACTCCCCGGGTGGTCCTGCAACAGCGAGGGTGTGCCAAAGAACTGCTCCCGCGCAGTGGCACCCTGCTTCTCGACCCGATCCCGAAAGATCCCCCGCTTGCGTAGCTCGGGAAGAAGGAATTCAATGATATCTTCGAAGGATCCAGGGTTGACCACATGAGACAGATTGAAGCCGTCCACGTCTGCGATCTCGACCCATCGCTCGAGCTCGTCAGCGACGGTAGTCGGCGAGCCTACAATCTTGGCATTCATCCCCCCTAGGATCAAGTACTCGGCAATCCGATTTTTATTCCACTTGAGGTTCTCGCTCCCGGGCACGGTGTCGGCCCAGCCGTTGACGATCGACTGGATCATGGGCACCTTGACGAACCGAAAGTCTTCCTCGTCCGAGTAGGTCGAGAGGTCGACGCCCGTCCAGCCTCCAAAGAGCGCGAGAGCGCCTTCCCGGTTTCCGTACGACAGGAACTCCTCGTGTTTCTGTCGCGCGGCCTCGTCCGTCTCTGCGACAATCACGCACATCGATGCGATGACCTTGACGTGGTAGGGGTTTCGGCCAGCCTCGCGTGCGAGCTGCCGAATCGCTGCCACCGAGGGTTTGAGCTTCTCTGGCAGCTGTGCCCCTGCGAAGATCACCTCGGCGTGCTTCGCTCCGAATGCGCGCCCGCTCTTCGAAGTCCCCGCTTGGAAGAGGAAAGGCGTGCGTTGCGGAGAGGGCTCGCAGATGTGAGGGCCTGGGACGCGGAAATGAGTGCCCTGATGGTCGATGTCTCGGACGCGCTCCCCGACCGCGTACACGCCCGTGTCGAAGTCGGCAACCACGGCGTCTTCGCGCCAACTGCCTTCCCACAGCTTGTACAGCACTTCCATGTACTCATCTGCTATGGCGTATCGGGCGTCGTGCTCGACTTGCTGGTCGAGGCCGAAGTTGCGGGCCGCGCTGTCGAGCTGTCGAGGACGTTAGCGTCTCACAGCGGACAGACTTGCGGAAGATGGCTGACGATCTCCTATCCATTGGAGTCTGGCAGATAGCAAGGACAACACACGTACATAGGAGGTCACGATGTTCCAGGCCACGCGTCCGTCGCTCAAATGATCAACCGTCGAGAATCTGCGTGCCAGAGAGTATGGCGGCTCGTAGGTCGTGCTGGCAGTGATTCCGAAGGCCAGATTCTTCGTCACGGCGGCCATGGCTGGGACCAGGTACAGCGGATCGTTGACGGGGAACTGAGCACCAGATCCCAGCGCGGGGCCGGTGTTGGCCGGACCTTTGTAGACTGGTGTCGTGTTAGATGGCGTTCGTCTTTGATCTTTTGAGCTGACTGGGAGCAGATTGTAAGGGATGGGCACCACTTGCTCATCGAAAGTCACAGTGAAGTCTTGGACGAAAAGACCTTGACCCAAACTTGCAACCATCTTCAGACCACCTACCGTCGTATGCGCCGAGAACATCGGCCAGGAACAAGGCATGAAATCCAGCGTCGTCAAGAAGGCGCGCGAGATCCGTCCAGAACGACAGCTTCTTGTAGTTGTAGGTCTTGTTCCGTGGATGACGCCAAAGGCCAGGCGAGAGATGGCCAGGCGTGTTCATGGCAAACGCATTGAGGATGAGATTCTTCCTGCCCGGCACGCTCCCCTTGCTTGCCTCCCCTGCCTCCCCGTTTGGCGTTGCGCCGTTGATCTTGGCATTTGCCGCGTCCGTCGTCGACATCTGGAACGTCGTCGTATTTCCGTCTCCGAACTGCTTTCCTTCATCTCTCCTCAATGTCTTGCCGTGCAGAGGAACTCAACATAAGGTTGGCTTCTTGCCAAGTCAAGGAGTTCCCTCCGACGTGCCACCCTGCCGTCCTTCCATGCTGACAGGGCATAGCCGCAGACGTATGGAGCATGTACCACGACACCGGATCGCGCCATCGCGCTTAGGAGCACGCAATCGGATAAGATGTCGCGCCATTGTCAATCGTGCTTGCCAGCGACAATACAGTCGAGTATTCGGCAACGTGCTTCGACCAGACCTGCGGACTTGTCCGGGTACAGCGGCAGGCGTGGACCATGTTGTGACCGTGGTGGGCGAGCACGACATACACCGGCGCCATGTGCAAAGCAATGTGAGGCGAGAGTCCACTTCCTCCTCCACTGACTGATGCGTGTTAGTACGGGCAGGGAGAGAGGCCCACTCGAGATATGCGTCGGGAGGGTCCCCGTCTTTACAAGGACCGTTACAAATCCTATTCAGCCCACACCCATACAGTACCCGCGGAACGACTTGACCTAGTGGCCGGTGGATTTTGTCGACCCGGTTAGTTGCTGTTCCACGCCGTGATGTGCTGCGTCTCGGCTCAGAAATAATGAGCCATCCTGATGCCCTGTCTGCCGGTTGACACACATCTCGAGCCTGGCGGGCACTGAAGGGAGCAAGCCACTTCAAGCAAAGGCCAGCCAGCCATGGGGTTCACTCGATTCTTGCAATCCTTGAAGACAGCCAGTCCGGGCAAAGATGCTGCCTTTCAGGTCACACTCCGAGAGGTTGAAAAGCCGTCGTCGGCATCCTCGTCGTCCTCTTCGACTGTATCCACGCATCAGCGTGCACTGATCCTCTACGCGCCCAGACAGCCATACGAAGAGATACCCGACCACCCTACCCCGTCGCTTCTGAATAACCGAGAATTGCTTGTCCGGAACAAGGTCATCGGTCTCAACCCGATAGATTGGAAAGCACCGTAAGGATACTCTCCTTGATCCCTTTCATGGGCCACCCAGAGTACTGACTCTCTCAGGGACTTCAACTTCGGCATCCCCGAACTACCTTACGTCTCTGGCCGCGAGCTCGTGGGCCAGGTGGCCGTCGGTCCGAGACACAAATCGCGCTTCCGGCCCGGCGACTGGGTCATCGTCATCTCCACCGACTACAGAGACCTGCGCAAGGCCGCGTACCAGCAGTGCGTCGTCGCCACCGACTTCAATGTCTGCCGCTTACCACCCAACGTGTCCCCGGAATCAGGGTCCGCGCTGGGCGTGGCCTTTGTGGCGGCAGCTCTCTGTCTCGGGATCTGTGCAGGCCTCGATTTCACCAAGCTGGCAGATGGTCCGGACCTGCTCTCGATAGTCCGACGGTTGGACCCCCAGCGCCTACCCCAGGACGTCAGGCCGGAATGTCTGGAGGGGATCAACCTGCGTGAACGGGCCAAGCCCGGCGACTGGGTGGCGATCTGGGGGGGTTCTTCGACCAGCGCCTTGATGCTGAATCAGATCGCCAGACTGCTGGGATTACGGACCATCAGTGTCCTCGACCACAGCAAGCACGCGTTGAATTTGACGTCCAACCCGCACATCAGGCCCGATGTCATTGTCGACAATCACAATCCTGGACGAGCCATCGAGATTGTAAGGTCAGTCACGAACAATCGTCTTAGATTCGCGGTCGACACGGTGGGGAGGGAGACTGCGACGCACTTGATGCAATGTCTAGCGCAAGGGTCGTCGTCACTTGCAGACTCGATATCGAGTTCGAATGGCGCACCTCCACCCTCAACCCTGGGCACAGACGCCGGACTTCCAGCTTCGATTCCGAGTACGGACGCCACGCTTCCACGTGCCCACCTCGTGGGCCTGACCGGGCTTCCCAAAACAAAATCCTCCCCTGATATCACGTTCCATACCATGCCGATCAAAGTGTTCCATGAGATTCCGGAGGTAGGCGAGGCGCTGATGCTGTGGCTCGAGCGACTACTGGGCCAAGGACTCCTGGTGCCTCCCCCGATCCTGGGCGTCCGGGAAGGATTTGGAGCCATCAACGGGGCCTTGGATTCCATGAGAAGAGGCGAGATCAGCGGCGGGAGACTCGTGGTCAAAGTTGAGTAAAGGGATGCAAACGGCTCAGCGTACGAACATCGACCTATAGACATGGCTGCGGAGTCAGGCACAACGTAAAAAGCGTCCTTCGAAATAGACATCATAGACAGGGTAGTGCTTTCTACTATACGATAGTAATACTCGGTTTACCAAGTACGTACTTTTCTCATTCCCACCACTGCTCATGCAGTTCCCTCAGGTCAACCGTCCCTTCTAGTTTGAGGTATGCCGTCATATCCTCGGTCTCGTCCTTTTCCTTCCTCGTCCACCCGTTCCCAAACCAGCCGATGAGCCGGTTCCCGCTGCTGTGCAGATACTCGTACTCCCAGTCCTCCCAGCGCGGCTCCTTGCGGACCAGCGTGACGTGACCCGCGCTGCCGGGCCAGATGCCGTGGATGCGCCCGCCGGGCTTCCCGCCATTCGCCCACGAACTGCAATTGTCCGTCAGCACGGTCGTCGGGAAGAATGCGTCGGCGTAGGCGACGAAATCGTCGGCCGCCCGTCGCGAAGGCCACATGGCCTTGATGCCCTGCGACGACACTTTGCGGAGGAGCTTGGCGTAGTACGTCAGCTGGATCTCCACGCTATGGGGCACCGTGCCCGAGGGACCTGCACCGTGCGGCCCGTGGATGAAGAGGAAGTTGGGCACGTTCGGCACGGCGAGCCCGAGGTACGTATACGGCCAGCCGTAGTGTGTTGCGTCCACGGGCCCTGTCTCGCCCCTTTCGCGCGAAATCGGCCTCCACGCGTCCACGAGGTCCACGCCCCGAGCACACACACGGAAGGGGAGGACGAAATCGACGGCCCCGCCCGTGGCGCACAAGATGGCGTCCACGGCGCGGTGGTCGCCCGTTACAGTCTCGATCCCCGTCGCCGTGAAGCGCCGGATCGGGTCCTGGATCAGCGTCACGTTGTCCTGCGCCAGGGCTTCGAGGTACCCCGGGCCCGGCGTCAGGCGGCGGCAGTTGGGACTAAAGTCCGGGATCAGCCGATGCAGCAGCTCGGGCTTGCGCGCCAGTCTTTCGCGCATGATCTGGATGAACCGCGCGCGCATGTCCTCGTTGTCCTTGGATCCGCGGAACGTCGACCCAAACCGGCGCCAGTACTTGTCCTCCAGCTCCTTGCGAAAGCGGAGGTACGCCTCTGGGTCGTCGCGGAACTGGCGCCGCTGGTCCTCCGAGATCCACTGCGGCGCGAAGGTGCGTTCGTCGCCCGCCCACGACCCGGCGATCCACGTTTTGCTGCGCGCGTAGTGGTCGATGTGCGCTGCCAGGGGCTGCACGTTGGGCAGCACTTGGATCCCGCTGGCGCCGTTGCCGATGATGGCGATGCGCTTCCCCGTCGGGTCGAACGAGGGGTCCCAGTTCGACGTGTGTCGGAGGTGGCCCTTGTAGTCGGACAGCCCGGGGTAAGAAGGCAGTCGCCAGTCGTTGAACCGGCCGATCGCCGAGAGGACAAAGTCTGCCGTCTCGGTGAATGGGGCGCCTGTCGTGCGATCCACGCCCGTGATCGTCCACTGGCCGGTTGCGTCCGACCAGTGCGTGTCCTCGACGCGGCGGCCGAACTTGACGTATTTGTAGACGTCGTATTTGCGGGCCTGCGCCTGCCAGTAGTCGCGGATTTCGTGGCCTTCAGCGAATTGCTGCGACCATTGCGTGTAGGGCGTGAAGGTCGACTGGTAGACGTGCGACGGTATGTCGCATCGGACTCCGGGGTAGATATTTTCTAGCCAGGTGCCGCCCTGTTGTGCTGGCGGTCAGCCCAGGTCCCCAAGCGCCTATCCATCTATGCCCTTTCCGCGTTACTTACCACGTCGTCGTTCTTCTCGAGGATTGTCAATTCGAGTTTCGGCACCTTCACGGGGAGTAAGACCCCTGCTAGGATTCCTGACAGCCCAGCCCCGATAACCACGACTTTCAAACTTCTCACGTCGTCGATATGGTGGTTGGGCAGCGTCAAGCCCGAGACGGGATACCGCTCATGGAGCACGTTTGCCGGCCGTGTCGTCGCCTGTGCCGTTGTATGTGTCTGTGCATGTTCCTGTGCCTTACCCGCTGCCTCTGCCGTCGTCGGTGTCAAGGCAGATGCAAGCTGCTTGAGCCTCTGTGCCGTGTGAGATGAATCAGACACTCCGTTGCTATTGCCATCGGCTCCCGTGCTTGGCTGAGAAGGCTCCGGGCCATCAATGGACGCCGACCCCTTAGCCATGGCAAAGAGAGCTTCTCCGTCGTTTTCTTCGACCTTATTTCCTGGCATCACGGACATAAGAATACCAGAGCAGATGGATTGCAAATGCACCCACAGCTGCTCGCGTCGCAGGCCACTTGGTCTGACCTTCACTCAACTCTGTGGTATCTGTTTGCGTGTGTATCCCAAGGGTATGCGTGTCGACGATTAAACTAGTGCGGCGATCACGAATGGAATCCACAACTTGACACCATTGCCGAACACGCAGGAGTCGGAGTTCAACGACACTTGGACCATCCATAGTATGTCTCGTCCCTGCGAAGGGTGGATCTTGAAGAGCACATGGAAGCCGTTCTGGTGGAGATACCAGACTCATTCATATCGCACCCTAATCAGGGGTGGGGCGCGCAAAGCGAACAATACTGACTCGGAAAGACTGCGTCAAGATCAGAAGGTACCACGAGTGAGAGAAGGAAGTCCTTTCAGGTGCGTACGTAGCAGCGAGACAAGGACGGACCATTCGCTCGAACGGTCAGTCTTGCAGGTGGTATTCCGGTTGTAAAGACGGGAGATGTGACACGTACTCATGGAATACACGATTACCAGAGCTCCGCCGGTAATGATGCTGTCTGATTCCGCAATTTTAAAATTGGTAATATTCCGCACTGCAGGATCCGTGATATGCAGTGTCTCGATAGCGACCTGGATCCACACGTATTATGGCATCGGACCTAAAATCACGCCATACAACAAACACCTTCAAAGGGTCGTTGCGGAGAAGATCGTCCGATATCGAACCTAGGAGCATGGTCTTTTCAAAGGGGGTGATTCGGGGGCCTTTTGGTCTGCAGGACGTGGGGGCATAGATGAGACCTGAATCCGATGTTTAGTGCCTGGATGCTGTCGAAACATTAGTTGCTGTAGAAGCGAAAACACTCCCGGGCATTGCGCAAAACATCCAATTCCCGAGAGCGTCGATATCGAAGCTGCCTCGAAATGGGTTCCATACAGGAAAGTAATGGCTCTCATGAAGGCGTCAAAAAGCAGATCCTGCTCAATGCGTTCGACATGTCAACTGTAGGACACCTTTCGCCGGGTCAATGGAAGGTATTTGTTTTCCCACAGCAAGCCGGGCAGGCCGGGCAAGATCTTGGAGTCCGAGTGCTTGTGTCTCAGATGAAAGCTGAGTGCATCCCAGAATCCCAAAGACAAGTCTGCCACGAAGAGGAAACTCGATTATTGGATCGAGTTGGCAAAGATTCTTGAACGTGGCGACATCAACGCCCTCTTTCTGGCCGATACATACGGCGGGTATGACACCTATGAGGACAGTCTCGACAACTGTATCCGACGTGCTGCACAATGGCCGATGACGGATCCGACAATCGTGAGTTCTTGCTCCACGAAGACGTTCAAAGCGAGTACTGAGAGCCGCCATCCAGCCCATCTCAGCCATGGCAGCGGTGACGAAAAATCTAGCTTTCGGTATCACTGCTTCAACTTCGTTTGAAGCTCCTTTTTTGCTTGCCAAGCGGTTCTCGACTCTGGACCATTTGACGAACGGCCGCATTGGCTGGAACATCGTCACCTCATGGAAAAAGGCGGCCTTCAAGGCCATCGGGCTCGACAACCCCATCGACCACGACGAGCGGTACTTGCAAGCCGATGAGTACTTGAGAGTCCTGTACAAGTGAGTCCAAGCGAAGACGAGGGACGCAACGTCTGCTAACCCACCGTCGCCTCAGGCTGTGGGAAGGCTCCTGGGCCAATGACGCGCTGGACCCCAACCCGGAAGCAGATACATATGTCGACCCCGACAAGATCCGGACAATCCATCATCACGGTAAGTATTTCAACCTGGATTCTCGACATATCGTGGACCCCTCCCCCCAGCGGACGCCGTTTCTGTTTCAGGCTGGCACCTCACCTGCCGGGTCTGCCTTCGCCGCCACGCACGCAGAGGCCATCTTTGTATCTGCGCACAGCCCGCAGGTGCTCCAGCCCAAGATTGCCAAAATCCGGCAACTCGCCAAAGAGAAAGGCCGGGATCCTCAGTCAATCAAATTCTTTGGCACCTTCACACCGATCCTTGGACGAACAGATGAAGAGGCCCAGGAAAAGCTGGAAGAGGCCAAGAAATATGCTTCCACCATTGGCGGGCTGGTACTCTTCTCTGGATGGACGGGGATAGACATTTCTAAGATCCCACTGGACCAGGATATCACGGCTGAAGATTCGACCGAGGCTCACAAAGTGAGGAGCATGCTCGATGCCTTTACGACGACAAGTCCTGATGTCCCGAGATGGACACCGAGGGTAGTTGCTGAGAAGGCTGCTATTGGCGGGTTAGGACCGGTTGGAGTCGGCACTCCCGAGAAAGTCGCAGATGAGCTGGAAAGATGGATCAGGGAAGCAGACCTCGACGGATTCAACCTCGCCTATGTAACGACACCAGGCACATTCGAGGATGTGGTTGACCTGTTGATTCCCGAGCTGAGGCGGCGTGGTGTGTACCCACCGCCCAGGTCAGAGGACGCCGAGCCACTGACTGCCCGCGAAAAGGTGTATGGGAAAGGACAGAGTGGGCTAAGAGATGATCACGAAGGAGCCAAATACCGTTACGATGTGTACAAGGAGGATGAATCGAGCGCTGAAAAGAAGGAAGAGGATGGCACCTCGTCGCTGCCGCTACGGACGGAGAGCGGAGCGGAGAAAGCCTGAACTCGAGCACTGCTGCGTATGACGATGAAACTGGTGCTGAGGCTGTTTAAGACCGAGCGTTCATGGAGGCAACCATGCTTGAAGCAGGCCTGTAGACACTT